ACAACATTTATGTTGTCTAGATTTAATTAATTGATGTTGAACTTAGATTATTTGACTCTTTAGAAATAAAGATATTATTATTACATTTATTGACTAGTTTTAATGATGCTTTTTCATAATAATGTCAGAATTTAGTTTTAAATAAATTTTTCTTATTAATGAAAAATATTCATGGAATTTTTAGAATTAAATAAAAAATATAAAGCAAGTGTTCAATTCAATCTAATTATAAAAAAATTATCAATCAAGCTCATTATATTAATTATTTAAATTCGGCTATGGATCATTATTTTCAGTTTATGACTCAGAGCTTTCCTCCTTTTAATCAGTCTACAAAAGTTTTTTAACTTTATTAAAATGCATTTTTATTTTTGAATCATCTACATCTTCGAAGTAGTATTTATTCCTACAACAAACATATGACAATATTTCAAATAGAAAATAGACGTCTAAATGAATTTTGATCACATCCTTTCTCAATTATATAACACCAGAAGGATAAATTAAATGATTTGCTTTAGGGTCGAAATTTATATGTTTTAAACTTTCAGACAATATTTTGCTCTAAATATCTCAGAAAAAAATAAATACTATTTTTATCATAATTTCGACTTATTCTGGATTATCCTTGATAGGTGAATAATCAATCATTTTGTAAATATATTTAAAAGCTTATTTCAAAAATTCATTATTATAATTTTGTTATTAATCATAAATTTATAATTCCCTACTTATTAATGATATTTATACTTTTTTCTCTTTTTTAATATTTCCTTGTATATTGCAATCATTTACTGCATCCAACCATGAAAATATAGAGCTTAGAGTAGAAATGTAAGTAATTAACCCAAGCTTAATTCAGGATTAATTACACCTAATAAATTAAATTCTGGTGCTGACAATGCCTATTATTAAATTTGTCTCATTTATTTAAAACTTAAAGGTAAAAATTCCAAGTTTAAGTAATCATGAATCTATTATTTAATGTCCTTGGCTAATTGTAGAATACTAAATTCGCCGTTAATTTCATAATGGTAACAGATCACTTATTATTTATTAAATAATCTTAACATCATTATAAGTGGTCTATAAACATCAATTTCAATTTAATTGGTTTCTATTTATTGTTGTAAATCTTCCCAATTAATAATGTTCATTATCATATCAACACTAGCTCGCAATTTCTATTTCATTCTTTAAGCTGCTATATTTAAATTCATGAAGTGTTCATTGTTTAAAGCTATATCTTTTGCTATTTCATAATCTTTAATTTCTTTCTTTTAAGAAATATGCCAATATTTTTCAACCCTACCAATCAATCAGAATATTATTACATTGTTTTAAAATATCTACATACTATTCTTAATTTGAATAAGTCTATAATACATAGAAATGAGAGTATATTACTCTAAAATACAGAGTTTGGAATCAGGCTAATTATGGAATTCTTATTCACAATTGGATTTTATTCTATTTCATTAGCTCTAACCTCAATATTTATATTCTTTGGTAGTTAAAAATGAACACTTTGAGATTCAGCATCATATTTTTATAAACAACCTAATTATGAGTATGGAAATGCCACTATTTTATATATCTCAAAGCACATGGACTAATACATTAATAAAACAGAATTTACTTGATCTTCCTTTTTAAATTCCTGCTCTTTAATTAGATCTAATTGTTTCCTTAAAATATTAATTGGTTGAACTTAAAAATTCTTGAATATACCTTACCATTTTAGAGCTTCTTACTCACCATTAAAATTATTCAAATACTCTAATTCTTCAGAATTTAAATTCTCTTTAACTTCATCAAAGTAGATTTCTTTAGTTATGTCCTTTGTTATGTAGAAACTTCTATTAGGACTTTTGATAATTTTCATTATTTAATATAATTGTGAAAAATTTACTTTATCACCCCAATCATGAATAAGGTTGGGTGTTAAAGATAGTTAAGATTCCAAATTTTATTTTCTTTGCTTATATTACTTCTCATTTATTTGGTTTAATTATTCAAAATCTGTAACATCATCGTAATCAGATAAAAAATTTTATTAGAATTTATTGCAAATTTTTTCTAAATATAATCTATGAATTGCTCTATCACTTGGAAGGGCTTCAAAATCAAGAATTAACTTTTCTATTTAATTTTTTTATGCTATTTAATGGTCTGAATATGGAACATTACGCCAAAAATAATTTTATGGTTGATTTTAGTTGGGGTTCATATTCTGATTGTCATTCTAAGTGTGCTATGATTCTTAAGAGTTATTTTCTTATTCTTCTGGAAGAGTTTCCGAATTGTTCTATTAAAACATGTAAAAAAATAAATTATAATATGTATTTATAATCTCTAAATATACAATTTATTTGAAATTTAAGTTGGGTTACCTCTATTGTTTATTGTATTTTATTAATACATTTCAAAAGCATAAATCATTATATTTAAGATGATGTTTTGATCTTTTATGAAATACAATTTTATATTAATGATATTTCGCAATATTTTTTATTTTAATTTAATTTTTCAAAAATGCTTTATTCAAATTTTTATCTGAAAAAAAATTTATCATATTTGCAATCATCATTTTATAGATATATTTAAAATTCATAAATACTATTCTGCAAATATGTGTTACCCATCTCCTATCATAAACCATGTAATATACATTTTGGCATACAACTGCAAGAACATTAACTCATATTTGTCTTATAATGTTAATAAGGCTATATGATTAATCATAAAACCTTATTATTTTACAAGTTGTCGCCAAAAAAAACTTTGAAAATGTTTTTCAGATATTTTTTAAAATGAGGATTTTCTTTGAAATTTTTTATTTTTTTAATCCTTCTTGATTTAATAATAATATTTTTAAAATAAACAAGAAGATTTTTAGTGAAAATAATAAAAAAACTAATTTCAAAAAATATTGTTTTAAAATAATTAATCAAAGCATTGAAGATTCTTCTCTTTGAGTTTATGTTCTACAAAGTTAATTATCGTGTTCTTCATTAGGTCTTGAACTAACTCTCGATTGATTTCTAAATGTTATATAAGTACATTATCTTATAATATTGTCGGTAGATTTTAAATTTCTTCCTTTTAAAGAATTTTATAAACTTTGATGTAAAAATAGACTGCTTTCTCTTTAATTTTATTATTAATAATTTTACTTCTTTGCTTTTAAATTGTCTTTTGCCATAGTTATTAAATGTTTCTTTAATTTGCCAAATCTTCTTTAAATTCTAACTAATTAATTTTATCTTGCTTCAAAGATTTTCTAAATTTTTGGAACAGAGCGAATTCTAACTGGTAAACAAGCAAATATCTTTTATTTTATTCCATCAATTTTATTAAAAATTTTGTTAAAATATGCCATTATTATTGCAAAAATTAATTTAATAATTTAAAAACTATTGAGTCCGACCATGACTACATAAAAAGGCCAGATTATTTCATTAAGATTACTTTGCTAAGCTGAATGCAATGAAGAAGCTAAGACAATTGAAATTGCACAAATAATGATTGATTCTTAGTCTAAATCATTCAATTATTTATTCATATATGGATTAATTTTCTTTGCAATAAGGCTATATAAAAATAAAAATATAAAAATTAATGATGCTTTAACAGTTATGTGATCAACATAATATATTCGAGCCAAGATTATCAATTCTTTGTAAAATATTTTTACAGTTTCCCAATAATAAGCTGTTTATGTGTACTCATGGTATAAATATCCCCAAGTTTTACGAGTTACTGTTTTTTCAAGTTTATATCGATTTTTGTAAACTCCGTACCAAAGAATTGTAGGAATTATGATGCATAATATTAATAAAAGTGGAATGTCAAAAGTAATAATCCATATGAGATGAGATGAGGTGTCATATCTATAAGCAACATTGCTTGATATCCAAAGCTCATCCGAAATTTTTCTATAAGATACCAAAGAGATAAGTTGTCCAATTAAATTTGGCTATAAATATATAAACAAATAAATCAGCGATATATTTATATAAGTAAAGTTATGATTAATTAGCTTAACTGCTATTGCTAGAACACCTAATCCTATAAAAATTACACAATAGGATAGAGCCATGATTAAACTCCATATTATTCTAAAATAAATGATCAAAACATCAACAAGTGTAACTAGGTAGCAATCAAGAGAATAGGCCATAGAATCAATTGGACTAGCACAAATATTTATAGCTGCTGATAGGCTTATAGGTAATTCTAGTTTAAATGTAAAAATTGTTGAAATGATTTATAAATAGTTTGTAAGAACTTTAATTAAAATTGCTGTTGATATTTATTTGATTGGAAGTTTAACACCTAGAAATTTAAGTCTTAATCCAACGATGGAATCTGTGATCATTTATAAAGTACTGGTCACAGAAATTAAAGTTGATAACAAAGTCCAGAAAATTACGAAAATTATGGAAAGTATATTAAATATTGTCATTTTGCAATTCGAACAATGGTATTGCTAACTTAAATAATAAGATCCTTAGCCTCTGGTATTGTAGAGATCACATTGCTCACAAAGAGCCCCAATATGCCCTGAAACACAAGATTTATCTCCTGGCTCCCAACCTCCTTCACAATTTTTTGGTTCGTGGTAACAATATTCAATATTTTAGCTATATTTATAAGCTCTCCAATAAAATGATCGTAATTCGATCATTGAAGACGTAATCTATTTAATTTTAGTTTCATCTTTATAACTGCAGTTTTAGGCATTTCTTGTCACTTAATATTAGTCTTAAAATTTATCACACAGTGTGCATCCACCAGTAGTTTAATTTAGAAACTCTCCTAATTGACATTGAAAAGTTTAAATATCTACCAACAATTTATAGTTAACGCTTTGTTGTTGAATTTAAAAAGGTGGATCCTTACTATAAGTTGGGACTGACACAACATTGCACTGAATTGAAATTCTAAGGGCCAAATCCTAAGAATAGTTTGGATTCCAGTATATGATTAAATCATCTAAATTATAATCTCCAGTTTCTTCATTAAATACAACTAAATTTTTTGACAAGCTAAAGGTTATTTATGATACTTCTGATTAAGAACTTAAATTAAATGCTATAGGAATTAAAGTACAACTTGAATTTTAAAGACCTTTGTTTTGATTTTTGAATTTATCTAATGCAATTACTCGAAAAGTTAAATTATAAGGAATATAGGACTATGTGTATTCATCAAAGTATTCATAAGAAGAAATACTTCTTCCTGATGGAAGTGTTAATATACTAACTTTAGATTAATATCCTAAAATCTTATAAGGAATGATTCTTATTTATTCTATCATTTCATTCTAATTTCTAGTAATTAACCCACTTTATAATATGGTTTTACCCCCATCTATTGATATTGATAATGAACGAGGCTTTTTCAAAAACATTTTAACTATATTAAGTTGAATTATTATCATAAAAGTCTATTTTTAATTCTTTCGTAAGTTAAAGAGATTAATTATTGAGGAATAAAACGCCAGCAATCTAGGCTTTATTATTTAAAAATTGAGTTCGGTAAAAATACAATTATTATGATTTTGAAAGAAAATAAATAGCTCCTCCAATTTCAGCAGAGTTATTATAAAACAAACTATTTATAATCAAAAGATCAATTTCTAAGATGAATAATGATCCTCCATAATTGGCAGAATTATTCTTAAATATACTATTAGAAATGACGACTCGGCATTCTAATTTAAATTCAATTATTTCAAGATTATCAGTTTATAATAAACGATTATTTTTGGATAGTTATTTTTGAAGGTTAAATTCTTCTTAGTTTTTCAATATTGATAAACAACCTGTTTATCCACATAGACAATTTTCAATTTTAATTGATTCAAATTGTATGGATACAGGTTTTTATATATAAATATCTACAATTTGAAACAGACCAAATTAACAATTTTAACAAATTACATTTTGCAAAACCATATTTTTTACTATGATTTATTGTGTTTTGTTAAGTGATTCTATTTTAATTAAGCTAAAATTAAATGATTAATTTTAAAATATCAAAATTTCATTACAAACTAATTAATTCTGATGAACTTGAGTATCATCCGTCTGCTATATTAACCCATATATTTTTGGTAACGATTGAGGACATTATAATACTGACTTTTTAACCAATTCTTTGATTTTGCAATTTCCTTCTACCAATTTTCTAAATTAATATACATTATATAGAAAAAGATTCTCCATTATAATTTTTCCATCAATGTCTTAAATTAATATTATAAATACTTTCTTTTAAGTTTAATTCAAGTAGAGATGATTGCCAAAATGTACTGTTTTGTATAGTTACATTCGATAATAAGATATTTTAAGCTTTTTTTATTTTGATTAAAAATTGAATATGAGTTGCTATGAAGTAGCAATTTAAAATACTAATTTATCCAAAATGGATAGAAATTAAAGGATTATAATGAGTGATTAATGATACTTCAAACTCAGATAATTCATTAATTTACTGAATAAATCTACTGAAACCTTATTCAGTTGAATAGAAACTAATATTCTTCAAAATTATTTAAGAATTCAATGGTTCTATCTTAAGTGGATTATAAGCCAAAAAAGAATTTTATAAAGAGAAACTATCTACAACAATCAAATTTTCTAGTTCAATCCAATTCTAACTTTCAGAAGGAATTATATAAATAGCTCCTCCATCATTTCGACTGTATGAAGTTTAAAAAGTTGTGTTTTTAATAAGAAGCCTGAGCTTTGATAAAGATCCATCGATATATAAACATCCACCAATAGAAAATGCAGAAAAGTCTGATAAAGTATTTGTATTTGTAAAAAATGAGTTTAAAATAACAATTTTGCTTATATCTTGAGTATTTATGTGAAAAGCTCCTCCACAAATGGCAAAAGATTGATTGATAAAAATATTGTCGATAATTAATGATTAAGTAATAATCATTGCGTTTCCACTTAGTGATTTTATTGGAAATATATTAGCCAAATTAATAAAACTTAAATCTTAATCTTCGGATTAAAATAAATAACGACTTAATTTTGAAAAATTCTAGATATTACTTTACTGAAATTTGCATTTATAAATTTCCAATTCAGTACTTTTAATAAAAATAATAGAATCACTTGAATTAGTAACAACATTTTAAATAAAATGACAGTTTTAAATCATAACTAATCCCTAATTTAATCGAATGAGTAAGGTAGTGGCAGATGTTCTTGTTGAATCTTAAAAATATTCATTCAGATGATTCTCAGTAAAGTTTATGTTTTAAAGTGTTATTGTGCAATTTTATTAGGACACTATCGATAGTATAGCGGTTTGTTTATTGGAATTAGCGATTAGCAATATGTTTTGATAAACTCTAAAATTGGTTACTGTAATAAATTCAGATAATTCTCTTTACATTAAATCATACCCTTAAAGGATTAAAAATGGATTGTTGAAACTTAAGCTAGAGTTAATTTCTACAGAATCTATTTTCACTATTTAATAGTAACCTATGAATAAGAAAAAATGCATATTTTTAAATACAAATTTTTCTACACAGTCGAAGCTACTATGAAAGGGCTTATTTATATATAATTGAATAGAAGAGACTCTAAAATTATTAATTTCTAAATAATCAGAATTAAGAAAAGTCATTTCAGGCAGCCCATGTCCTCTTAACAAATAAATTTAATCTAAATAACAAATTTAGCACTCAATATACATCATAGATGAATAATAGGATATTTCTTATTCTTATAATTCAGAAATAAAAATTCCATTAATAAAAGAAAAGTCTATTAAATGAAATGATAATTAGATTATTTCATCACATTTTATTATTTTCATTATTTATTGTTTCTCATCATATTCTGTATTTAAAATCTGATATTTCTCAATTTATACTTTAGAGCATGATTTTAAGTCCAATTCAGATCTTGAATATTCAACAATGTTATTTATCAAAGTACTATTCATTATCTAAGTATTATTGATTATTCCTCCCTTAAGATTTATTATGTTTGATGAATAAAAACTTGACCTTTAGACTATTTTACTATTGTTGAAAATTAAATCAGACATATATAAGGACTAAAATCTAGAAGAATAAAGAAAAGTTGATTTTTCTAGTATTTACACATTTAAAAGAATAATTTTATTCATTCTCAAAGTACCACTAGTATAATTTAAAAGACCAAAACTTACAATAAAATTTGATTGGATAAATATGGTATCGATTATTTAGATATCATTTATAAATGAATCTTAAAGCAAACTTTATTTATTAGCTTAATATCTAATAAATGTGGAATTAAATAAATAGGAGTTTTGAATTTTCAAATCACTTATTTATATTGTATTTTAATAAATATTTGATTATGAAATAAAAGTAAAAATATCAGATGATGAAACATAGAAATTATTTATTAAAAGATTTGATATAAAAAGAGAATAAGGAATATTTGATTTTATCATAAAAGAAAAGTTCCTATTTGGATAGTATGACATAGTAAAAATGCAATTATCAAAGTTCAGTATCAATTAAGGTTTTAAATTAAATAGGTTAATAATAAAGTATTTTGTCTTCGAAAATAGTTTAATAAAACTGAATTAAATATTTTAGAATGTAACCTTTGTGTAATTACTGAAAGTAAGTTCATTAAAGATTTTTAAAGAAGTAGGGTAAGACCAGCCTTTGAAGATTATATCAATTTACTGTAAAGTAAATACATTTTATTATAACTGTGAATAAATCTGTAAGTCTTCTTCAAATTAACAGTCTGTTCCATCACCTTGAATAAATGTAAATAGATATTCCACATGTCTTACTTATGCTTTGTTTAAATATTCATAAAGTTACTAAGTTTCAAACAAACTTAGATATGTTTTATCATAAAATTAACTGATAAGAATATTTTTCTGGTCAAACTAATCATCATAAGCATTACTTTATGATTAATAGTATAAACCCCAATCACAAAATATGTTTTATTAAATTAAATATTTATGATAACATTGTAGAAATTCTGTGCAAACTGTAATTGTTTAGGTTAAATAATCAAAATAATAATTATCCTATTTTTCTGATTTTTCAAAGCATTTTCTTGTATATTTTGCATTAGAATCAGTTAAAATATAATATGGATTAATATCTGCTATTTCTTCTTAGTTCCTTTCGATACATGCTACACAATTAGAAGGACATTAAAGACACCCTCCATTCATATCTTGAGTTTTGAGAAACTTGAAATCTCCTTCTTAACATTATATGCATGTAGCTTTTCCATTTTTAATTTCACATATATTACAATTCTCTTAACAGCCCTAGATACATTAGTTTTCAAAGAGGATGTATTATAATTAACATGATGTACAAATAACCTCTAAATTAGACAATGCAAAAGCCTATCCGTAATCTTCAATTAAATGATTGGTATTAATAAAATATTTATAAAAAGATTTTACACTCCATTTCCAGTAATCTTTGTAAAGGACATTTTGTTATAAACAAGTTTTGCAATTATTAATACATTTTTAACATTATCCAGTTAATAATTCTGAATAATATCCATCTTTACATTATACACAATATGATTCATTTTGAATATATTTATGAATGCACTATTAACAATGTAGAATTATTTAACACGAAGTTACTTATACAGCATTATTATTAGTTAGACTGATTATACATTACTAATTTAAATTTGAATCTAAGATAACTGCAAACTCACAACCATCATCATTATTTGATTTTTATTCACACTTTTTAGTATTTTAGTTATAATTATAGTTTTCATTACAAAGTGAACATCCAAATTAGACTTAATGTGAATCAAAACTGTATATTTTAAAATTGATATCAAAAGTTGTAATATATTATCCAGAAATTAAAACGTATTCAAAACAGTAGATACAATTTTCAATATTACATTCTCTGCAATTTCTACCATCAATTGTTAGATAATATTTTGATGGGTCTCCTACACAATAATTACAATATCCATTAGATTCACAATTTTTACAATTGACACCACAAGATATGCAAACATTATTTTAGAGTATTTAATTCTCTTGACAAGTTTCACAATATAAATTTTAATTTGTTAAAAGGCATTTTTTACAATTAAGACATTATAAACATTGGTTTTGTCCATCAAGATAGTAACCATCAAAGCACTTTGTACATAATTTAGAATTTTAACATAATTAACAGTCTTTCAAACAAGGTTAGCATAAATTAGTTATTCTATAATATCCTTGCTTGCATTTGTACTAATCGAGACATCCAGAACATAATTATGTGATGAAAGTCTTATCTTCTTATATTTTAATTTCATAAAAACTCACATTATTAGAATTCCTTTAAACTATCTAATATTAATAATCTGGATTTGAATAAAAGGTTGATACATCCATGGTACAAATTAATGATTTACTAAAAGTGATTGGTTAAATATAGCAATTGAAACAACTAATATGAATTCCATATTTTAACTCTTAATTTTCTGGACTTTTATAAATGAATATATTATTACCACTGAATGCATTAGTTTTAAAATAAAAAATATCCAAAATTGCACTCAATTTTTTCACCTTCACAATGGCTGTAACCTTTTTTATCGCAATCCAATTAGATTTCTTATTTTTAAATATAAGTGAATGCTTTTTTTATTGGTAAGCAATCTTATTGCCCTTATAAATCAATATATCCTTCTTAACATTTACAAGTATTTTAAATTCTTGAAAATTATCTGTTATTGTTTTCATGACAACTTAAACAATTTACTGATGTGGGACCAAAGCACTCTAAACATGAATCATCGCAAGTCGCAACTATCTATTTTAGTTAAGGCCTGCAATATAAAAATAATAATATGTCACTGATATAACCTTTGAAAAAAGACTTAGCATAATTATCTCCTCCAATATACACAAAGTATTTTGCTCCAGTAAAATGTTTTATATTTTTACTCCAAACATATCTATAGTATTTATTTAAAGAAGGAAAATATATAGTTAATAAAGGTTATCCATCATTATTCAAAGTTCCTATTTCATATTAAAAATAATGCCAATTAACAAGTAATCTTGAATATTGATCATCAAAATCAGAAATTTTATCATCATCTTATGACTTATATCTTTATTTGATTGGAAATGAATAGCTGTATGTAGAAATTTCAAAACCATTTTCACCTGGAATACTACTTTAAAAGTATTTCAATAAGACTTCTCTATCTCCAATAAAAGTATCATCACTTTGATTCTCATTGATTGTTATCCTAAAAATGATAGTTTCTTTGAAATTCTCATTTATCATGTCAAGCTTTGCCCATCCTTAAAGAAGATATATTGATTGATCATGAGGTAAAGTTTAAATCTTAATAAAATCTTATCCATTCATTTATTAATTTTTTTTGCTTATACGATATTCTTTATCATAACAAAAATCAGAATTCATAAATTAATCAAAACATGTATCTAAATTAAAATCAATACTTTCATTGACTTATATAAACAAAGTTGACATTTTCCCAAAAAATTAAGTTAATTAAACCAAGACATCATTGTTCTATATATATGAATATATTCCACCAATACTATGTCTTGATTCACTTTAAAAACTTGGTAAATCATGAATTATTTTAGTTTTTGATTTCTCTATACTATTGTAGATTCCAAATATAGTTTGATAAGATGACTAATCAAAATAAACAAAAAAAAATATCCATTAACCCTCAACTATTGTGTTGTTTATTGAAATTTAAATTTAATCAGATGTTGATGTAAAAGAATAAAAGATATTGTACATAAACTTTTACTCTATTTAATCAATGACTATTGAGACAACTAATATATAGTTGCTACTTTCTATCTATTTTATTGAATAAATAAACTATCCTCCTTATACTTTATTTAATCTGTTGAGAGAATCATCTTAAGAGGATTCTCGATCACCTAAAAATAAACAATTTAATAATACTTAAATAATAAATCTATGTAAAAGGCTGGTATTTTGTCCAAATACCATAGCCTATTATATTGACATTGTTATTTTCAACAATCCAATCAGTAATATATAAATCTATAATTATTTAGGGTTAGTTTGGTTATACTATTGGGCCGTAGGATTTAAATTTACATGAACATTCTGCCTTTCTAAAATACTTTATATGATTACTAAAAGGATCCAAGAAAAGATAAAATTACAAATGTTATTAAGAGCATCTGAGCTAAATGATAATAATAATAAAATATTTAAATTATTTCAAAATTTTCTATAAAATTAATTTTGCTTAAATTTTTAATTATTCTGCTCATATACCGAAATTTTTAGATCATAATTTCTAATTATTTGACGAACTTGATTAATTTTACTTAAAGCTTCTAAACAAATTTATGATTATTTTTTATTTATTAATACAAAAATATTGCTTTGTAAAAATTAATTAATTTCAGCTATGAATTAAATAAAAAATTAATATTTTTAAAAAGACATAAATTAGTTATAGATTGAAAAAGAAAGCTTTATTCTGATTATTTTCAACTTTAAAATAATCATGTTATGAAAGATCGAGTATCCTTCCTAATTTTATAGATTAATTTTGTTTTCTTAAAATGAATATTTTTAAAAGTATTTATTATATATTTTAAGTCTAAATATTATAAATGTGTTAAACATCTTTTCCTTTTTTTTATTTGATAAATTACCTGTATTAGATTTCTCAGTTTTTTATTTTTAGAGTGCTTGTATTTTTTCACATAATTTACTCATTAATCTAAATTATTAAGACTGAGATAAAATTTAATGTAGTTTTAACTATTTTTAAAGATTCATTGCTCATTTTGATTCTTAAAATGAAGTGTTCAAAATTTTAAAAGAAATCAAACTTAATTTATTTATTGATTTTCTTTAATAAACTCATCCTTTATTGAATTGAAAGGTTAGGCTCAATAAAAAAATATTCCTATTATCAAAATATAGAATTTAAATGACATCTGGAAAAATTAAGAAAAGAAAAATCGAGTTTAATTCTCTTCTTTATTACTTATAATTGATACCCAAATAATGTTTTTTTATTTATATAATTTATTAATTGAGAACACTCCTCTTAAAACTTATCTTTAAGAGAGTTTAGCTTTTCTTTTCTGATAAATTATTAATATAATTATTTTTTATAATTTATTTATTAAACATTAATTAAGAATATAATTTATATTTATAATCTAACTAAATAAAATACAACGCCTTAAATTATTGCTAATAAATTGGTTGGATGACAATTATAATTTTATTTGGATAAACTTTCTTTAATATAATATATCTATCTTGATCTGTGATAAGGCATCATTTTTTTTGAAATTAAAATGTTGGTAAGCAAAAAAGGTGATTTTTTCCTAAAAATTTTTGTAAATTTTGTAGATTTCTAATAGGTAAGGATGATGCTTATATGTTCTCATCAATTTATTATAAATTTTTTAATTTCAGTTCTTTGGCACTGAATTAATTAAAAAATATTTTCAAAGCTTAATTTTATTCATGAAACTTATAATTAAAAGAACAAGATTTTACAGATTGCCAATATTGTTTTTCAGAATTTAAAATTGATAGAAGTCGTATATTTAGATTATAAGGTCTGATAAATGAAAATATGTTTAATATTAATTTTATTGCAAATTCTTTAGAAAAATAGCTAAATTTACTATCAAATGAAGAATATTATTACTATAGTTAAGAGCAATCCTATTTAATATCCATCAAAAGATGATGCATTGAATTGGCCCTCATTTAATTCTAACAATGCAAGTCAATTTCGATAAAATCTAGGAATGGATAAACTAAATAAATATACAATAGAAAAAAAAATTGAGTTGGAGAATGAAAGGAATGAGATTCCTGAAAAACTGTTCAAATTATCGGAGTAGTAATAAAATTTTTAGCATAACAACATTAATAAATTGCTTTAAAAAAATGAAAATTTTTGGATAACAAAATTTATTATTTCTGATTTGATAAGAGTGATCTTACTAATATTATCATTTATAATACCATTTAGTTACATAGATACCTATAAGTAAAATAAAATGATAATATTAGATATAATTCAACATCATTAAAACGGGGAATGACAATTTCATTAATAATCTTAGAAATCGTTTTAGTTAGTTTAAAATTATATTCATAAAGTCTAAAACATCAATTAATTAAAATTAGTTTGAAATAAATTTTGAATCTTATCTTTTACACAATCTTTTCAATTTGGGAACATACATTCATATACGGGATCTTATCAATTTACTTATTTTTAAGGAATTTTCAAATTATTGGGAAATTTTTTAAATTATTTACTTTACTAGATTATCAGTATATATTTAATAAATTTTATAGATAGTAAAAATATTTGAAAATTATTATTTGTATTTATTTTTAACTTCATCTATTCAGCTGCATGTTAGAAGTAGAGTATTTTAAATAGTAATAAGAAAACATTTCATATTTTAATAGCCTTTATCAATCATTATTATTATCAATTTTTATGAAAACAGAAATGGAAACAGAAAACAAGTAGTTGGTGATTTTAAATATAACATTTAACATAGGACTTATATTCTATTTACTAAAATAGTTATTAATGAGCTTGAACGAAATTTCTAAATATTAATAATTGTTAGAGACTTATCATCTTTATTTTTAATCTTAATTTATCAGTACAAAATGTATTATAGTTTTGATCCATTTTTCCAAAAATTTTGAAGTTTTGGAATAATATTAAACACAAAGACAAGAATAGAAGATCAATCAAATTTATGATTATTTAAAAAATAAATTAATAGTTTAGGAGTTATCAAGATTTGAGTTTTTGAATGAAAAAACCTTAGAAATAATAGCTTAGAGTGGAGATTTGATTTAAATTGAGCCGTTAATAGTAATTTAAAATTTTGAATATGTAGAAACTTAAGTTTGATATTGATGGCTTATTTATAATTCTCACTGGAAAAATTTAACTATTTTTTTTGGGATTATAAATTTAATATTCAAATCATAAATTAATTGAATTAAGTCTGACTGAAATATTCCATAACTAACAAAATAGAATAGTAAGATTAGAAAAAAATGATTCTAGTAAAGTTTTGTATTTTTTTATTGAAAAATAAAAGTTTATTGATATCATGAAGTAATCGAAGGAAAAGGTATTAATAACAATAATAATTAGGAAACTTATTAAATGATAAAGGATGATGTAGTGTTATATAATGATACTTCGTAATTAAATATTCGATGTTATTTTTGCGATTAATTTCATTAAAGCTTTGCCTGTGCTTCATTTAATATAAAAAGAAGATTTGATTATATTTAAACGTATCAAGATCGAAATCCTAGATATTCAAGAAAACTCAATTTAAAGTCAAGATCTGCGATATACTAATAGGTGAGAATAATTCTTATATATTTTAGATTACTCACTAAGGAACTAGTAACAATAATATTTTTGAATAAAGTTCTGATAGTTTTGAGGTACTTGTTGATCATTCAAACGAATGCGTAAGTTTATAAAACGTTGGACTCGATATTATGGGCCAATAACCTTCTAAATTATTACCAATAAAAGAAGTTATGTAAGGTGATATTATATCAGATAAGTAATCTGAGCATAGCAGCACATTTTTGAAGAGTCTAGCAATTAGTCCTATTAATATTATAAGGCGACCAATAACTAGTCCTGTTTAACATTAAGCTAGCGTTAAAAATACAAATTAATCCTTTGAAATAGATTAAATAGAAGAATACTAAAAATATAAAACAAAATTCAATATCTCAAATATCATATAATAACTTAATAATTCTAGATATTGATATATAAATAATTAAAATATATTATCTAATTTTTCATACAAACTAAGTGTTTTAGGAGAATTATTATTCTTTGAAATCCTTTATTTATCAGAACTAGTGAAATAATTTAAGTTTAAATTACTCATCATAAGCAAAAATAAACAAGGCTAAATAATGTTATAACTAATTGTCTAAACAATATCAAATTATGCTTTAGATTTTCTTAAGATAATTTAAATATTTATAATTTGATTTAAATAAAGAAAACTTTTTTGTAATATATGATATAATCAACTGAAAATGCCATCAATATAATGATATATTGCAACATTTTCAACTAATTTTGAGGATGTTTCAAAAAAAAAATGAATATTTGAAAAAAAGAAATCAATATCAAACCATTTTTTAATTTTACATAAAATTAATGATGATTAAAAACTAAGTTTATTACTCATAACAATATAGTTTTAAGGTTTTTGTTGATCTTTGATCTTAAAAAATGATTATTTAAATATATTAATGTTTTAAAGTTGATCAATCAATGAATCAATAAGTTTATAACAATTTCTTTAATTGAGAAGATTTCTAAATTAGATAGTTTTTTGATTTTATATTAGTGATTAGTAATATAATTTAGAGTTGGCATTTAAAATATTTTGTAGCAAAGCAGTTGAATAATCATTTATATTGAGAGAGTCTAATTAGTAATAATATAAGTTATAAAAAAATTTTAATAATATTTTTTGTAATTATTTTATGATCACTGGTACTATTGAAATATTTGTTCATCTAAGTGAATTTAGAAATATCGATTTGTTTCATTAAGGAGTTTATCAATTAAAAACGTCAATATTTTAAAAGAATTAAAATCAAACCTAAGGTGAGGCATCATATGCTTAACCATATATGAGTGTGGAAAAGAAAAAATTTATTCCAAATCAAGCTATTGATACAGTAGTTGAGTAACACAAACTATTAGACACAGACTTTTACAGCAAGGCATTTATCATTAAATATTGCGATTAAGTAGTTGATTTAAATGAAGGATGTGTATTTAGAATTGAAGTATAAGCATATCCAGAAATGGATCCTCATAATATATATTGTGTTACAGAACTTTTGTTTTGTGAACCTAGTGTTATAACATAAGAGGATTTTAAAATAGTATGATAACATTTGATTTTAGGATAAATTGTAACAATATCAAAAATGTGTAGCAAAATTTCAGAGTCGATTACACAATATAAAATTGATTAAAGAATTTGTATCTTGCCAATTTGATGAATAACATTTCTGCTAGTTGAAATTAACAGTTCATTCAGTTTTAGTTGATTTTAAATATCATTAAAACAATCTAAGTATTGAATAATTTATGAGTAAAATAACTAACAAATGTAATTCAAGAATTATAACAATTAGTTATATCAAATCTTGTATTTGACTTCTACGCAGGTTATAATAAAATATTATTATAAATCCATGAATAACTCTAAAATTATTATTTACAAGTTATCAAGTAATGTATATCAGATGAACATATAAAAAATAAATACAGTTAATTATAATATATAAACAAGTCATTAAATTATAAAGAGTTATATGAATACAGTTCAAGAATGGATGAATTGAAAAACAATGTTTAACTTTAGGAAGAATTATGTAATTAATTATTCTTGGAAATAAAGCATATATCATCTAAAATATTTATGGTTTGGTATTAGTTTATAGATGCTCATAATTTTATGGCTTAATCTTTGACAAAAACGTTAGAATAAGAATATATTTAAAAATTAAAAGAGAGATGGGGTGAAAGTATTTTCTAACATGTTTAAACAGTTGATGATTTATCTTAATAGGATGCTTAATTAGGAAAGAATCACAAAATAATGGCAAAGCAATATAGAAATAATAATTATTATAAATAATTAGAACCATTAAATATAGAAGATCTAGATTTATTTCCAGAAGCTAAGATTCATCCAATAGTATTTAGGGATGTGTCAAGAAAACAAGAAGTTTAACAGAAATAGGTGAAAGGACTTCATTTATTCGTATTTGTTCACGGATATTAAGGAAACTCATATGATATGAGATTATGGAGGAATAATCTGGCAATTAGATATCCTGATCATTTATCATTAATATCAAAATGTAATGAAGATAACACTGATTAAGATATTATGGTTATGGGTGAAAAATTGGCTTTAGAAATAAAGAGATGGATTAAAGAATGGTGTCCAAAGGAGAATTTCTCTAAATTATCTTTTATTGGACATTCTTTGGGAGGTTTAATAATCAGAGCAGCATTACCTTATTTGAGTAAATACAAAGAGAAAATGTTTACATATTTATCATTAGGGAGTCCACATTTAAGTTATACATTATCATCAAGCAAAGTCGTTGATACAGGATTATGGCTTATAAGAAAATGGAAAAAATGTGTTTGTTTAAATTAATTAACTTTGAATGATTCTTCAAACCCTTTAGAAACTTGTCTCTATAAATTATCTTTATATGAAGGTTTAGGATGGTTTACTAATATTGCTTTAATGAGTTCTTATTAAGACACTTATAGTCCTTTTGAATCAGCTAGAATTTAAAGACCAAAAGGCAATAACAAAGATGTCATGATTATTAATAAAATGATCGATAATATTATGAAAAATATTCCAAATTAAAAAATTGATAGATTAGATGTTAATTATGAATAAGTTGGAAAGTATTTATAATTTAAAATTCATAGATCTTTAGATACAATGATTGGAAGAGCTGCTCATATTGCTTTCATTGATAATAGTGCATTAATTAAATTGTCTATATATAGTTTTGATGAATTATTTGATTGATTTAATTATAAATTATAATTCATAATACTAGTAAACAAAAAATGAGAAAAGCTAAAAATCCCAAGAAATAAAATCTCATTATTTCTACTATAGAACCAATATTATTACTGAATCTCAACTCGCGAGAATAATTGCCTTTAAGTAAATCTTGTATGTTTGGTGATCCCATAAAATTAATGCATCCATGATTAATAATGACAGCTATCAAAGTTTCAGTTTAAACCAGAACATATGATAGATACACTCCTAAGCATAAAGACTTTAAAATTTGTTTGATATAACTCCATTTATTGATAGTAAATTATTTGGGCTCAAATAATATTAAACGTACTTTAATAATATTATTAATATACCTAGTAAATAAAGAAAAGTCGAATATATCATATAAAAATGATTGTTCTTATACTCTGGATTTATAGAATTATTGGTAAATCCTCTAAAAATTAATTCTTCAATTATTGGAGTCTAATATTAAACATTTCTAATACCACAACTATTTTAGAAAAGTAGTCCCATCTAAATTTATTGAATTAGAGTTTGCCTAATTTCTTTTTTAGATTGCCATTCTAATTAGAATCTAATTAAAATACCCAAAATTCATGATAAATAGGCCCCCCATATAATACAAAACTCATATAAAATGATATTGCAATTCCCATCCCCATTTTAGAATTATTATTCCATTGAATAATAGTTTTGAAATCAAACTCATTCAACTAATACATAGTTGTGTAACTGTGGATCAAACATAAGAATGTTGGAAATCCTAATAAAAGAGTCTTGATCCTTTTTCTTTAGTATCGACCCTTTTTTTGGTTTGAACTACTTTCACCAAATTATCCTAGCGTAATAATTGGTTTATACTTTCTTTATACCTTCTATATATCGATTTGCTAATAATGTAAGAAGAAACATATATTAATGTATGCAGATATGCTGATGATTGATTTATCGTATTCATCATTTTATATATTATTAAATCAAATTTTCATATATATATGCTTTATTTAATCCCTTCTTTTTAATCTCAGCTAAATTTTTCTACTAATATTACAGAGACCATCATTTTGTACTTAGAATCTTTAAAAGGAATCATTCAATAAATTATTATGGTATTTTTAAAGAATATTTACTTTTTTTATATTCTTAGACTAATAAATCTAAATATTTGGAAAAAAATAAATAAACTTCTAAAATTTTCCTTAAATTTTAAATAAAAAGTTTTAATCTGTTTCAATAATTGGAAACTATATAAACCATATTGTTCAGGTTTTAGCGATTATTTTTTCATAGTTTATTTTTAAGTTTTATTGATTAACTTCAAATACTGCTAGCTTGATTGAAGTCAATTATAATATAGATTAAACTAATTCCTAGAAATTGATTGAATTAGAGAAAAATCATAAAAAATTTAAATTAGAACTTTTAAATATAACGTGATAAATTTATCAATTCTAATAATCCGTGGGAATAGTTATTTAACATAATTATATTAAAAAATGATGATTGGAATATTAAATATAGATTGTTTTATTTATTTTTAATAATAATCATAATTCTTCACGATGTTTCCATAAACTTGCTAATTCTGAATCAAACCAATAACCTCTATATTTTTGGACTGCTCCAATTAATGGTAGAAATGGAACAATTGAATCTAAAATTAGTTGATCCATTAAGATCATCACAAATATTGTTGCCACCCAATATCCTGATGTATCAGCATCTACAAATGTCATCTACCAAATGCTTATTAGAACACAAGCCCAAAAAGCAAGAAAATGGAATCCATAATAAACATACCAAGATGTATACATTCTATTTTCTTCATCTAAAATAGCTGCATGTAGTTTTTCTGCTTCTGGAGTTGTTTTATTCTAAAATATTATTAATTTGTACAGTATGTTATTTATAGTCTATTTCTAATTGCATTTTGGTTTTATGTTATTCTCTTGCAGTAAAAATAATCCATCCAAAGAAATATCCAACAGGCCATGCAATTAATATTGCTACTATTGCATACCATAGTATAATTGCATCTCCTACTTCATATGTGTTATCAATATAAAACTATCCATATAATATAGATATTATTAAGATTTCCCAAGCAAAATATAATAAGTAATGTGACTATCTTGATAGTTTTGAGAAAAACACATCATTGTTTAATTTGTACATACTATACAAAGGAATCATTGTTAATCTACTATCTTTATATTCTTCCAAAAATACTGATTCTGTATCATTTTCTGTGCATACCATAACAATCCACCAAACTAATATTCCTATAATCCAAAGCCAAACTGCGTAATTCTATCTTAATATTGTTTCCTCCATTGTTCCATAACAAATCTTCATCATCTCTTTATCCATTTCCTCTTGAGAAATAGATACTTAATTTGAATTAGGAATATTTTAATATTCTGATAAAGGACCAAAAAATGTTTCTACAAAAGATTTAGGAACATAGAACTTTTTTCTATTAAAGTAGACATTTTAAGTTCTATTTCCATTCTTAGTATCGAAACCTGTATATTGGAAGAAATATCTTTAAATTGCATCTAATTATCTATCTGGATTCAAATCCACATTAAATTATTATGTTGGTTTTTTACGATTCTAATCTCAATTAATTAAATATACAATTTATGTAAATGGAAGCAACATATCTATTCCATCAGGTAAGCTTGATTTTATATTTGAATAACCAGTAGTAAAGAAGATTGAAACTGTAGCTGTTTTTCTATCACCAAGTTCTTAACCTGAACTTAAATCATATGATGTTTAATCAAATGTTAATTAAAGTTCAAGCTCTTAACTTTCTGTACCAACTAATTCTTAATCTTATGCAACAATTATTGAATTTTGAGCTTTTCTGTATAATCTCATTTATTTTAATGAGTATTGCCATGTTGTCGAATTTGTGTCTTAAGCATGAAGTTTATTATTAACTACACTTTAGTAATCTTTAAAACCACTTAGCTAAATTAATTGATCATTCTCAATACTTAATAAAACCCTCCTGTTGAGTTGAATTATCCAATAACTTAAGCTGTATAATCGGCTAAAGAAAATTTAAAATGTTCGATATAACCACAACCTACTTCTGTCATATTTAATTTAAGTGGTAAAGTATACTCCTTAGCCTAACCATTAAAACTAATATATACTTTGGTAAGCATTATTCCTACTAAAATTAGCAGCAGTTAAACCCTAATCATAAATATATTAATTAATAAATATCGGATTTATTATTTACCTTTATATTTATTTTCTAAAAATAGAATACCTATAAATATCTATTTTTACCGATCAGATTTGATATTTACCTAATGATCTTGTACTTCAATGATGGTAACTACTAATTTATGATTTCAAATCAAATTAAGCAAATGAATTTAGCTTTTCAAATTATAAAGAAATTTCAATCATCTTTCATTCATGATTATGCCATTAAAGTTATATAATCGAAAATAAATCACAATTAAAATTACATTCTCTTTTTCAATTCAAATTATCAATTATATGAAGATGAGATTTTTCAAAATAGAAGCTACTTATTATTATTATAAATCAATTTTTATAATTTATATAATTGATTCTTTTTAAGACATTGTAGTAAATATTATATTTTAAGACTATAATTGAAATATATTAGTTCAAATTATTATAATCTTTATTGTGATGAATTAATTTTATTATTAATCTACAAATATTAATATAATGTCTCAAAAATCTCAAATCAATGAATTAAAATCCTATAATCATTCTTATTATAGAGAAAATAATAACTAATTGGAGAGAACTAATCAAAAAAGAAATAAGAATGGAAAATATAAAAATAATAAAAGATTGGATAATAATATAAAACCTGTTTAATCATGTTGTTAAGATAATGACTAGTTTAATTCGAATAATAAAAATGGAAATTTTTAAGATTCATAAGAAAATATTTCTTTTAATTAAATATAGTAAAATGATTAAAAGGATGTTATTTTTTGTCTTGATAAATAAACACCAGATTAAGGAATAGAAAAAGATAATTATTAAGATTAACAGTTTAATTAGGATGTTGTAAAGTTAAATAAATAAATTAATGATTCATAAACTTCAACTGATTCTTTTGAAAATAAGATAGGAAGAAGAAAAAGCTAAATTGATTGGTTGAATTAAACCTAAATAAAAAAGTAAAATATATTAAAAATACATCATGAGACAATGCAAAATATATTTGCTCCCTGTTAATTAATTCATTTTGATGATGATTAAATTCTTAATGAGATTGAAGATATTTAAAAATAAAAGTTTTCTAATATTAGAATAATAGAATGTAAATATGGAACCCAAAAAAATATAAAGAAACTTAAACTTATAGCTTTAGAAGTTTTATTGTAATGTTCATAATGTTAAAAAATAATTTAAGTTGAAAGTAACTTGATAAAATAGACTCATTCACCAGCAATATTTATAAAACATTGTGATAAAACAATAAGAATAGACTTTTTATAGAGTAAAAGCAGTAAATAAATTAGATAATAATCATAATGTGAATATTGTGGATAAATAAAGAGTCGAAATAGCATATTTGGTTGGTAGCTAATAAGAAATTGTGTTAACTAGAGCTGAATGTGTTGTAATATGTAATTGTGATAATGAAAACGATTTTACATTAACTCTTGAAGATCCTATGTAATTAAATGATGGAAATTATATATTATTGACAAATGAACCATATAGAAAACTCTGTAGATATTGTTGTAGAGAAGTAATTATGTAGCATTGCGAATTTATGATTATGTCATGAATATGATGTATTAAGATTGATGTTCTTATTATTATTATTCTTTGTTTGGAGCCAAAACATTGTTTTAATATTCAAAAATGAAAAAAAACAATAAATAAGTATCTGCAAAAACAAAGTATCTAAAAAAGAAAAAGGAAATGCCAAGTGGAGTTGATGATTTAGCAACTCATGAGGAAAATGATATAGTTTAATTTGCTTAAACTAAATAACAGCAGAACAATAAATTCTAATAAATCTAATTAAAACCAACTGATCTAAGTTCAAGTGATGAAGAAGTTGATGTTTAAAATAAAGATGATCCTGATGAACAATCTCGATTTGTTTTAGGTTTGATCTAAAAAAATGTATTATTTTAAGTATTTTTAATAGAGAGTGAATGAAAAAAATTCATTTGATATTCCAATGATTAATATAAGAGATCTAAATGCTTTTAAATGTATTTATTATAATTATTGTAGAAATTGAATAAGGAGATGCTTGGAAACATATTTCAGCATCTCTAGATGCAGGATCAAAAATATATGGTTTTAGAGTAGATTTGGTTCATTAAAATACCTTTAAAGTCTTAGGTGGTTTACATAGAACATAAATACCTGATAAATAAAATTAAGATGTTGAATAAGAATTTGAATAAGAGTAATTGAGAAAAAAGAAATTATAAAATACAGGAGGTGAAAATACTTTAGAAAAGAATTAATCAAATATTGATACAAATAAATATGATTTAGAATTTGAAATAGATCCTTTATTTTAATAAACTTCTGCTAAATTCGATGAAGCTGGTGCTAAAGGACTTTTAATGAATAATTTAACTATTAATGAAAATTTAATGCTTGCCTTAGATTCAGAAGCTTTACCTATTAAACCAGTTTAAAGTATTATAAATATCGAAAGTATAAGATATATTTAAACTAGAATATAAATCAATGCTTAAAAATCTTAATAACTAAAGACTTTGTCCAGAATTAACAGAATTTAGAGAGAATATCTTTTAAAAAGGATAAAAATTAGTTGATTTTAAATAAGAACAATCATTTATGGCTATAATGAATCCAGTTGGAATGAATATGGATTTTCAAATAGAAGATTAATAATATGAAAATATGCCAGAAGAAATGAATATTGATGAACAAGTTTCAATTAATTCTGAAAATCAAAATAATCGTTAATCAATATTCTAATAATAATAATAATAAGGTCAACAATTTTAATATAATAAATTTAATATTCTTAATTTTGAATAAGCTGCAGCCAATATTGGAACTGGTAAGGTCTTTGAAAATGAAAAAGAATAAGTTGCTTGGATGGCACTTGATATGAATTTATAACCAAAAAAAAAAATAACTAATGTTTAAGTTAATGAAAAATCTAAAAAAAATAAATCAAAAAAAAAGAATGGCCTTTTCTTTACTTTTGGTGATGATGAAGATGAAGATGAAGAATTAGATAGAAAAACTATTTTACAACCTAAAGAAAAGGAAAATTATTGTATTAATAAAGATCCATTAAAATAATTAAACCTTTTACCTAAATCATATTAAATTGATAGACAAGAGTATATTATTTTTATTTAATTTTTAGTTTATATCATCCCTTTTAAATATCCAAGATTCCTCAATGGGGTGAAGAAATAGTTGAAGAAGGATAAATATAAAATGAAAATTATGATTATGGTGCTGTTGATGATGAATTCCCATAATAGTTACAATAAAATATGGGAATAGGATCTCAATTAAGAAATAATCCAAATGCTAGATTAAACATTCCTATTAAAGAACTTAAAAGTTAAGTCTGGTCAACTTTATCAAAGAAGATACCTGTATTTAAATTAAATTTAATACTAGTTATCAACAGATAATCAAGGATTAGAATTTAATTAGATTAATTAAATTTTACCTGAAATATTAAAAATGCCTACATCTAAAGGTAGAGTTTCTATTTAAACCTGCTTTGTCACTATGTTACATTTGGCAAATGAGTAGAGTTTGAAATTCATTTAAAATAATGATGAAAATGATTTTGTAATTTAACGTGAAGCATCAAAATGAATAAGAATATTGATTATTTTTAAAATTAACCATTTATTATATATTAATTAATACATATATAAATAAAATTCAGAGTTCTGATCAATTTATAGATTTTTTGAAGCGACTACAATATGGTAAGTATAATTTACATACGCATGTACAGATGCTTATTTTAAAAGCATATATTTACGTTCAATTCCCTCATCTGTTTCATTCATTTTTGAAAACTCTTTTATAGTTTCTTCTTCTTTTTTAAATGATAATTTTTATTAAGAGTTTGAATTCCTAATTAATGTCTTTTATTTCTATCCTGTTATTTACTATATATATGAATTAGGGATCATAGATAACTTTTTTTCAGGTAAATTCGACCTTTTTTATTCAGGAGTTAAACTTAAATTTTATTTACTATCTTTAACTCTTGAATTTGAATTGAATGAAATTTTGCTTAACCTACTTAACATACTTGGTTAAATTCCTAACATAACACTCCCATTATTAAAATCCATTTCTGAATGGGAATCATTGTAACTACTAACAGATTACATTCTATTTTTTCTCCTATTAATATCAGCAGCCAAAAGAGATTTTCTTTATTCTGGAGTTTTAAGTAAAGAATTCATTTCTAGTTATTCTTGAGAATAATTTAGTAATGATCCACCAATATAATTGGACGATATATCATCTTTTGATTTTTTAAATCTTAAATAAATAAAATATAATACAAAGATGGTTTGTTATTAACTAAATTACTATTATTGGAACTGCTTGGCATATGCCCTTCAATAGTTTATTTTTTTTTATCATCCTATTTATCTGATTTTTGCCCTATATCCCAATCAAAGATAAGATCTTTCTATTAGTAATTATGTTCCTATTATAATTTCTTAAATAAATTTTAGCAGTATTTATAATTTGGTTCTTGTTTGAAAGGCAAACCTTTTATATAATCTAAAAATCTTCCAAATTCAATAGGAATTCCTTTGCATAATTCATTCATATCTATTTTCATTTTCATTTAACCAACTTATCTCATTTTATCTTCTTCATCTACAAATTATAAGTTTTACCAAGGTAATTATCCTAAGTTAAATTGATTTAATTCATACCCTTTAATAAAAATATGAGCATGTAACCTAAAGATTCTAAATCATCTCTTCTACTTAATGAGAATCCTTTATGTGCATTGATGCTAGCATATCTAGTAGTTCCAATAAATGGTTAGTTTTCTCGAAATGAACTATATAAAATTAAAAGATTTACATGTGAGAATCATTTTCATCCTTGAAGAATTTGCTTATTCCGAAATCTACAATATAAAGTAAATTTTCTTCATCATCTTTGCCAACAAGCACATTTTCTGGTTTGATGTCTCTGTGTAAAACTTTACTAAAAATAATGCTAATATGGTATTACTTCTTATGTATATTCTCTATAATATTTATCATTTGTTCGGCAATATTCAATACACATTTCAAAGAAAACTTTCTAAAGGTTTTCATGAAATGTGTAAGGTCTCTGCCTAAATATTAAATAACTAAAACATTTGAATCGCCATCCTTACCTGCCCATAATAATTTTGGAATTTAGGGTATTTTTTACAATCTCTTAAGTATTTCTGCCTTAATATTTGTAATGTCATAATTACTTCTCTTTCTAAACTTGTATCATCCTTATTGCCTTTATCAATTTTAATTGCTACTACAGCTCTTGTATTTATATCCTATCCACAATAAACTACCCCAAATGATCCAGCTGATACTCTCTTTTTTGTTATATATGTATTGTTGATTAATCTTTAAAGTTATTGATTTTAAATGCTCATAAATTCTAAACAACTCTAATAATAATAATAACAAAGAACTTTTAGATTATTTATTATTATGATCTAAATAATAACTAATTGTATCCTTTAATTCAAAAATAAATATTCTATAAAGTAAAATCTAGATCATAGAGTTAATACTTTTATTAAAAAAAGATACTTTAAGAATTTAAAAATAAATGATTAAATTTATGAAGAAACACAATTTAAATCAATGTGTTACTCATTAACATGGTTTATAAAGTTTTTCACCTACTATATGACCACAATTAGGACATAAGTGAACAATATCTTAACAAGACTATTTAAAACAAGGTAAACAAAATAATATTGGAAAGGTTATAATTAAAATGAGTGAACAAACTAGTGACCCTTTTCCAATTCTATATTTTGTTAATGTTATAATTGGGCGTTTACAAAACTAACATTATATTTCTGTCTATTTTTCTTAATCATTTGCCCATTATGGAAGTTATCTAATAATTGTTTGCTCTAAATTACTTATTGATTATAGTTTAGGAATCATTTTAGTTTATGTATTAATTGGAATTCTAGTCACTAAAAAATAATTAAACGAAGTTTTTACATTAAGACTGGTATTCCTTGAACAGCATTCTAATACATTATTAAATGTTATTGATAATTAAATGAATAGCAAACTGAAAGTTGAATTATCAAGTATCTCATTCTATAAAACAAACTAAATTTTATGGAATGTTAACAAAAATAAATAAGAAATATGTAAATTTATCTTAATTGAATTATATATAAATCTTTTTAATATAGATACTAGTTTTTTAGCTAACAAGAATTCGATTTTGAAAAGAATTTCAATATAAAAATGATATAAATGATTTATAGGATTGAAAAAATTAAATAGTGTAAAAATAAGTTTGAATAGATAAGGATTGAGAAATATGTTTAGATTATATATTAATTATATAGATTTATGTAATAAAATTGAAATGAATAAATACAGAATAATATGTAATAATGAGATGATAAATTCTTGTAAAATAATAATTTAAAAAATGGAAGAGTAATTATACAAAATTGTCATAGTTGGGAATAGTGCTGTTGGAAAGTCTTCATTGCTAATTCGTTTTTGCGATGATCAATTCAGAGATATGTATCTGAGTACAATTGGAGTTGATTTTCGTTTTAAATCATTGAGGGTTAATGGATAAGGTGTTAAATTGTAGATATGGGATACTGCTGGTTAAGAAAGATTTAGAAATATTACTAATTCTTATTACAAAGGAGCATAAGGAATTGTTGTTGTTTATGACATTACAAATCTAAAGTCTTTTGAAGATATCCGTAAATATTGGATGAATGAACTCAATCATTATGCTGATGAAAATGTGTTATTGATGCTCTTAGGAAATAAAAGTGATTTAGCAACTGATGAATCTAGATAAGTAACCACAGCTATGGCTGAAGAATTAGCCAAAGAATATAATCTAAAATTCTTTGAAGTTAGTGCTAAAACAAGTGATCAAGTATTCATCATTATTTTTATTACATAGGTTGAAGCAGCATTTCAAGCATTTACTTAATTAATTTAAGAAACTGGTATAGCTGGCAAAGTAAAAAAACCATAACCACAACAATATTTACAAACTCCATTACCTTAAGAAGACAAATCCAAAAAATAAGACAGTTGTTGCTGATTTATTTGTTATATTTTAGGACAACAATATAATATATCTGAAGAATAATATATTCTTTATCTATTAAGCAATTTAATATTCTTAATTATAATTAATTAATCAAATATGTGAACCTATTCAAAATGACTATTTCTATTCAATCTAACCAAATTACATTTCATTCATATAACTAATCTTACATTATTAGAAATATAGATAATAATATAACTTCAATTGCTTCATTTATTATTATAAATATACACTATCAAATACATATTTTAATTTACCTTATTATCTAAATTTCTATTAGGAGATGAAAATTGCTCATATTAAAATTAAGCCTTAATTCTAATGAAATATGATTCAAATTTACAATCAATTATTTTCTTATTCTATAATACTGTTTTTTGTTTATTATTTTAATAAAAATCATTATAAATCTTCTAAATAAATATATTTAATACCACTGTTATATTCTTATTATATATTATGAAATATTATCAAATTATTCTTCAAGTAATTTTAAAAAATAATAATCCTATGGTTTTGAAGCTATTTTCTTTAGATATTTATTTCATCCTTTCTATATTAACTTGATAAATTGATATAATCATTATAAGTATGGGTTTGAAAATAAAAGTTAGTATGATAAGATTTATCTATGATTAGTTTAAAATGATTATATATTTAAAATTTCAAATAGAAATAATTAATATTCATTTTAGATTAATTTAATCATTAATTTATTATTAGTTATCTTTAATATATACTAATTGAAATGTTAGTAATTATATTTCAAATTTCTGTGAAATTGAACTTTCTTTAATTCAATATATAAATTAAATAAAATACAAAAAATGTATATCAGCGGATATAATAATGGAGCAACAATCCCATCTGGATATGTAACACTGAAGAATTGCAGCACAATGATTGTGGTATGATGAGGTGACACTATTCAAGTACTTGAGTATAATTAATTGCTTAAGCAAATTTGATTTCAATTGTCCTGTATTTTTAACTGTTCTTTTCATTTTACTTTATTTAAGCAATTCAATAAATTAACATGAGAATAAAATATTACGATATGTAAATTTTCAAATTATAGAGATTTTTTATTTAACAGTTGTGACAATAATTTTAGATGTGATTTGGTTTTTGAGTAATTTAAAAATAAAAATGATGAAATATTCAAGTTAAGAAGCCTCAGAATCTTTAGAATATTTATAATGGAATTCGTATTATGGACTTCATATAATGGAATTGATACTTTCATCATTAATATGTTTATTCAAAGTAAGGTGAATTGATATTAATTTAAGATCCCTTTCATATATAAATGTTGGTAATTGAGTAATTGAAATATTAAAAGGAATATTAATTATATATTAAAAATAATTATTATTTTTACAATGTTTAGCAAATTCTTCAAATAATAAACAGATTTTGAGAAAGCTCTATTAAATAGTTCAATTTTAAATAACAAACCTTTTCTCAATATTGGTGATTTAAAAAAACTCATGTAAGGATTTCCTTAAGAATAATAATTGATTTGCCGTACTCCATAACCTATTAAGAGAACCTTTTAGAAATTCTTTTAGTCTTTACCAGATAAGATATCATATAGAGTAAAACTTAAAATTTTGGCAACCTGTCATGTACTTTTGGATGATTTCTTACATGGTGAATAGTTTTCTGAATCTCTTCTCGATTGGGATGGATTTCGTTATAAGTAAACCTAAGCAAAATAGGTTGTAGGGAGAAGAACCAAGACAAAGAGAAGTTCATTATGATGTATTTTGAAATGTTGCAAAGATTCGCCAATGGTCTACACTTACTAAAAATGGCCAAATCATAAAGAACTTATACTTTAGATAGTAATCTTACTTTATATTTAAGGTTTTATAGAAAATTAATCTAATTATTATAAAGCAATCAATCTATTAACTGTTATTTTTACTTACACATCAGTATTTTATATACATTATTCATCATTTAGATAATCAAATCAGCATTAGAAAAACATTAAGAAGATATTATAGGAGAAATTGTTTTACTTATGTGGAATGATGTTATTGCAATCTACTTATTTTTTGAAAAGTTCTTATTATATTTTTATTATTAATAGGATAATTATGCAATTTATTTTGGATTTTTAAACTTTGTAAGCTTCTATATTCTTTTAAGTATTAGAATTGATTCCAGATTTTATCAAATTAACTTAATAAATATAATTATTTTATAAGTTGAATGATCATTTTTAAGAAGAAAAATAATTTACTGAACCATAATGGAAAATTTTAGATTCAAAAATGTTAGATGAATTAGAATAATTTAAATAAAGATTAAAAATATAATCAGCAAGGGGTAGATTAGTTAAGAATAAAAGTAAAGCATCATTTAGTACTTAATTATTATCACCATAACATTAATCTTCTGGATCATTTCTATTCGGAAATACAACCTTAGGTTATGTAAAAAGATTATCAACAGTTGAGGATCCTTTTGAAAATAGTGATGAAGTGTCCAAAAAATATAAAATTATGATTAAATGACCAACATTTAAATATATAATAATCTTTCATTTTACTAAACTGATCATAATACTTTCTATTCATATTTTAAAGATTTACTTAATTGAAAACATTATTTTTAAATCTCTAAAATTTAGCTTAATAATATTCAGTGTATATTATAATAAAAAAATTACATAAGCCATAGAAATTACGATTTGCATTTCTTAAAGATTAATGCACAATCATTTATTGATTATAATAAATTTATAAATGATTTCTTATATGCTAAATTAAAGTGCATCTTTCCATATAAGTGAAAATAAGTTTGATGAATGCAATAAAGGAACAAAAACTTTTCATTCTAAAACTAGATAATTAGAGGGCTACAAACTAAAAATACCAAATCAATCCAACTATTAATAAGAAGAAACTATTCTAAAAAATGTAAATACCAACTTCTCTAAGTTTTAGATTAAATAATAATTTAAAAAAAAGAATGATGAATTTGATTCAGTTGCTTATGTAAAAAATATAATAAGCTCATCTCTAAGTATTCTTGAATAGGAACATCAAATTATTCAATAATTACAGAATCTAGAAGATGAACATACTCAATCAAGTTTATAATAATAGATATTAAACCAAAATGATATTGAATCATTTTAGTTGCCTCCCACTATTCAATAATTTTCATAACCTAACAAAAAATCACAAAAAAAATCAAAGAACAAAAAAAATAAAATTGATCCATAACTAAAAATTCAAAAAAACTAAACTTTAACATAGAAGTAGTAGCATTAACAACCTTAGAATGAATAGTAGATTAATGAAAAATAGTGTAATTTGAACTCTTCTTAAATTATTCATAAAATGAAGTACTAAACGAATTCATAAAAATAATAAATATTACATAGTTTTAATCAAATAGAGAATATAGAGTAGAAATATAAACATAATTAAAGTGATCTGGATGCTTAAAATACTCATGTAATAAAATAAAATAATATAGATTGGTGCTATAAGTACAACAACAGGAAATTCTTAATCAGAATCTGATGATTGTTTATAGTAATAAGATGAGAACAATCAAAAAGATTCAAGTATTCAAAAACAAAGTAATAGAGAGAAAAATAAAAAAAAAAATTAAAATCACATATAAAAAGTTGGAAACAAATTATATCAATATTCTTCATAAAATACACCTATAAAAGGTAAATAATTAAATTTAAACAAATTTAAAACACATGATATAGATGAATTTATAAATAGTATACAAATAAAAAGTTTTTAAAGTAAAATAAGGAAACGAATATGTTTTAATAGATTACATCATATAATTTCAATGAATTCAGATCTTAATATTTATGCATATGGATCATTTGAAACAGGACTCGATTTAGAAGTGAGTGATGTTGATATAGGTATTTGGGGAACATAAACATTGAGTTACAATTAGATTGTTAACTTTTTGTAATAAATAAATTAAATTTTAAAATAGACACCATTTTTAGTAAATTCAAAGTAAAATTATTTAGATAATGTTTTAGATTAATACAAAGTCATATTCCAATACTAAAATTAGAATTGAATCCAAAAACTGAGTTTTATAATGACAATATTTATATTTAATAAAATTGGCAAAGTTTTCATTTAGATGAATAAGATTCTGGTATGTTTAGTCTTTTAATCATAGGTAAAATAATTTAAGTGGATTTAACTTGGATTTATTAGTGGAGTAATATATTTAATAATCCACATTTGGGATTTGCTTCAACTACAATAATTAAAGATTGGGTTAATAGATTTTATTGGTATAGAGAAATTATGTTAATTTTGAAGTATTTACTAAAATAAAAGAATTTGAATGACGCTTACACAGGTATTTTTATTAAAATAATTACAAAAGGAGGAATATCTTCATTTTGTTTGACAATAATGCTAGCTGCTATTTATATGTGTAAACATTACACTTAAAATGATAAGAAATAAATTCTTCTTGACTTTTTAAAAAAATATGCAACTTAATTTGATCCTTTAAAAGAGGGTATTTATATTGATGGTTATGGGTACAAAAATTATCTAGTATAGGTAATAAAACCCATTTATAGCGTTGGATGAATGTCCCCCTTATAATCCTCTTACAATATACTCACCAATTAATTACTAAATAATATCTCAAAAAGCTATTAGATTTCCTGAGATTTAAGAAACATTTAGAAAATTTTATGAACATTTAATGAAGTCGAATAATAAAATTCAAGATTACTTCGATGTTCCTTAATAAATGAATTAATAATTATTTATTTGATTATATATATTATGACTAATAAATAAAATTATAATTGAAATTCAGTATTCATCTAATGCTTTATGAGTTTTTGAAAATGCAACACTAGTATTAAGTCCATCAAATTTATAATTATGTCCAAGGAATCCTTATGTGAATTTAGCTTCTCTTGGATAAAATTTTTCAATTAATTCAAATTTTGTTGGATTTAATTGTCCATATAACATATTCTAAGTTTCATAAATAGGTGATCCTATCATATAACAAAACTGTGATACCAACATTAATTCCTTAAGTAGGTTTAGTATATTCATTTTCTCTAACTGGAAATGGTTTTGGAGGTACTTTATTATCAATTTTCCTTTTTTATATTTCTTTTTCTATCTCTTATGATTGTTTCTCTAAACCAAATTGCTAGGCCACTAATTTATTTTTAATTAGTTTTTCAGCTCTTCTAAAATCCTTTACAAAAATATAGAAATTGCATATACTTGCATATTTCTAACAATTTCAGCATATGTAGGAACTGGTATTTAATCTAATTTAACTTATTGTTTCCCTTCATGCAATAACCATCCATTTCCATACTAAGAATTACAAGTATTATAATGAGCTGAAATTGATCTTGGATGTTACATAATATATAAATAAAAATGTAAAAAAAATTTAACTAATTTGGTATTGAGAGTAAGGATAGTACAATGAATCTTTTTAGAGTCAGACCTTAATATCTAACTCATGTATCTCCTGTAGCTGTTGAAGCAGCACATTCAAATTTCTTTAGTGGATCAAAAGAATTATTAGATAAAATACCTGATCATGAAAAAGGACCAAGGTAAGATTCTAAAGGAAACATTGTTAAATATACTGTTGTTGGAAGTGTTTAATAATTCTTAGCTGAAAAATCAAGAAGCTAATAATAAAACAGAAAACCTGCATAAATAAGGGTTACTGCAAATTCATAAGCAACTCCTTCTACTTAATAATAAAATGACCAAACAGAAAGAGTGATTTTCAGTTCTAAAGGTATTTTATTATCGTTTACGTAGCCATAGAATAATCAAGCAAAGATTTTTAATCTAAAAAAAATAAAGTTAAAACTAAAGACTTTTAAGAATTAGTTTTAAATGAAGATTAAGTTTAAGAACAAATTTAATAAATCTAATAAAGAATTGAAAAAAATAAAATAGAAGTATGTATCTATTTATATAAATTAAATTAAGAACGATAAAAAAACAAGATAATTATAAAGTCGTATGTCTAAAGGTGAATCTTTAAAAATGAGTAAATGTGAAAGAGTTATTGAAACATTTGATTAAGTATAATAAGATTGGGATTTAACTAAAATAAAAATAGAATCTAAAATATAAAGATTACCAGGTCAATCTCTTTTAGATAGAATTGAATAACATAGAATGAAAGAAGAAATGAAAAGAGTATTAGATGCTTTAACTCCAATAGAAGAAAAATAAGGTAATGAATTTTGGGTATAAATATAATATCATATACTATTAGCGTCTCGGATTAAGAAAAAAAGACTCGAATATTAAACCCAAGACTTTCGTAGATTTATTTGAAAAAAATCATTAGATCTATGGCAATCCTAAATCTCCACAAATAGAAATTGTTAGAAGATCTTCTTTAAGTTAACTTGATTTCAAACCTTTTAGTACTTTCACCTCTCAATCTGCTTTAAATAAAAAGCTTTCTGAAAACTCTGATCTTATTATGAAATTAATACCAACAGTCCCTGATGACATTGGAAATCTCGAAGTTGTTGGCAAAAATGTGCTTGAATAAGAAATTATTTAATTAAGATCTCAATCTCATAAAAATTCGTTTCCTTATGTAAGGTTTAGTAGCAATTCTAATTACGAAAAATATATCATGAAAATTCCAACTAAACCAGAAACTTAATAAAATGAAGAAATTATAGAGGAAAATTATGATAGAAAACGTCTTATGTCTTAAGGAAAGCTTTCTGAAGTCAAAGGATATTTTTGAGATTTTAATATAAATTTAGTAAATTAATTTCTCATAATTTAATTCATAATTTTCAAACATTGGTATCTGAAGAATGCTAAAGATATTCGAGTTTTAAGTATTTTATTACAATTATTATGTCTTTTGATTTTTTACATTAAAAAAATAATATTAGTAAAAATACTAATGTTGCTATCCAAATAATTGTATAAAAAAATGCAGAAAATAAATTTGCATTTTCCAACATTGAAAATATTAAGGATTATACATAACAATCTATAATTCCTATTACAAATAAATTTGATTGATAGATTATTAGTTATGAAGATTTTTAATCTTTAAATGTTTTAAGAGCTATGCAAAATGTGATTCCCCATAATGAATAACTAATTTGATAATATTTTTTACCTTACAAGTAATAAAATTAATCCTATAACTTTACTATTGTCAAGCAATAATATTCCTTTAAAAATTAAAATAATTAGCTAATAAATCCCAAATATCACATTTGTCACAGCAAATCTTAAAAAACTCTAAATTATACCTTGAAAATATTTTTCTATATTCTATTTCTTTCTCTATTAATGGAGCTTATTTTTATTTATTGTTATCAATTGAATTGGTATTATCTTTATTAACCTAATTGATCTCATTTGCTTTTTATATGGCTACTTGCGATCCAGAATAAATTACTTGAGAATATTTAGGTTTAAACTCACTATGTGATTGTTAAAATCATTACCTCAAAGAAAATGTAGTTGAATTTTATAAAACTATTGGATCTGTGTTTAATTCCATTTCCATTTGAAGTAAGTAAATTATAAATTAATATTAGAAAATTAAATTATTTATTTATATTATTAAAAGAGCTCGATTGAGTATATATCTCTTTAAAATATTTAATTTAACCTTGATTTGATTTAATAGAAACTTTATTTTTAATATTTTAATATTATTATAATTCAATTTAAAGTTAATCTATAAAATATATTAGTTATTTTAATGCTGAATAATTGCATTAACATATAATTAATACTCTCTAAATGCCCTGTAACGAATTTATAAATTAAATATTACTGTATTATGATAGATTAATTGTCTTAAATATTACTTAGTGAATCTACAATTTTTGAAATTTAAAGATTACCATAAAGATTCTAAGTAACATAGAAAAAGTGAAGTGGAAAAGTGATGTATTTAAGTAGTTATAAAGTGCAATAGAATATATGCATAGAAATGGTATTTGCCATAGAGATTTGAAACCAAATAATATTTTATCATATGAAAGTATTTATATAAATTCAATTGATAAAAATTAGATCAAAGTTACAGATTTTAATTGTAAGTAAATTTAGTAATGTTTATAAAGAATTTGGAGATTTTAAGGATAGAGAGGAAATTGAAATGTGGACTTATACTGGAACTATTGAATTTTCTGCTTCTGACAGATTTTGAGGAGAAAGTTATAATTAATTATTCGAATATATATTTAAGTTAAATGGTTGATATGTGAAGTACAGATTGAATTATATATTAAATGTTGTCTGAATAATTAACATTTATATTTGATTAGTAAATTATTCAATTAATATTTTAGTTTAAATGATTTAATTGAAAAAATCAAAGATGATGCAGCTCTTGAATTTTTCAAAGATCTATTTGATAAGTTTTGAAGAAACAAAAGATCAAAAATATAACGATAATAAATATATGGGATATTTACTCTGATACTGCCTTTAAATATTCATGGTTTTTGATTAATTGATGATGATCAAACCAGAAAAAAATCACTTAGAAAATTAGCTATCAGAAAAAATATGCCTAGATTAAATATGCTGAAAAATAGTCACAAATAACGAAATATCCTTTTAAGATCTTAAAAAGATATAACTATTAAGAATAATTATTCTGTCGATTCTAAATGTGATATTTAATAAAACGATTCAGCTAATACTTTTCTTAAAATTCCATAAAAAAAGCATTTTCTTCTCAAACATTTTAAGCTATCCATTAAGAATTAACTAACATTCTTTAGATCAATAGTAGTCTCCCTCTCTAACTAATTAATCAAATTCATCTAATTTAAATGAAGATATAAATTTAGATTAAAGTGTTCTTGATCGTTTATTAATTTAAAAAGTAATATAATGTTTATGATGAGTGTAAAAATGATTACAAATTATTTTAAATCAATTAGGTTCAATCTATATCAAGAATTCAATAAATTGAATTTTTTAAATCTATACATTCAATTTCAATTCATTATTTATTTTTATATTTAAAAATAATATATAATATATAATATAGAAAATTTGATTGAAAATAGAAAAAAGAGCAAATACTATTGTTGAAATTTTTACTTTCTTTGAATAATATTTCATTGTTATATTGTGTAAGAAAGACATGGTAATATGAAACATAGTATCAATACAATCTTCTTAAAATTATATAAACCATATGCTTTTTCTATTTTCATATTTGATATTTTTGTTTGCAATCACTACTCAATTAAAGAGAATTCTGTAACTTTTAGTATTTCAGAACATTCAATTCAAAATGATTTCTAGTTTAATATTTTCCTTCAGATTTTGTAGTAAATTATACAGTATAGAATCTTTCTCTTTCAGTCATTTCAGAATCTCTTCTCTTCTATTTATACCTCTAAGATTTCCTATTTGTATTTGTATCAATAGATTGATTTCTAAAGACATTCTAATCTAATGAAAACTCAAAATTTAAAACAGAGGGTTTTTATTGAGTATAATTCTTTCTTGTGAAATATGTATTGTTTATTGTTTTTCCATTATCTATCTTTAATGAATTTTTTTGTTGTTTAAACAAATTAAAAAATTAATTTCTTCTTAATCTTTAAGACTCACATTCTTTTTATTGTTTAAATTTATTTGTTTGATTCAACATTTTTATTCCTTCTATTATAAAGAATCTATTCTAGCAGCTTTTTTGAATACTATGACTTTTTTGGGCTTTTTTTGGAATTATTATATCTCTAAAACCTCTTAATTTTTATGTTTTAGTTTCTTGCATAAATTAATTACAAATGTCATTTAATCATACATAAAGATTTTGGTTCAAAAAAATTTAATTAAAAAGACATTTAATAAGAATTGAATTAAAAAAATTCTGTTATAATTCCTCAAAAATATAATTTATAAAATCAGGCAGTTATTAAAAATAACATAACTTTATTATAAAATTTTAGATAATGATAGAATAACATATAAAATTTACTAATTTGCATTGAGAGCTAATAATCGTTTATACCCAATGAAGGAAGTTTAAATCAAATAATTAAAATTTTTATTTTAACATTCCAAAACTTATATTCATTTTGATACAAATCTAATTTAAAAATAGATTAAATTAGAATAAAAAAATATCAAAAAAATTAAATCCCTTCTCAAAATTGAAAAATCTGTTATCAATTTTTGGAGAAATAATACAAATCATGAACAAACCTATTAAATAAAATTAATTTTTACAATTAATTTAAGCCTTTTTGATAAATTATCCAAAAAAAAAGCTAGAATAAATAAATATTTTTGAAAAAAAGAATTGTCAATGTTTTTTCAATCCATTTTAAAATTTATTTTAATTTAAATTTATCCTTGTTTTACAAAAATAATAAATATATTTTCAATTATTAAGACACTGTAGTTCTTTGACCTATTTTACATGTCGAAAAGGAAAGTTTGACTTTTTATCATCTACAACTAAAAACTTTTACTTTTGCATTCCAATTTAAGAAAACTGAAAAAAATTTTTAATTTAAAAAATATTTTGCCACAATTTGTCAGATAGAGAAGCCATATTTATAATTCAGAAAAATCGCTTTTAAATACACCTTTATATATATTTTTTTTCATTTATTTTATATATGGCATTTACAAACGATATATTAATTATTAAAGTTCCGATCTTCTATTTGAAATTAAATATTGGATTAGAGTTTTAATGAAAATAATAAATGGTCTATTTTTCTTCTCTCAATACTACAATGCATTATAAAATTTCAAAACTCCATATTAATTTATACAATCACATGTTTTTATTTCAAATATTTCATCTGCTGTTTCCATTAGCAAAATTATATCTTGATTTATTAGAAATATGGTTGCTATAAAACCTTTTGGTTCAAAACAATAAAACCTACAAGACATACACGTATTTTCTCATTTTTTAATTATAATATTTCATTATTACATAATATAATCCAACTCTATTTGAAGAAAAAATCTAAATATAAGAATTGCAAATTAGAGGTAAAAATATTTTATCTTTAATATTAAATGTTAATATTAAAAATAATTAAACAAATAAAATCTTATTGACTTTTATATTAATGTAATGTTAGATCTTAATATTTAATTTTACAAAATTTGTGTAAAATTTATTAATGATAGTGATAATTTAATAATTTTATCAATTTTAAAATTAACATTTCTTTGACTTATGATGCTTAATAATGAATTAAGTTGATAATTTAATTTTATTGTAAATAAAAACTATTAAGGGTATCTAGAACTTAAATGAATTTATAATTATTTAGCATTAAAATTTTTAAAAGTAAAGTTTTCTGTAATTGATAGTAAGGCATTCACAAATTATAGTAAGTTATAAAATCAGAATAGAGTTATAAAAGAAATAATATTTTAATTTGTGTGCAGATTTTTTGACTTAAATATTTAAACATGATTAATATAAATTTGAATATTAGAAATAAATTTAACAGAAAAGAATGTACTCTGAATTTGGTGGTGGATAGTAGAAATAAAACTATCCAATGAACAAAATAACATAATCTTACAATCCTGTTGTTCAAGATGCTCCAAGATAGAGATTACCTAATGAGAATCCAAAAGATTATATGTTATCAGCATATACTTCGCTGATTCACGTAATAGACATAACCTCAACATCAGCAATATATAGAGTAGATCCATTTGCAAAATACTTATGCTGTTGGACAAATATAATAAGTTAAGCAGAAATAGGTGCAATTTAAGAGAGAACAAAATGGAGACATCCAAATTTAATTTGCTTTTTATTCTTTTAAGATGTAAGTGACAAATATGCTCAATCAAAAGAATTTAAAATCTATTATGAATATTTACCATTAGATGTGAAATAATTAATAGAAAAAAGATAATAAAGTAATGAGTATGTTCCAGAGGATGAAATTTGGAAAATGATCTCTGGTCTATCAGATGCATTATTATTCTTATAAAAGAAAGGAATATCCCATTCTGCTTTGAATCTTGAGTCAATATATTTTGATGAGGAATACTTATTGTATAGAGTACAAGATGTTAGTCCATTTAGAGCAAAAGCACCACATTTATTTTATAATCAATTTTAACCATCTGAAAATGGAAGCAATTAAAAGTGTAATAGATTTAAGAATGATGTTTTTGGTCTTGGGTAATATATATAATTTAATTAACTTAGTATGATTATTTTGTCATTGGCATTATTAAAAGATTGTCAAGAATTATATAATTAAGGAGTTTTATAAGTTGATCAATTGGAGGAACACATGTAAAAGATGGGGAAATTATATCCTGGAAGAGTTGAGAATGTTTTAAGATAAATGATTGAATTAGATAATGAAAAAAGGCCTGATTGGGTAGAATTTTAATAGGTTCTATAATAAAATAAAGAGAAATAAGTAGGATTATCAGAATAATAGTCGAATATTGTATAATAAGTAAACCATCAGAAATGTACAAAAAGTGTAGATGCCAATAATAACAACCAAGAAAATATAGAAATAAAGATTAACAGTTAGAAGGGAGATGGTTTAGATTAAAAACTAATTAATTTAAACAAAAGAATTTAAGAAACTTTATCAAAAAGCCTTAGTAAAAATTTAAGATGAATTATTTTTGATTAATATACTAGTTATCAAATTTAACCCATTGCTATTCCATATCCAAATTTATAGCTATCTTTATGATAATCTGCAATAGCACATAATTTTAATTAATAAGCAAATCCTTAAAGTGTTAAAGCAGAGCTGAATTTCATTTTTGAATTGAGAGTCACAATAACTTCTGATTGGGCAAATTTCTATCTATAACCCTAAAATTATAAATATATTTATTACAATAATAGTTTTTGATTCTCCATTTTAATTTGAATATTCTAATTCTGACATGAAAAATGCTTTATCTAACAACTATTTTTCGATTCGAATTTTTTACTTTGTGATAATAAGCCATGATTAATGAATCAGCAGCTCCAACATATTAAGTGAAAAATATCTAATTCTTGTTGATACCATACTTTAAGGCATAATTCATAAATGAAAGATTTCTTTCAGTCTTAAAAATTGTTATAATAAGATACTAGAGTCATCATTTCATATCCTAATACAAATCTATTTCCAATAGTTTGCATCATATTAAAACTATAGAGTCCTGTACCCATTTTAATAGAATGAACATAATCTTCACCATTTATATCGCAATCAAAATGAATTTGAGCATTTAAAGGATCAGAATTTAAATAAAAAGCGCTAAATCTTAAATTTTTAATAGAATATAAAAAGTTTACCTAAGATTGAAAATCTCATTTATCTTCTTCATAAGAGCAGCTTCTAATTTTCCAGTTGAATCCCATCTACCTGTCATAATATATGTAGGTTAATCATAAGGTGTTCTGAGAGTGCCTCCCAAATATTAAGCAGCCAAAGTATAACTTGGAACAGGTGGTTGTTTCATTGGATTAGGATTTGGTGCTTTACCTTTGCTCTAAAGATATATAAGATATATTTACAGATGGTGGTATCAACCATGAATGAGCTAAATGAAAATTATTTGATAATCCACCTGCAACTTCAAATTTAAAACCTTTAATATGTTCTACTTTTTTAGTAACAGCTCTAACATTATTTAATAAGCCATCAAATAGAGGTGGTCTTCTAGGGTAACGATTTCTAAATGAAGGTGGTAATCCCATTTCATCATCATCATTAATTTTAAGATGTGGATCTTATTATGCATATGCTGGATTATCCATATCAACTTCTTCCTTATTGATTCTTGCCATTATTAATTTTTAATTAATTATTATGAATTAAGATGATCATAATTCCAATGAACATAAGGCTGATAAGTAACTCCACTATTATGATTAAGAATGGCCATAACAACCTCCTTCATTATCTCCAAGATTCACTCCCTAACAATGTTATCTCTATCCTCCTTAAAATATTTCAAACTTTAATCTTCTTGCTGAACCTGAATTCTAAGATAAAAACAAACCTAAATATCCATTTCGAAAATTATCTGCAGGAGATGCACCAGATGAAGAAGATCAATTTCGATAACCATACAATCATTACTATTAATAAATCCCCCCATAAATTAAATATCCTCAAAATAACCCTTATATGCATATGAAATATCCTATACCCTATCCACCTCCATGGTATAGACATCCATATCCTCCATTCTATTATCCTCCTTTTGATTCATCGTAATACCAAAACACTTTATCCAAAGAACTTCAATCCAAAGTTAATCAACTTGTTCAATTTTAAAAGGTTTCTCCTTTTCAATGCAATTGTAAAAAAAGTAAATGTTTAAAATTATATTGTGAATGCTTTGCCAATAATTGGGTTATCATTACATTTTATACTTAGGTTTGTTCACAGAGTTGTAATTGTACTGAATGTAAAAATAGAATTGATAATCCAAATGAAAGATCTAAAGCTATTGAAGAAGCCTTACTTAGAAATCCAGAAGCATTCTCTGCTATACTTACTAACAATGGATAATTACCATAAATCATTCCAGGTATCTAATCACATTTCTACAAGAACCCAAATCATAAAAAGAATTAACCAAGGAAACCAAAAAAGGATGCAATTGTAAAAAATCAGAATGCAAAAAGAAATATTGTGAATGCTATAGTATTAATTAAAAATGTACTGATTTATGCAAATGTGAAAATTGTTTAAATAAAGAAGAACCTTTAGATTAAATCCCTAATTTTAAATCTGATAATGATCCTCCTGCATAACCATAGTTATTAAAATAAAAAGTCACACAAAAAAAAGATTTAAAGTCTAAAAAAATAAAAAAAGAAGAAGTTCAAATAAACAATAATAATAATACTAAAAATCAAAAAAAGAAAAGAAAGAATTGATAATCAAGTTTATGTGTATAATATATGTTATTGTAAAATTTTCAAATTGATTCTTCCATATCAAATTAACTGTATTTTTTAGATACATCTATCTATGATTCATGAGTTCTTTTGAATAAGTTTTTCAAAAATTTCACAACTTTTTTCAACTGTTTAACAATTGAACCTAATTTACTCATTTTTTTTAATTACTTTTTTTATATTATTCATCATTCTCAGGAATTTATTATATTTTATTCTCTTAAAGATTTTTTAAACTAATTATCAAACCCCCAATTTTTTATAAGACCTTTCTAGTATACAAATAACGAAAAATTAATGCCAAAAATATTAAAAGAATTATAAACTTGCCATTTTCAAACCTATAAAATTCCAAGAAAAGCATAAATACATACATTATTTTTATCGTTAGAATTCTAATCTGTTGTAACTTTTTCATTGTTTTATCCCATTATTGGACTAATATGTTTACAAAATAAAGTTACATAGTGAACAAGCATAAATATAAACCCATTTGAATTTATTTCATGGTTTTAATTTTTAATAAAAATATTAAAGAATCTCACATTGTATTTTCCATCTATTAGATCATAATATAAATCACAAAAAATATATAATAAACATAAATTATTAATCATAAAATATCATTAAGTATAATTTCTATTTTTAATGAATTGAAAAGATTTCAATTTAAATTAAGTGTCTTTTTGATTGACGTCTACAACATTACAATAAATTTTGAATCACTATACTGTTAATAATAATTTAAAGTTTTTTTTATTTCAATATTAGTTAATATTTAATTTTAATGAATAATATATAATTCACACCTGAGGAAGATCAATATTTTAGGCAACTTTGGAGCATACTTGATCCTTAAGTAATTAAAAGATTTAATTGATTAGGGATTTGGAAGTGTTAATGATAAAGAGTCTATAACATTTTTCAAAAAAAGTCAATTACCATCAGACAAACTAAAAGCTATTTGGGTGAGGGCTGTATAAAATACTGAAAAAAAATTATACACATCAGAATTTTTTATTATGATGAAATTGATAGCATATTGTCAAAATGGATTTGAATTGACAGATTAATTACTGAGTGAAAATAAATAAGTTCGTTTACCAGTTATAGATGGATTTCCACTTCCATAATAAGCAATGCCAGCTCCTGGACTTGATGCTATTCAATAATAATTTCCTTAATCTTTTCAAATTCCTATGGCTCAATAATATTAAACAGCTCCTGTTCTTAATTAACAATATTACAAGCCACCATTAGTTTAAGCTGCTCAATAGGAAATTTCAAATCAATTTGATATAAGCAATGAACTATATGAAAAATACAATTTACATTATTAATAATAGGATAAAAAATAGTAAGGATATATTGAAGGTGAAAATGCAAAGGCTATTTTTTATAAATCTGAATTATCAGCTTAAGTATTAAAAGAATTATGGGCACTTGTTGATACAAATCAGAAAGGATTCCTTTTTAAGAATGAATATATTGTTGCTATTCATTTAATTTCTTGTTGCAGAAAAAATATTCCACTTCCTTTAGTTTTACCTGAATCTCTTTAAAAATTGATCGCTTAAACCTAACCTCAATCATCTAACATAATAAAAGATACAAAAGTCTCATATGAGATTCCATAATAAATTTCTCAATTTCAAGAGACAAGAGTTTAATCTGGTTAATAGTAATAATAATTATAGAACAGTGAATTGCAAGCATTAAATACATAATAAACATAATTATAAAATTAATTGAATTCATTGATTATGCAATTTTCTAATAACTCTAATAATTAAGCTTAAAAATAATTTATTTAATGGAAATAAAATGATGTCGAATTTTTAAATTAACAAATCAATAATTTATAATAAATTTTTAATAGTTTGAAAGTATAAGAATCAGAAATCTAAGCAGAAATATAAAGATGCTAAACTTAAACCTAAATCTAAAAAGCTCCTGTTTTATAGTCTTAATAAATAGATTATCCAAAACAAATTTATTAAGGTATGTATATGAATTAACCTTAAAACTTAAATACTAATTTGAATAATTATCCCTCTTTGTCAGTTGATAATACTAATCATGAAGTTAATTATTCATTAAAAGATGGATATGAAAATTATCAAAATAAAAAATCAGCCTCAGATATTCCATGGTGAAGAAAATATATTATATACATTTAACATCTATAAATATACAAAATGGTCTATCATAAAATAAAAGTAGTTCTCTTGTTTTATTCTGAAATCATTTCTTCTGCCTTTAATGTTCCAACAATTGTTTCAAGTTGATATGCATCAAATTTACTATAATAAGTTATTATCTATGTTTTATTTCCTAGATTTTCTATGCTTTAAATCAATTACTTATATATGATTGAATGTTGAGGTAATTAATAAAAAACTATATTTTTCATTTATCTAAGTTAAATTATTTCAAAATAATATGCTCTTTCTGTTATTAGTATATATTATATTCTACCATCTTTAAATTTACTAATTATACTCTGAACTTTGTTCTTTTTTGTATATTCACTTACACATTCACAATTACTATTAATTCTTTTGAAATGTCCTTTCAAAGCAACGAAATCAAAATAAGATTGAACAAATATCAATGTTTTTTTAAATTATGAACTTTTATTATTTTCAATATCATTCCAAAGTTTTTTAAATTGATTGAATCTTTATTCAATTTATTATTCATTTGTAGAACAATCAATTTATCTAAATTCTTATTAAAAGTTTACTGATTTCTGAAATAATTAATTATAGTAAATTTTATTACTAATACATCCTTTATAATTTAAAAAGTATTATTTTCTGAGATAATTTAATTCCTAAAAGTAATGATCAGTGTAAACTATATTTTATCTATAAAATTTTGATAAGTTTTCAAAACAGTAAGGTCTTATCATACTCAAATCACTAGTAATATTTTTATGATTTGGCAATAGATTAGTGACTTCTAATATATCTTCTAGATAAGTCCAATTCTACATATAAATAGAAGAGGCTCTATCTATTACTAATATTTCAATAGAAGACAGAAAATGAGTTTCTCGATGTTACTAATCCTATGTTCCAATTATCAATCTCATTCCTAAAGTAGATGTAACTATAATATCTGATTTATCAAAATTTGAATGTAATTTAATATAACCTTGCCTTGAAAATTGTATTCCAATTCTAAAATCATCTTCCTCTAGTCTCTCTTCATCACAGAATTCATTTTCATATCTTTCTTTATTGACTATTTCTTTATCACTTTAAATGAGCTAATTAATTATTGATATTGCATCTCCTTTAAAGGCTGTTAATATTAGTATTTTACATCTTGTAAATCCATAAGATTCCTTTTCTTTACTTAAATGATTTACGATATGATTAATATATGTTTTTCTAAATTTTTCAGCATTTAATTCATCAGGATCAGTTTCAATGTAATCAAAATAACTAGAAATTAGATTTGTCTATATTAATTCTTTTTCATCCTCTAAATCTATCACAACAGGCAATTAAAATTTATCATCTTTTATTAATTACCTTTAGGATAAGCTCTCAATATTATAATCTTCTCTTTTACAATTAATATCAATTAAAGTTTTGTTTTTAAATAATTTATTTAGTTCATATTTTTTAAACTCAATTCCATTATTTAAAGTGTGAACAAGTTTAGTTGTTTTCTCCTTAAAAAAAGCATTAAGTTATTCAGGTTATTCAATTTCGATTTCTCCTAAACAAATAGTTCTTCTCAATTCTTAATAATCATATTCAAAATGTGAAAATGGATTTGTGTTAGGTACTTTAACTATTTCATATTTTTTCATTTTTGCATAAATAGTCTTATTTTCTTATTTGATATTCAATTTAGCAGACTCTGAGTTTCCATAATTATCATCAGCTTATTATTATTTAATATTTAGTTTTTTAAGTAAATTTTAATAATGAGAAGGCTTTTCATTACTTTTTTTAAAATCAACCACATGATCAAAAATTTATTCATCTTCATTTTACTACTCAGAATTATCTTCATCAGTGATTTCTTCTACTTCATCTTATTTTTTAATAGCTAAAGGTTTTTTTTTCTTAATTTGTTTAACAATTGGATCACTTTCTTTATTATTTTGTTTTTTATTTTTTTTGCCCATAAATTTTACACAAATAAATAAAATTAAAATTAAAGAAATTGTAATAAATGTAATTAGACTATCAACTAATTGATAAATGTTAATTTTATGTATTATGAATTGATACATTTGCAATCAGAAAAAGCAATTTTGAAAAAAGAATTTTTATTCAATTTTTAAGTTTATTAATTTTAAATTTAAATTCAAATGGAACACTAAAATTATTGCACAACGGAAAATGGAGTTCGAGTATATAATGTGAGTTCAACATTACCTAATTGCGCAGCAGAAAATATTTTGATTTAAGAAAGGAAAGTATATAATCAAATAAAATTTTAAGGCATTATGGATGTCTTTAGCAGGATTACCTCAATATATAACTTTAGATTTATCTTAAGTTTAAGAAAGACCGAAATTTATCAAATGTTTTGGGTTTGATTGTTGGCATGATTATTAAAGTAATCCATCAGTGATTGAATTGATGGTATCATTAAATGGTGAAAATTTTATTACATGGACAACTCTATATCCTGAATTGAAACAAGGAATATAGTTGTTTTAAATAGATCCTTTGGGAACTAGATACTAATTTATAAAAATAATTATAAAGGAGACATTCGGTGCATCTAAAACATATTTAAATTAAGTATATTTACTTGAAGAATATGCTATGATAAGTACAGAAAGTGTAACAGAATCTTAACAATAGACTGAGAATAATAATAGTTAATATAAACATCAATTTGAGAAGGAAGAATTAGATCATCATGAAAGATCAGATAGAATGGATAGATTTGAAAGATTGGAAAGGAATGATAGAAATGAGAGATAGGATAGAAATGAGAGATAAGATATGAAAATTAATGAGTATCATGATTTGGCTTAAAAGATTCATAGTATGGGAAGAGAAGTAGCTAGTTTGAAATAGAGTCATTAATAAGGAAAATCAAGTTAATCATAAACTAAATAAGGATTTCATAAAAGTAATCTTACAGAAGATGTTCCAGAATCTTTTTAAAGATTGACATCAACCGAAAGAATGGTACTAGATATTTAAAGTAAGAATTTAAGTGAAATAAATATCTTAAAAAAAGAAGTTTAAGATTGGAAAAATAAATGTGAACAATTAGAGAGTCAAATTTAAAGATTATTTAAAATGGTTACTCAAATTAAGGATAAATAATAAGAATAAGATGATTCAATCCATAAATATATTTAATAGAATTAAAGTGAAGTAAGTTTTGATGTCAATAAAAAATAAGGTTTTAATAATGGTCAAATAACTCAATAACAATCTTAATAATCTTAACAATCTTAGATAACATCAACTTAATTATAACCTTAATAATAATAATAGTAGACTGGTAAATTTGAAGAAGTAATTGATAAGAAAATAAGTGAACTTTCTGGTAACTTTTAAACCTTGTTTCAATAATAAGAATCAAAGTTTAAGAATCAGTAAAAAGAATTGATTAAAAGTTTTAAGGATTATATTTAATAAGAATAATAATAAGAAAAGTATCGAGAATATGATAAAAAGAAATAAGTTTCAAGAGGAAGGTAAAAAGAGAAATCTGTTTCAAAGTCATCATCTGTCAAATCATCCCGTAGTTCTTCTAGTAGTTCAATAATCAATTTTATTAAATCAAAAAAGGCATAATCTAAATCAAGATAATAATCAAAATCACATTTGAAATCATTACCTAGATCAAGATCTCCTGCTGATTCAAAAGAAAATGACAGATATGAGAATAATAGATTATCACCTAAATAAAGAAAGGTAGCTACATTGCTAGGAAAGTTATAAGAAAAATTATAAAAAAGAGTAAATTTATATAATTCATTAATTAGGCTAAAAAAATTGAGTAATTAAATTTATCTTAAAAGAAGACAAGAAAGAGAGGGAGCATTCAGAATTCTATGGATTAGTCCAATTCATCTGATTATTGATATAATTAATTTTAATCTTATAAAAATTCATTTCTTTAAATGTCTAATTTAATAACTCATAAATTATGTTTAAAACTTTAAACAATCTTTTTAAATAGAAAAATTAAATTTAGTTTTTAGTTTGTTAATTAGTAAAGCATCAATTTAATTTTTATGATACTAGTTCATTATGAAAAAGTTAGCTAACTAATTTCTATTAATATTAGAAGAGTTTGTGTTTTACTCAACTAACTTAAATTCCAAATTAAACATACATGTTAAAATCAGATTAATAATTGTTTTTACATGATTTATGAATAATAGATGATATATTATATGTTATATGGTAAATTTTATATTAATGAATAGTGAGTAATAAATAACTAAGTTAATCATAAAAGGAAATTAAATATATATTAATATATCTTTCAAATTTATACAGCTCCTCCATAAACGGCTCCTTAGTTTTGTACTGGTCCTTATTATGCATTTTAATTCATTTAATTTACCCTTGTGTTATTCAAATCAATCATCATAGATCTGATTTGCCTAGCATATCTAATAAACATTCCGTAACAAATAAGAATTATAATAAGTGAGATAATGAAAAAGATTAATCTTAATTAATAAAGAGATTAAATACTCTACACTTCTTTTATTTTCCTTATCATTTTTTGAATATTCGTCTTAATAATCATCATCTTCTTTAGTTTGATCATAGGATGCAAAAATGATAATAGATCCAATGAGTTCAAATACTAAGGCTATTACCAATAAGATTTGATAGTGCAATAAGATTTTTTCCACATATCGACTAATTGAATAAATTCCACATATAGCTCCAATCACAAAAAAGAAGTTACTGTTATAAATACGATATAAATTACGAGATAATATACATGACACCCCCTGCTCTTTCAGCCCCTCCCTATTCAAATGCTGCAACACATCTAACAATCAAAAAGATCATTGCAAGAACTCCAATGCAACAATTGCATCCATAGAAACTTAATCTTAATATATTAATTACTATCTTGTGTATGATCGCAAAGCCATTTCTTTAACTACAATTGGATTAATTGGTTGAACTGCTACAACGAATGCTGATTAAGGAACAATTACCATTTGCTATTAATATCCATTTTGATATTAAACTCTTTAAGGATATTAAGCATATTGTTATTAAGAGTATTAAACTTATGCTTACGGGTAATATTGATATCTATTTTTGCTAAAAAATAATACTATTATTAAACTGGCTATCCCATTACAGGTTATCCTTATACAGGCATATATTAATAGCCTCCTTAAGGTTATTAAGGTTATTAATATTGTGCTTAGTCGCTTACATATTCGGCATTTATATTTCCTTATTAGTATTGCATTTGAAGTTATTTAAATTATATATATATTGTATTTTTTATTACAATTTTATATCTTATACTAATTCATGTTCCTTCTACATTGTTTCACAAATTTTATAAACATTCTATTATTCAATTCAATTTTATTTAAATGACAAGTTAATACTGAATTCCAACAATTTATGACATCATTATTTATGGTTTCCCAATTATCTCTATTTAATTGATCTTGTTTTCCAATTATTTAAAATTATTTTTGAAAATAATTATTTATATGTGTGATAAAAGGAAAAGGTTTAACTCAGCCTTGACTTTCGAGGAATTAATTGATTATCATAATGAATTACCAGAAACTCCTCAGCTTAAGTAATACTCATATTTGATATTTAGACCAATTAACCAATCTGCTTTCTATGTACCAGAATTAGATTTAGCCAATGATGTTTCTCAAACTTAGTTTAAAATTCCTTTATAAACAATTTTTGAAGAAGAACTAACAAGTCCCAAAGAAATTATGAAAACAAAAAAGTTAATAAGAAAAAGATAAAGGTTCTTCAGTGAAAATTCTCCATACTCAGTAATTAGTATATTAGAGAGAAAACTACAGAAAAAGAAGTCTTTTATTCCTACTCTCTTAGAATTATGATTCCCTCTCTCAATCAATCATGATTTGATATTTGCGTTAACATTAATAATAATATAGAGTTAAATTTCATTTCTATTTCCTCTAAAAAATGTCATGGTTCAATTTTGATGGATTAAATGCATTTTTTAATAATCCCATTCTATCAGAGAGACTTTCTAATAAGAATTCATCTTCAAACACTCCAATACTTTCACGTTTAGGTTGTATTCCAGGAGATTAAGTAAAAATGTCTGACTTTTCCAAGATTGTTGGAAGTGTAAAGTCTTTGAAACTTTTTTATTTGTATAGTTTCTCCTGTACTTTCATTTTAATAAACCATTCATGATTCATAGCCAAATTTGGTTTGATTCTTTACTTAGGTTCAACCTAAAGCATTTATTTTAACAAATCAATAGCATAAGTAGTATTCCTGACTTATGGAAATTCAATTTGTCCTGATTTATTATCGTTCTAAGCCTTACAATAATCAATACATGTTCTTACGATTCACTAAATGGCATCACTTGATATATAAAGTAATAAAATATTATTCCAACGGCGTAAATATCAATACTTTAATCATAAGGCTTCCCATTCAATAACTCAGGAGATTAATAACTAAGAATCTAAATTTCTATTAAATTTACCCCTCACTTCCTTTAATTCCCTTTATTTAACTATCAATGAATTCCGCTTAATTAAAATTTGCCAAACATATATCCATCAAATTATCAGATTTCACATATATGTTCTCCAACTTAATATCACCATGAATAATCCCTAATGAATGTATACATGACAAAATTTCTAATAGTTTATATATTATTCTTGCATATTAAGGTTCTTAACTATTTAATAGATCTTCAAATCTATAAACCATTTCAGTCCCGAAATAGTTTTCAAACACCAAAAATATTGTATATTAATCTTCATAGACCTCAACTAAATTAATTATATTTTTATGTTTGATTCTTCTTAAAATATTTATTTCCTGTTGTATTAATTTTGGATCAAATTTATTGTTTTTTTGTATTACCTTCACTGTGTAGTTTATATTATTAGCAAAACACCTTGCCTAATATATTTGTGTCTACGGATCTTGATACCCCAATCTCTTATTCAATTTATAGTCTTTACTAAAATTTAATTGAATAGTATATCTTCTCAACATGCTAAACCAATTATCCAAATCAGTGCTTCTATTAAAAAATATCTCTGTACTATTTTTCCCTTAAACTAACTTTAATGTTTGAATATTTCTTCTTATTATTGTTTAACTCAAATTACAAAACAATTAGTTTATTTGCAATCTTAATAATTTCTAACAATCTACCTATCAGCATATAATGAGACCTATTCTTCATGTAATTGTTAATCCTCACTTCTAATCCAAATAATTCCAGAATATATGAGATGTTGACTCAAATGTGTCAGTTATAATTTTTCCAAAGGTTACCAAAGAATAGGATTGAGATGTGCCGTTTATTACTTTTTTTATTGTAGCATGATGTGTTTAACTAGTTTTTTTTATTTTTGTGAGAGTATTAATAATGAATAATTAGTTTTCAATAAATCAATATATCAAAGGATACTATTAAATATGACAAATGAATCAAAATTCTAATACCATCCCTTACATTTACATAAGAAATACTACATGACGAATTCGTTATAAAAATTATTGTGAAATTTTGAAATTAATTAATTCAGAACTAATCTAAACAATTTATTCCAGTCTGAAAACCTAAAGATATCTCTTATTACTACTAAACTCTATTTTTATTTTATTTTCAGTAAAATCATCATTAAAAATCTTCTTTCTTAAGCTTGGTTTATTATTGGGCTCTTTGTTTGGAATATTTCTTATAAATGACAGTTTTATTTATGATGATTATTTTTTTAATGCTATAGCTATAAGAAATGAAGTATTTTCTTGTCTTCCCATAATTTTTGATAAATTAACATAGCATTCATTTTATTGCATAGGATACTAATTTATCTATGTTTCTTCTTCTATATAGCTTTTCCTTCATCTTAATTCATAATATTTAATCATATCGCTACATAGTAGCTTGAGTCAATAATTCTTTATATATTTGATAATTATTTTACAGTTTATGCAATTTATTATTTTTGTTCAATTCTAGAAAGATTTTTATAACAATTTACAATCATATTTAAGTTTAAGATGATTGTTTATTTTTGTTTAAGCTTATAAATTTGATATTCTTTTTAGGATTTCTAATGTTATTTAGAATGGATTTTATTTCTTAATTTATGAATTATTTTCCCCCTTTGATTTATACAATTTAAATCACAAAATGCATCTATCATTAACTCTACTTTATTAATTTCAAAATATATGGGTATATAATTGGTATGTCATCAAATTTTAATGTTACTACTGCTAATAATAATTGTGACTCTATTATTTTATAGAATGCTATGATTTTATATTTATAATTTTTAACAATTGAATGTCATACTTTCAGTTTTATTTTTTTGATAAATAAGATATGTTTATAAAAAGTTAGACAGTTAAAGGATTGAAATGAATATTTAGATTAGTCTTAGTTTATACTTGTAATTCTATATCAGTTTTCAATTCAGAACTTTATTTAAACATATTATAAATGTGTTCAAGAATAGATGAATGAAGTTGGGTTCGATTATAATTTTTTTTAGATCATCCTCATGAGGATTTCTCTTCTAATCATGTAGTAGTTTTACTAACAACTTTAAATTGTTATAACTAAATATAGTTATTCATAACAAACCCTAGAGCTTAAATTCTTTCAATTCTTAGGGTAATCATGAATTATTGAAGGAGGATGAATATACATCATCTTGTTGAAGTAGAGAGAATAAGAAAGAATAGTTATTTTTTTATATTATATATTATCTGATAATAATCACATCATCAGATCAAAATTGCAAAATTGGAACTTGGTTAAGAAAGCTTAAAAATAAGATTTATAAATTTACTTCACTTTTTCATAATTTAATGAGCCAATCGAGTCTTAAATCGTAATAAAGGTCTTGGATCGTTAAAATCTATTTTTTCTGTAACCAAGCTAAAATGATTAGGATTAGAACTATTAGTTTTTGAAACTTTGATTGTTTCAGGAGTCTCTATATTCATAACTGATTTAGGTAATTATTAAATTATTTTAATAATTATCAAATACTTTGAGATAATTCGCTCAATTATTTTCGTCACTAAGAGTACTTTTAAAGACGTGCATCATGCATTTAGATTTTCTTATTAATCTATATAAATAGTATAAAATAACTAAATTTTGAATAATCAGATAAATCAATCAAAATGAAAATCATACGGATTAATTAAAAAAAAGTCCAATGTCTTCATTATTCACGCTGGATTAATGGGATTCTATTAAATTTTAAACAATTTATATGAAGTACTAGTTCAAAATATGCATGAAATTTTATATTTTAAAATTGTAAGTGTGGATTATCTGACTAAGAAATTGTTATCTATTTCAATTTTTGAACCTTATGTTAATGATTATGGTATAATTTATATTAATAATATTAAAATGAAATGATATTATTATTAGTTCATTAAATACTACAATAGTTTCAGCAACATTTGCTACATCAATCATGAGAAAAGATAAGAAAGGTGTTATAATCTGTTTTAATCAATTATGATGCAAATATGCTTAGGATTACATAAATCTTAATGTTACATACAAATTAATATCTCTGAGAATAAAAGCTAATCGACTTTTAAATTGAAAACTTTGATTAAAACAATTACTGCTAGAATAAAATTTTGTAAATCCATCAAGATTCTTGTAATTTGTTATCTAAAAGTAAAGAAGAGCTCTTAAACAATAAGATTGAATTTAAAAATATCCTGAATACAAAATTTATTATTAAAAAACTACAAAAGGAACAATCTATTGACGGATGTTTAATTTCTCTTAATAAGATTAAGTAGTTGCTTAAGTTTGAGAAATGAATAGGAAAGAAAATATTTGATATTAACTTTTCGGATCTAAACTTTCAATATTAAGTATCAAATATTTTGAATCTCATTATGAATAATTTTCAAAATTATTTTCAAATGTAGTTCTATCATTATGAATTATAAGATATCAAGTGAGATAATAGATTTAGAATATTTTTGATAAACTGAGCTTTTATTTAATTTAAATTTGAATGAGAAATATCATTTTATATTGTTTGAATGCTATTTTCCAAACTTAAAATTTTAGGATTGCTCTGTAAAATCAAAGAGATGCAAAGCAAAGAAATATAAATTGATAAATATGCATCTTTTAATAAAGTTAGAATGCTTGAGTTTTCTCAATTATTTAACCTTTTATTTTAGTAAAACTCTAAATCAGAGAATTTTAAGTTAGCTCACTTATATTTAAGAATAGAGATAAGTAAAAAATTTAATAAATTTCATTATAACTATTTAGTAGATATTATAGAATATTTATATGTAGCAAGAAATTTGATAGAGATCTGAAATTTTTTTAATTTTGTAATTAAATAGAGATTTATTGTTATTTAAATAAGAATTTTGAGGCTTATTAAAGTGTTCTAAATCTTTTAGTTTTCCTAACAATAAAAGTAATCTGTTAATAACAATATTTTCTAATTTTTTTTTGATTTCCCCTGGATACATTAAATTGTATAATTTAAAAGGGATTAATTATTACATATATATTTATTAATACTATTCTACCAAATAATAAGTCATAAGTTTTTTAAATGATATTATTTTAATAAACCTAATTCTTATTATTATAATTCATTTATATTATAATGCTTATTTATTATAATTCATATTTAAACTAATAACACGCGTGAATTTAATAATTAAATCTCTAATAATTCAACAATAAAAATGGTACTTATATATAAGTTATTCAGCCATCTGCTTAAACAATGAAGTTAAGAAGTTAAAATTATCATGGAAACGTTAATAAAGCTGGAAAAGTTCCTAAATCATTAATTGTAATGAAATAAAATAATTTCATAGAAAAAAGAGGAAAACCTTCCTGTAGGACCGATTTTGTTAGGTGTATTTTTATTTGTTGTTGTTGGTTCTGGTAAATTATAATTTTAAGATTTTAGCTTTATTTTAAATACTTAATGTTGCTTCAAGTGGATAAGAAATTTGATATATATATGCTTAATCAATTTTTAATTTAAAAGATGCAAAAACTACAATCTAAAGCAGTAATTATAAATTTTCCACTAACTTGATTAATTTTCATCGTCTTTGCTCTCATTTTCATTAACTTTTCCCACTTATCAAATGCTTTATTTGTTGTCCAAATATCTAAGAATATAATTAAAGAATACTTCCATTTTCACTACCCAAAATAATCAATTCACCAAAAATGCATGAACTCCAAGGATTAAGTTTTTCTTCTGGAAATTTGATTTTTTTAGTTAATTTGTATGTCTAAAGACTCCAAATAGAGATTTCGGTTCCAAAACCAATTATTTCGTTTTCTATAATATTCATAGTATATTAAGGTTCTTTTGTGTTGATTTATTTAAATGGTTCACTTTTATCATATTTCCAAATAAAAATATAATTATTTCTTTAAAGTTTTTTATTCTTTTCCCACCAAAGACTAATACAAAATTACTATTTATCATTGATAATACATAATGGACCATAAGTTTTGGCTTAAATTTCATATTTTATAAGTTGCCCGTTATCTAATTTCCATCGATTGATATAATTAATAGAACTTAGTTAATTAAAATTATTTGATGCAAATACAGAATTTGATTATTTGCAATAGTATAATTTGCTTGGCATACTTGATGATTCTTGAAATTCAAGTAAATTGGCCACAAATTTACCACTGATAAAATCAAATAATTTTAAATTTCTTACATAGGCCAAAACTATTTAATTAGAATTTACAACAATAGAATCATAAACACCATTTCTTATTTCAATAATTTATTGATGAATTTATTTTTTATTTGGATCATAAATAATAAAAGGATGATATTCTCCTGCTGCAATACCTATAAATTAATCATTTAACCAAGTAACACTATATAATCTTTTAAATTTAAAATTTGTTGGTATTTCAAAATTTTATGTCAATTCTAAGGTTTTGCTGTTCACTTCAATTAAAGGTAATGATTAGATTATAGACTCATCTTTTTTTGAGAACATTATTTTAATTTTTTCAAATTTGTTCTTTGATTTAAACTCTTAAATTTCAAGAGTTTCAGACTAATTTGGTTGAAATTGTTCCTGAAATTTTTGTATGATATTATAAATATTACAAACTTCATTTAACTTTTCTTTAATCAACTTTATGTGGTTACGTGTAATATAAAAATCTAATAATTGAGCAAAGTATTTATCATCTTTATTTTATAATATTTCAATCATACTATGAATTTACTTTTTTGGTGATTCTAATATTAATTTTTCATAAATGGAACTTAATTTTTGAGTAAGAGTTGAAATGGCATTAGGTAATTGATCAAATAAAATTTAAGAGAATTTTGTTAAGAGTGGAAGAGTCTTAGAAATAAAATCTGATAATTCAACTTTTTAAACAAACTTGTGAGATTCAATACAATCAACGTCATAACATAAGTCACACACTTCTTTAATGTCAGATCTTTCAAGAAGGTAACCCACTTTTTAATGGCTGCAATTTTTTATCATAAATATTAAAATAGTATTATTGTCAATTAGCGCCCAAAATATGTGAAAGTATATGATTATGCGATTTTCTTTTTACTAGTCCCAATTGTTGATAATTGATTGAACTGAAAAAATAGAACTTATACAGAATCATTATTGTAATCTGTACAACAGCAACTAATCCAACGATCATGTATTTTTTTTCCTTAGGCATATACTTTAATTCTTGATTAAAGTTTGAAGTCAAAAAGGATGTCTGAGCAAATAAAACATAAACTAATAGCATCCATTAAATTGCCTATTTAATAAAAATATTCACTTACAGGGTTTGGAATAGAATTTAAGAGTGAAACAGGAATCATTACAACTGCTGAATAACCATAAATAGTAAAACAGTGTAATAAAGTGAGGCGATCTTATGAAACACATTTAAGTGCTACTCTATATATCATTGGAACAATGAGAGTTTTGAGATACATGAAAATAGCAAGAAAGGGAACAATTTAAAATTAATATTCAAAATGTTCACCTGGTTGTAATTACATGTATTTACTGATATTCACAGATAATGCTACTGTGAAAATTAACGTATTTAAAATCCAAAATGGTCCATACAATTCAGGTATACCACCTCCGATATCAAAAAAGGTTCCAGAAAAAGGATTGAATGAATTAACAACTTTAGATATTACCAATTCTGTAGTAACATCAAAATATTCACGATAATATCTGATAATATAATAATTATTTACTCTATAGTAAATAAATTACAGAACTTTTGATAACAAGTCTGTTCCTCTGGATCTTCCATTTTCATTTGTCTGATTCTATTTTGAACTTAAGAATCAGTCATTTAAAGAGATGGCTAAAGAATTGAGACATCCTAATTTAAGTTATCTAACATTTAATTTAATATAATTTATTAAACTGTGAAAGCTGTGTGTTATAAATTTTATTAATCAAAAACTAGACATTATACAACATTAATTTTATTTTATTTAAGATATTATGTATTATCCATACGCTTTAGAAAATTCAGATTACATTTCAGATATTGTTTCAGATTAAGATATTGATTTATATGAAGATCAATATCCAATCGAATCCTAAGATAGTCAATAAGTTTCATTCGAATAAAAATCGAACGAAGATAAGGATGATGAGGAAGAGGTAGATGTAATTGATCAAAGCAGAATTTTTAATTTAGCAGAAGTCAAAGTATTTTTGGATGAAGTTATTTGTCCAATTTGTTGTCATATAATAATATCTCCAAAGATTTGTAAAGAATGTGATCAAAGTTATTGTGGTAAATGCATACAAACATGGTACTTTGATTTGTTCAATATTTTAGGTTTGAAAAAAGTGCCAATTAATAGTGTCCATGTTGTAGAGTGGGTTTGAATTATAAAAGCAAATATCTTCATAATCAGGGAATAATGGATGATAAAGTACCAAAAGTACTTCTTAAATTATTAAGTAAATTGCTTCTAACTTGCAAATATAAGGTATTTTATTTTTAAATAGTTAGTAAGAAGGATGTGAAGAAATAATAACTTATGATTTTCGCGAAAAGCATGAAAACCATTATTGTTAGTATTAAGAATAAGTTTGTTAAAATATTGGCTGTTATGAAACTATGTTCCGTAAAGATCTTGAAGATCATCATCTAGAATGTAAATATGGTAGAGTTCAATGTAAATATTGTTCAAAGGATTAATTGAGAATGGATATTGAATTACATGTATATATCAGACCTAAATTTAGTTACAAGAATGTGATTGTAGACCAATATAATGTGACTGGTGTAAATAAAAACATTAAGCTATCGATTTTGATGAGCATGTTGAATAATGTGAATTTAAGGATATTCTTTGTTAATATTGTCACAAGAAATACAAAAGATATGAAATGAAATCTCATACACCAATATCTTGTCTAAAAAGTTTGCTTGAGAATTCTCTTGAATTAAATAAATAAAAAGACCAAAAGATTTTGGAATTGCAAAAATAAATAGAGTAATTGAGATCAAACAAACTCATGGAATAATCTGATTTAAATTAATCAACCAATGAAGTCTTGAGTGAGAAATATAAATAAGATTTTGAAGAGGATGTTGAAGAAGTCATAGAGGAAGATATTTAAATAGAAGAAAGTGATTAAGAAGAATAAAAAGAGCCTAGTAATTAAGAATATAATGATAACAGTTAAGGCTGTTTACATTCTCAATCTATCTCTAATAACGAAAACTAATCTTAAAAGGATGAATAACTCGATTTAGAAGAAATACCATCGATTCAGGAAATCAAAATGAGAGGTTTATATACTTAATTCTTAGAAAGATTGACTGACACTAAATTCAAAGATCTTTGGGATTGGTCTGAAGATGAATTAAATCAAGTTATTGATTGGCTTAAATGAAATGCATTATTATATATATATTTAATATTAGATGATGATTTCAACATATGATGCCAGTAAATGCTTATAAGCATCCCACTCCTTTTTGACAATGATCATCGCTTCTGCAACATACAAAAGTGTTTGTTCTAATTTCACAATATGAACCCCCTTTCACTTCGCAATCACTACAGTTCTCCTTTCCTAAAAAAGTATGAATTTTAGCTTATGATTCTTATCCCACCAAATTTGGTTCAGCTAACACCAACGATATTAAGAACAACGCAATTATCACTTTCATTATATAAGTCGTTTTTCTAATTATTAAAATAATATTAAGTTTGCATAGAAATGTATTATTTTTCTACACTAATACTTTACAATACTTACTTACTAATTTATGCAAACTTAAAACTTTATTTATGTCTTACTATTTCAATTCAGCCTTTTAAAATCCTTCCTGTTTCATTCTTCTTTCTCTTCATTTCAGATTAGAATAAATCGTAACATTTTAATGATGTTTAACGAATCATCTTTAATTTTTATCGCCATGGGTGATAATCAAGTTATTATCTTATTAAATCTAATCGAAAGATGAACATAAAATATCAAATAAATATGATATCAGATTAATTACGATAAGTTCTTTCCAATAACACTCCAAACATTATAGGTCCATAACTCTCTCGAAAAACTGTTCTTTTGAAAAGAAAGAATAAGAAAATATGCAACAATACTCTTAATCAACTTCCTCAAAAGGGAAATTAGGATGTCTCATCAAAAGGTGAGAATTCATAAAAAACAGATAAAACAGATAAAACAGATACAAATACTTAAAAGTCGCATAGTAATATGGCTTCTCAAACCTTGAATTAAATCCCTTGTATTTCTTAGGATGTATTTGATGGTATTGAAATCCCTGCTACTGATCCAATATGGTTAGAAATCATTCCATAAGAATTATTGTTAGAAACTTCAGTAGAGAAATTATTAGAAGACAATAAAGATTACTTTTATAATTTATTAGGATTGTATTTATAAGAAAGAGCTATTGGAGATTTGAATATGTCACGGTTTGTTTTGCCTTAAAAGTTTTAAACCTAATATTCTAAAGATTTTACTTTAAAATCTATTGATAGAAAAATTGGAATTGACTCCAGGATATATGAAGATTATAAATAAAACAGTTCACAAAATTAAAATACTACTACTTATAAACAGTATTTTTAGAAACCAATTCCAAATGAGATAATCCAATCTTTCAAGCCTATCTCAGAGCGAAGAATTTTAGCAATGGCTGCTTTAACTACATATAAAGTGTTCTTTAATTTTGTAATCTTTAGGCTAATCACATTAATTTTAAATAACCAGAAAAACCTGAAATTATGAAAGCACCAACCAATTCTACAACCGGAAGATTGCAGTTAAATGGAAATTCCAATTATAATTAAGATTATAAATGGCATCAGAATTAGAATTATGAACGATTACCAAATTTTAAAAATAGTTATTCTAAATTGTAACTATATTAACCTACCTATAGAAATCCTATATCTAATTCTGATATCTTCTTTACTAAAGAGAGGGCTTCTATTGATTTTTATCCTTTGAGTCCATTATAAAAAGCTACCCAAATTATTACAACTCCTTCATTTTAGGGTTAATTTACAACTACATTTAAGCAGTACTTCATATTTTCTATCTTTTAGTGATTATTAATAAGTTGATCAGGAATTATTAACTCCAAAGACTAGAAATTGGAAATTAAATGTGATTAATAAAATTAATTCAGTGCGAGAAAGATAAATATAATAGTGAAAAGTGTAGATTTGTTTTAAGTTAAACTCATTTCATTTTTTATAATTTATATATTTATAATAAAAAGAAATTGAATAGTTATATGGATATATACTATTAGAATTCTAAATTCTAATTTTCACTTTCTTGTTGTTAGTACTTTTTATAAAAATAATATAATTTAAATATGAGTTATTTAGCTTAATCAAGTCGATTAACTGCTCTACTTATTAGTCTAAAAAATAAGAAATTAATAACTCCTGATCAATATACACGTTTATGTGATTATGCCATCAACGATAATCCTGAATTGAAAGCTCTTTTTATGGATTATGAAAAGGGGTTGTCTTAAAATGATTTTTTATCAGGAGTTTCAATCATACTCAACAATAAGAATGGAAGCGAACATATTATTAAATCTTATTTGTACTCTTATTATAAATAAAATTAGTGAGTCTGTTGTTAGCATCAATTCACAATTAAAAGAAAATATAAAAGAATTTTATCGAGATATTAAGGTAATAGATAATTTTCATATCAATTATTTTCTAGACAAATATGAATGAAATTTACGAAGAATGTTTTAAAGCCTAACATCATTTATAAGAAATTAAAGACTTAATAAAATTAGTCCTAAAGCAATTTTATGTGGAGGAATTTTACCTAATTCAATTTGAAGAGGGACATTAATGTGTTATTCTTACAAATAATTTTGATTTCAGGTTCTTTAAAGAAGAATACAAAATTAGTTCTTGGGCTCATAAATAAAATGCTCATTAATTAAATAATACATAAACAGAACATTATTCATTACTTAAAACACATAATCTCCCTAAATAATATATTATCTCATAACATGCTGTACTCTTTTTGACTTTTAGTGATAATGTTAATAAAACATATTCATAGTTTTTTATGGCTACCTTTCTTTATGATAAATTTATCACCTTAATTTATTAAGGATATTAAATTATTGGATTAACAAAATTGCAATCTGTTAGAACTGAAATTCTGTAACTAGTATCTAGAACAATTGAATTATATAATTATAAATTGATGTTTCAAATTTTAGTTTAGATCATGCAATAGTTTAATTTATAAAACTTGTTGTGTCAATTTGAAAAAGAATTGACTAAATAACAAACTATATCAAATTATTTATTGATATTACTTTCAAGTGATTTAGATATTATAGGTATTGAATTAGAGGGAAATCTCTCTTAACAACTAGTTAATAAAGTTAAAAGTACTTTTAAAAAATCAATCAAAAAATATAAAAAAAAATTAAAACTTAAAAAGGACCTATTAGAATCATTTTAATAAGTCACTTAACATAATGAAATGATTATGTGCTTGTTTTTCAACAATTTTTTAAATCTTTACTATATGACAGTCTAATGGAATCATGATTAATTTGTGTAATTATTTAATGATATTATCAATCTAGTTAAAAATATAGTTTGCCCAAAGAAATTCATTATGCTGACCCTATATACAAAATATTTGATAAGAACCCAATAATTATTTAAAAAGTAAAAGAAATTATAGATTCTTAAAAAGATCATTTGGAATTTAATGATGGATTTTTTAAATTCTCATTAAAGATAGAAAGAGGATTTAAAAAATAAATCAAATAAATTTCTATATTTTTATTTAATATTTAAGTTAAAAGGTAAAACAATTATATATACTATAGACCTCTTGCAGAATTATTTAGGATATTTAGAAACAAAGTGAAAATTTTACTTACAATAAGAAAGGCAACTTTAGCCTTTAAATCCAAATAACTTATGTTGGAAAATTAATTTCTGAGATAATCAGCTTTAGTTATGTATCTTCCAGATTAAGACAGAAGAAGAATAACACAAACTGCTAATTAAGATCATGATTAAGATTTGGAGAAATATAGAAATTACACAATGAAATAAGCAACAAAAAAAATATAATCATTTTTGAATAAATATGATGAAGAAGATGTAAAAAATCCTGAACTTAGAAGAATTGCAGTTGATCCAAATTTATAGTAAAAATTACTCGATTACGAGTTTAATCTTCTTAATAAAAAAATGTATAAAAATAAATATATTATTGCTTTTAATCTATTTTAAATGTGCGAATATACAAAATAGTTTCCATTACTTAATAAAGAATTTATTAATTTTATGACAGTTTTGAAATATAAGTACAATAAAAAGTCAAATCCATTTCATAATTTTACTCATGGTGTTAATGTTATGCACGGTTGTTTTTTATTTGGTCATCATTAAAAATTTGGTTCATATTTTTCAGATTTACAAAGATATGCTATGACTTTTGCTGGATTGTGTCATGATGTAGATCATTCTGGAACAACAAACTTATTTTAAGTGAATGCTTAAACTAAATTAGCATTATTATATAATGATAAATCGGTACTTGAAAATCATCATGTTGCAGTAACATATAAAATTTTAGCTCAAAAATCATGTGATTTTTTTGGTTAAATACCAAAAACAGATAGAATTACTATAAGAAAATATGTTGTAAATAATATTTTAGCAACAGATAATCAATACCATTTTAATCTGTTAAATGATATAGAGATTAGATTTGGATAATCTAAAGGAGATATTAAAATATTTGGTATTTTACATAATAATTATTAAATTTAGAAACTGAAGAAAATAAACTCTTGTTAAGTGGATTCTTGACACATGCAGCAGATTTCTTTGGAGCAGCCAAATAATATCAAGTAGCAAGAGCATGGAGTGAAAGATTAAGAAAAGAATTTTAAGCTTAAGTAACTTTATTTAAATTATATTATTTAGTCTCAATTAGAAGATATTATTGGTATTGCTTAAACTCCATATTTAAGAAATTTAGACAATGAAGTTTAATATGCTAAAAATGAAGCAGGTTTTTTAAAAGTTATTGTTAAACCAATTTATGAGTCATTAAACAATTATTCTGATGGAGCTTTGTAGCTATAAGTAGCTAATATCAACTTAAGCATTAAAAAATATGAAGAGATTATTGAATCAGCTAATCAATGATGATAATTGTATTTAATTATATCAATATTCAATTTATATTTAAACTAATAAAAGTAAATTCATTAATTGATTTATTTGAATCATTTTATTCCTCTATCAAACCTATATCTTTATTTAAAGATTTCTCTAATAAATTTCTTTAATTTAAAAATTTTTTTTAATTTTATTTAAGAAATTTTCAGACTATTATTTTTTTTGACAAAATCCAATAAACTAAATAAATTAAAAATATATTTATATATATTTATTTCTTTTATAAAAAAATAAAAAAAATATAAATTGAAAGAAACTATGAATAAAAAGAATAAAAAAACAAGCATATATAGATATTGTGCATTTGTAGGATCAAAGAATTCATATTTATAAATTTTACAAGATAATAAAATTATTCATAAAGATCAATTCAATGCATTTCATTGTAAGAAAGAAAAACTATTTGCAAGAATCATTGTACCACAAAATTAAGAAAATCTATTTAAATTATAAGTTCATATATCTAAATACTATCAGCAATTGTACCCTTTTAGAAACTCTGTGTTTTTTTTGACTAAAAATGATTTAGACACTTATAGGTTGGACTTTAAACAAAAACCTTTAAATCCGATAAAATTAATTAGATTATGTTTGTTGCTTTAATTTGAATAAATGCTAATTGTTGTAGAAACAGATGATTAAATTGAGAAATTCAAAGTAATTCAAAAAGAAATTGAGTTATAAATAATGAATGCATCAGAACATAATAAACTAGTTACAAATTATTCGTATACAACTAATGAAAAGTTTAATTTTGAATTAATAAAAAAAAATAAAATAAACCTGGATTTAGAAACAAAATATTTAGAAACAAATTTTTTAGTGACAAATGCAATAGATGACTAAAATGCAGAAGTAGCAGTAGTGAATGGAGCCCTTTTTAAAGGTCAAAAGCTGTATATTGAAAAGGAAGCAATTTTAATATAAAAGATAGTATCATTCAACAAAGAAATAGCAGTGGCTATAGAAGGCATGATAGTTTAGATATAAATTGATAAAAAAATATAATTACAAGAAGGAAGTATAGGATGTTATACTTAAATTCTTTTAACAGAGATTCAAATAGATATTTATTCATAACTTCCTGCATAAGAAAAGCCTCTTATGTGTGGTGATTTTTTTTATTAAATTTGTAATTGGAAGAAATCTATTGTTTTTGAAAAGAATCAGAAAAAATTATCAATAACATTATAATTTGCTGTGAAAAGATAATTGTTGAGTTTTAATAAATGGGGAAATATAATAAGTTTTTCTAATTATAGTAGTTAAATTTAAGCAATAGGGATAATTCGTTAAGTTTAAAAGATGGTGTAATTTCCAGGATTATTAATACCAACATATGGATTTGAATAATAGTTTAATGAGGAAAGTGAATCAAGACGAAAGTTTATTTGCAAATGTAGATAATGTAAAATGATGTTGATTGATAGTATAATGATACCATGTGGACATGTAAGATATTGTAATGGTTGTGCTGAGATAATGAAAGAATGCTATTATTGTGATTAAAAAACAATTTGTTATGGTGTAGTATAATTAAGAGAATGTAATCCAAATTTACATAAATTATTGATACAGGGAAGTTTAGAAGAAAAGTTTTTGGATCATACAAATTTTAAAGTGATTCCAAAAATGATATAATTTGAATTAGAATAATAAGCATAGAGTCCTAATTTGTATTTAAAATGTATAAAATGCAGAAAAGAATTAATATCTAATATATTAGTTAATGATAAATAGAAATATGAATTTGTATGCAATTATTGTGCAAATTAAGCAAATAGAGAGGAGTGGAAGATTGTAAGAATTGAATATCAATGTTTATGATAGTATACTTTATGTTAATAAAATTATTTATATAATAATATTGATGTGGTACTGTGTAGATAATATTAAATTGTGAAACACATAATTTTAAATCTAATTTAAAAAATCTAAAGATTTTAATGAAGGTAACATATAGAAAATATACTTTAATTAGTTCAATATTTCCTATCCCTTAACTGGTGCTTAAAAGACAGTCGAAATAGATGATGATAAGAAATGGTAATAATAATATATATATATAATTCTTATAGCTCAATATTCTTTGATAAGAGAATGGGATAAGTTGTAGAAGCAGACAACTTAGGTGATGAATTTAAGGGTTATGTATTTAAGATAACAGGTGGTAATGACAAATAAGGATTTCCAATGAGACAAGGTGTTCTCTTTAAGGGAAGAGTTAGAATTTTAATGAGAAAAGGACATAAAGGTTATAGACCAAGAAAAGATGGTGAAATGAAAAGAAAATCAATTAGAGGATGCATAGTTGGTTAAGACATTAGAGTCCTTGCCTTATAAGTTGTTAAAAAGGGAACAAATGAGATTGCTGGACTTACAGATTAAAATGTACCAAGAAGATTGGGTCCAAAGAGATTAACTAAATTAAGAAGATTATTTGGATTCAAAAAGGCTGATGGTGTTGCTCTTATTTAAAAGAATCTTATTAGAAGAACATGGTAAACAAAGGATGGAAAGAAAAGATAAAAAGCTCCTAAAATTTAAAGACTTGTTACTGAATCCAGATTGAGAAGAAAGACAATTTAAAAGAAATCTGAATAAGCTAGAAGAACTAAAGCTAAATAAGCTTTAGAAGCATATAAAAAATTAGCACATGATGTTCATGAAGCACATAAGAAACACAGAAAAGCATCATCTGAAATTAAAGAAAAGACTTAAGAATAGCCTAAAGTATTTATCTCTTTTTCTATATGTAGACTAAAGATGTTAAAGCAACTAAACCAACATAAGTTGCTAAATAAGTTCCTACAACTAAAGCTTAAACTGCTCCAGTTAAAGCTGCTGTTACAACTAAAACAACTGCTCCAGCCAAGACTGTTCCATAATAAACTTAAAAAGCTACAACCACCAAACCCAAGAAATGAAAATGATATTATAAATAAAGTACATTACATAAAAAGAATTTATAATTCATTAACAATCAATTTCAGAATGAAAATTATGTTGATTCTGATTATTTTCTTTTCCTCTCTTCAAACTCAAATTTTATTGATTTCTTCTATTTTGAAGTTTAAGGTTACTTACAATTCAATATATCATTATCTTCTTTATTCTCTATCTATTATAAAGAATTCATCTTAGGTGTACTATTTAATAAATATCCTATTGATTTTTAATTTATTGCTAAAGAATATGGAGGCATTATCTCTTAAAAGTGTTAGAAATATCTATTAAAGCGATAGAAGTCTAACATTCTTTTCTGTAAAATTTAACACTACAGTTTAATAATATATTTTACATTACTTCTTTGTAAAGTTCTAACATTTATTCTCTTGAATATTTAACATTTTCTCGATTCTCAATTAGAATCTTTATGTCTTTCAAAATGAATATAAATGTATCTTGTAAATCATAATAAATGAATCTTATTATATGTCCCAATAATGGATTAGATTCAAATTAATCAACACACTCTATACACTTTTACATACTCATTCCTATATAACATTAATTTGATAAAGTAAAATATATTAATAAATCTCCATCAACTACTTCCTCATTTATAAATGTTGTTTAAGATGCCAATTTATATAAATAATGATAATAAAGTTAACAAACTTGACCCAATTTTGAAGAAATTGTATTTTGTGTTTTTATTATCAATTATTTACTAATTAAGATTCTTGATAATTCTGAACGTCCTACTTAAGAACTTAAGATTATGTGGAGCAATAATAATATTTTAAATTTTCTTTACAAATTCCCTTCCTGAATGCTCTCTTTTTATACCACTTCAAACAATGACTAGAAAAACTATTTCTTAAATTATTTGTTTACTAACTTTACCTTACTTTATTGACTTTCAAAGAATTATCTTAATCTATTTGATATAATTTATTGAGATTGAAATTAATTATCATTTGAATAAATATTAAGATCCTTTAATGCATCAACAACAGGTTATGTATTCGACATGTATTCTTTGATTTTATTTATCATATATATATATTAAAATATATTCTAATTTTTAATATTAAATAGTTTATAACTTTGCATTTCTTGTGCATTTAGAATCAAATATTATAATTTATATTTTTAGAATTTTATCATTCCATACTTATTCAATTAAAATATTCTCCTAAATTTGTTAATGGTTATATTAAAGAAAATAGATTTATGAATTGAATTACATAATAAAAATTCAAATTTGTTTTTATTAATAAGTTATATAGTATTTATATTTTTCAAAATTTGGATAAAATAGATATGCAATCACTCTTTGTTAAATGTTAGAAATGTCAATAAAGACCTGCAACAATCAAATGCAATTAATGTAGATATGGTTAGACTTTTCGATTATGCTACTCATGTGATTCCCAAATTCATAACAGATCTGGACCAATAGATTAGTAACACAAAACAGAAATTATACCTTATTAGGGTATAATACCTTAATTCACAATTTAGAAATGTATTAAAAAAACTAAAGCTTTGTTCCTGTTCCTTAGAAAATTGATTAAAGAAATTCTTTCAAAAAAAATGAAATTAAACCCACCGGTTAAGTGCCAACCAAAGATTATTTGAGCAATGACTCTAAAAAATAAGATTATTCTAAAACATTTGATGTCAACAGAATTAACAATAAACATGATTATTTAGAGAAAAAGATAGATAGTAATGATAAAAGAGTTGATTAGTAATAATTATAAGGTAATAATAGGCCCTATACATCGAATTAGAAATACAATCTAGATCAAGAAAGAGGATCATAATTGTTAATTAATTAACTCAAGGAAGAACAATAATAAACAGAAAGATTAAGAGCTGAATTAAATTAAGCCAAAGATAAGGAGAAAGAATTCTAAAGAAAATTGTAAGGAATTAAAAATTTACTTTAGATCAAAAGTTGAGTAGGATTATGAATAAAGATCAAAAGATGATAAATAAAAAATTTAATAATTGACAGATGAAAATAAAAATTTGAACAATAAAATTAGTTAAGCTAATAAACATCTATAAGATGAAATAAATAGAGTTAAAAAATAATAATCAGATTAAATTAAAAAGTTAGAATAAGCATTATAAGAGAAAACTTAAGAATTAGAAAATATTGCTTAAGATTATAATTTAGTATTTATTCATCTAAGTTCATTAGGAAGAAATATAATCAATGATGGAATAACTTTAATAAGAATCATCTATGAAAGATTAAATTATAGAATAATTATAATAATAATTATAAGATAATCAAGAAGCATTTAATGAATTACAAACCAAATTGGCAAGTGGTTCTAAATAAAAATAACAATCATCAAATAAAAAGTCAGCAAAAAGCTAAGACAACGATAAAGATGAAGTTATATAAGAATTAGGATAATAATTAGAAGCTAAGGATGAGGAAATTCATAAGTTAGAAGGTAACCATTTTATTTTTAACTATAGATTTGATTGAAAATTTCAAATAACTTTATTAACATATGAGTGATGAAAAATAATAATTATAAGATGAAGTCGATAAATTAGCAAATGAAAATAATCAATTCAGGGAAATATTTAGTGTATCTATAAATTATTATTTCTAGCAAAATTTACACTTATTTGGAATTGATCCTGAATAACTAAATGAAGAAGGTGAAGATGCAGAAAATGAATATCCTGAAGAAATTGCTGAAGAAAATGATGAGCAAGCTGATTGATTTTTATAAATTAAATAAATATTAATTTATAAATTCAACCTATTTAATTTATCATTCTTTACACATACGAGAATGCATCAAATAATTTTAATTTTAAATATTAAATGTATTTTAATGATTCCAGAAAAAAATTAAATTTTAAAGAAGTCAATTAAGTTTGATTTTCTATTATTAATAACAATATATCAATTTTATTCAACTTTAGGGATCTTATATTTTTAAATTATTTTATGAATATGTATTTTTATTATTTCCTATTTATTTCTAATTATATAATTTCCAGTATTTTGATTATAACTTAATAAATATATGGTTTAATTTATATTGAAATCTATTTTTCGAACTGAAAATTGAGAAATATTGATTTTAAAATTTATAGCCAATTTTATTTATTTTGATTCTAGAATACACATTAATTAATAAATGTATTACGATTATTGAGAGTTATCTAAGCTTCAAGATGAATTGATTGTTAGGAATTTATTTTGTTTTCATTAATTTGACTAAACATTCTAATAAAAATAAACTGTAAGAAAATAAATTTTTAAAGAATGAGAATAGGAGATAATAATATTTATTTTTTTTATTGGACTTTATTAAATATCTTAATGAAATATGTATATTGGAAAAAAAATTAATTTAATCACATATTTCCTCCTATCAAATGGAACAAATTTTTTTGACTAAAAATTTTTTTGTAAGCAACATTATAATTTAAGTCAGATGTTGTAATAACTTTTTCCTTTTTGATATGAACTTGACTTTTGGATCTATGTTATACTATTATTGAATTTGTTGAACCAAGTCGTAACTTCAAATAATTTTATTAGTTTTATTCTGAAACCAGCGATTTTTATGAAGGATAACTTTTCACTTCTTAAATTTTAATCTCATAATATGAAAATGGTTATGGATGATAGTTTTTTCTTGCTTTATTAATAAACATTAAATAATTGAATGATAAAATATAATTGATTTGTTATAAATAAATAATAATCAATATCAAATTTAATATTAATTTTCCATTAAGATTTTCTTTCATCTATGTATTAATTACATCCTAAAGGTTCTAGCGAAAGTAGAATATTATGATTACTTATAATAAATGTATTTATCTAGGGATTATAATTTTAAAATAATTATATCATATAATGAATTTTAATAACAAATTGATTATTTGATGATTTGACATCATAATTTTAAGTTTCATAGCTCAAAAACATGTTTTTTCATGATAAAAGTTAAATTAATATCTTTGGGCAAAATTTAGAAACTTTTGATCCTTCATCTAAATGGATATCTGAAACAGAATTTATTTGTATTTTACAATTAAGGTCAAAAAAGTGTAAAAATATTGTAAAGAAAAATAAAAAATAGCTAATTATTATTACATTTTGTATATGCAAATTAATGTTTAAAAGAGAATATCTAGATTTAAAAAAAATTGGAACAATGCCCAATTAGTAATTTAAAGCTTTAGTTAAATAAAGAATCGAATTATATTTATTAACACTAAATTAAGATGAAGATAAATTTAACAAGCTTATCATTATATATTTTTAGTAAATATTAAAAAACAAATCGATCTTAGGACTAAACTATAATTATCAATTTGTTTATTTTTAGGAAGAGTTCTTATCCAAAAAAAAGAAGTTTCTTTAGTAGAATAACGTATAAAAAATCTTTTAATAATATCTTAGATTAAATTAACAAAAAGTAAATATTTTCTAATTGATAGAGAAAATAAAAGAAGAGAAAATCAGTATATGTAATAAAGATTGCAAAATTTTAAGTCTAAGATAGAAAGATTAGTAAATTTTTCTTAATCTCATTAAATTATTTTATTTTATCAAACTACAGTGAATAAGTAGTTGAATATTGATAATGAAAATAATTATTCAATGGATAAAGAAAATAAATAAAATTGAGAATAACAATAGAATATTTCTATATTGTTAAAATAAATGTTTTCAAGAGATAAATTTGAATAACTTAAACATATGAGAGTTATATGTTTCAGTTGTAATTTATAATTATACGTTTTTATAATTAAAATTTTAGATAAAGAGAAGCATATGAGTATTATTTTTGATAAACTGTTTCGGTAATTCTCTGAATTATATGAGAACTTTAATCCATCTTATTTTATAATAGCAGTCGTAGCATTTTCTTAGGGTGTATAACATTTAGCTGATTTATCTATAAATTATATGTTAAAAGATGATTTTGGATTATCACCAGCAATGATGGGATTGTATTTGAGTTATACAACAACTCCTTGGATAGTGAAACCATTTTGGGGTTTAATAACAGATTCAAAGCCTTTACTTGGTTATAGAAGAAAATCATATATAATATTATTTGGGATATTTGATGCCTTAGGATGGATAGCATTATCTAAATATGGAACTGATAGTTTGTATTCTGCCTTATTGTTATTATTTTTAATACAATTATCAACATGTTTTGTTAACGTTGTAGGAGAAGCAATTTTAGTAGAAGTTGCTGCTTAATCTTCTAGATAATAAACAAATTTTTAACATGGTGCTTCAAAGAATGTTTCAATATTTTTTGGAGTTAGAGCTTTTGGAACATTAATAAGTGCATTCTTTTCAGGTTAACTATTACATTATTTTACAAAATAAGAGATATTTCTGATGACAGCTGCATTTCCAACACTTTTAGTTTTAGTTTCATTATTTTATGTTGAAGAGAAAGTAGATCCTAGATCTTTAGATTAAAATGATAGAAGAAATAACACTATGTAATGTATCAAAGATTTTTGGACATTCTTTTAAAATCCTTTAATTTATAAGTATTATAATAATAGATTCAAGGCCAGTTGCATTGATATTTTGTTTTATGATGGCTCCATCAAGTTCAACTATAATGTTCTTTTTTTATACATAAGTTTTGGGTTTTGAACCTTCATTTCTAGGATAATTAAAGTTTGTTTATGCATTATCAACTATTTTAGGAGTCCTTCTTTATAATAATTATCTAAAAGATGTTCCATTTAAAAAAATATTTATTACTACAACAATTCTTTATTATTTTTGTTATCAATCTATGATAATTCTTGTTACTAGAAAAAATGTAGAATGGGGCATAAATGATAAATTCTTTTGTTTAGGAGATTCTGTAATGTTATAATTAGTAGGGGAATTAAATTTAATGCCTATTTTAGTTTTAGCATGTAGAATGTGTCCTAAAAATATTGAAGCTACTATGTATGCAATGTTGATGAGTACAATCAATTTTGGTATACAAATATATTTTATTTATTATTATTTAGGATCTACATTAGGATCATAATGGGGTGCATTATTCTTAATCATTTTAGGGGTAAATTAAAATGATTATTCCAAATTATGGTTATTTATTATTGTTACTGGAGTATTCATTTTAATGCCACTTCCATGGGTTGGAGTTGTTAAAGAAGATAAAATTCTATAATCAAGAGATTAATAGTTGGCTCAATTAAAAAAGAAAGATTTTGAATCTGATACAGTTTCTACCAGCAATTTAAGATAAGAAGATGACTAATAATAATTACTTTCCGAAAATGAATAATAAAAGTCATGAATATATTAAATCAAAATTAATTATTATCTTTTCATATTATTCATTAACTTTTACTTCCTTTCATTTAATATTCAAATTCAAAACTCTCTCTTAAATACTTATTAAGTAATTAATTACTAATATTATAATTGTTTTCATTATATAATTTTATTTCATGAAATTTAAAACAATAATGAGCCAAACAATTAATAAGTTATTTTATTTATCTGCTATAGCTAATCATAATAGAAATAATGATTCAAAAAATAGTTGGAATAAAATCAAAATAGTCATCTATTTTATCTAAGTAATTTCATTATTGTTTATTGATAATTTCAACATTTATTTTGACAATTACATTTTGCTATTAGCTTAATTCATAACATTTCAGCAAATTTATAATTCATATTATCAGATTCTTGTTCTAATTGCAATTTTAATGATTCACTTGATCATTCTATTAATGATCTCATTCTTACTCAATATTGTAACATATTAATATTTATAGGAAGAAAAATAATATAATCATTAACATTCTATCATTTTACTTTGAAAATTATGACTGGCTTTTTTTCATACCTTCTTAAATATTATGCTTTATCAATTAGAATTTTGTAATTACTGTATTAAGCATTTTAGTATTGTTTTTTAGCGTATTTCAATATCTCATAAGCATTTATATATTTCGTAATTCAGGCTTCTAAACCTAAAATGGGAGATCTAAATATATAACTATTGATTTAATTTACTTACTTACTTTTGAGTCTATCATATTTTTAAGGGCTTCAAATTTATCAATTATTTCCATATTAAAATTCTTTTTGGTGATTGCTATTATTTTATTGAAAATATTTGAATTTTTAACTATTGAAAAGTTTAGTGATAAATCCGTTTAGAGTTTTTATCAAATATTCATCATTATTACCTTTGCATTCATTGTTCAAGAAATTTTGATTCACCTATTAAATTATAAATCAGATCCTTATTTATATACAATTTTACTGCTATTTCCAGTATTATATGATTCTATTTTAGTTATTGAACTTTTTTTATGTAGTCGATAAATCCCATAGGTTAGATGCAGAATATTTTTATTCAAATACAATTTAAAAATTCAATCCCTAATGTTAAATTAAAGCATATCAATAAATTTTATTTCATAAAAGGCAATGTTTAAATCTTGTTTGTCCATGTAAAACAGATATAAGACTTGAAAATAAATAAGATATTATTAAATTCACTTCTTAAATTTTGAAGTTAGAATAATAATTTTGTTATTTAAAGTATATATCATTTTAAATTAAATATAATAACAAAGGATTTAAAAATTATTTGTAAATTATGAAAGTTGTAAAATAATAAAAAGAAATTTAATTTTCTTACTATGATAAAAAAGTTATTGAATCTCTTTTAGTAATAGTTTGTGAAAAAACAAAGCAACTATATAAAGAGATTATTCCAAACAAATTTTCAGAAGTTGTTTATTCACTCTAATGGTTTGAATCAAACTGTGAAAAAATAAAAGGTTAATTAGTAATTTTATTAAATGTAAAGTTGTAATTATGGTCATAATATGTTACTGATAAAATTGAATCTTATTAAGATATGTTTGAAATGTAAATGAAAATATCATATGAAATTAAGAAAATTAAAAAAGACTTACAATAGTTCTAACATGATATTTCAGTTTTTCTAAATTAAGAAATAAATTTAAAACAAAATTTATTTTATTAAAGAGTATCTTAAATTTTAGAATTATCCTTCTATTCAGTTAATTAATATTTATTAATCGAAAAGCAAATAAAGAAAATAATTGAATCCGAATAAGGTCAAGGAGACTTGTTGAATTATCAAATGTTTGAAAATTAAAAAGCAATGCAACTTTTAGTAGTTATTTCTAAATAACAACGAGGAAGAATTGAAAAAGTTTCAAATAAATGGTTAAATATTAATAAAATAGAGAATTTAGCAAATATTATGCCTTTATAATTTATTGAGATACATAACCAATTATTAGATAATTATTGTAAATTTGGACCCACAAAATCATAAATATTTTAAACCTTTATAAAATATGGAGAAACACCTTTAGTTTCCAAAGTTAAAATATGTCTTAATAATTATCCAAAATATGATTAGGAATTGTTATATTTGATGGGAACTCTTGTAAAAGAAAATATCGAAGAGGATTAAGATTATCTGTTGATTGGATAAGATTTTTAAATTCTAGGATATTCAGAATAATTATGGTTTAAAATATTTTAACATATAAAATTTTAAGATGATATTTATGAGTTATGTATTTTTTAAATAATCCCAGAAATAAAAATAATGCTAAAAGAACATTATGAAAATATGCTAAAATACAATTTTTCATTTTAAAATCATGAAAAAATGATAAGCCATTAACAAAAAGCTGTTTTATATTTAAATAAGAATATGGTTGGATCTAAACAAATAATTGATTCAAACTCCTATTTCTAATTATCACCTTAAGAAAGAATTGAAAAAATTCATTAATTATCTAAAATTTATAAGGATTTTGAAAAAAGTGAGTTTTAATTGAATTTAATGTTTAGTTTAAGCGAAAATTTAATTAATTTCCACACAAAAGATAAAAATATTAATTTTATTTACTATTGGATTACTTTTAATTTCTAAGAAACAAACACATTTCTTGATAAATAATTTAATTAATAATTTTCTTATGAAATTTAAGTTTATGAGGAAAATAAAATTAAAAAGAATGAGTAAAATTATTAATTCATATTAGATTTATTTAAGTAAAGATAAATTAAAGTATTGCAAGAACTTCCTCGTCAAATCAAAAAAGCAATTCAGAAATTCAATCATTTGAGTCAATAATAAACATTGTTAGTTAATTGACAGCTTATAGATTATTAATGCTACTTTCTATGGTATATGTTTTAATTACAATTATTTCTTTTATTTTACTTTATTAATAAATTTAGAAGAAAGAAATTTAATAAACATAGTGTTTTGAATATCTTGATTACAGTACTTCATTTCTTGATGGATATGGAAGAGCTATGATTGCTTCAAGACATGTAATTTATCTTAGAGATTTCAATAAATTTTTGTCTTCATCTAATTTATATTCTGTTGATTCTTCAAAAACTATAAATGTGACATCGGTAGATAAAATATCCTTTTCACTATATATTTACAAGTAATCAATAGAAGAATTAATATAATTTTATCAATTAGAATTAGATAAGCTTAAGATTTATGATTAGTAAAATTAAACAGTTGATTTAATAAGAATCAATTTTTATAGAAATTAGACAGAAATTTAAACAATTTAATCTTTATCATAATATTATAAAATAATGCTACAAACATTATATATGGCAATAAAAAGTTTTGCTAGAGATCCAACATTATATTTAATTGGAACCACAGACACGTATGCATAGTAATAATATATTTATTTTTTAAAGAGTCAATACAAGATCTATATTATATTTTAATTTCAAAAGGGTTGCAAATATTACTTTGAATTTTATGAGACAATGTTAGATTGATGATTAACTAATTAATTAAAATTTAGATTAAAGTTTCAATGCATTGTTGATAATAATTTATTCAATTATTTTATTACAAATAGTACTTTTTGTAATATTATATTCTGCTATTAAAAAGAAATAGAGATTTGTTTTATCCTTATTTTGTCGAACAAGTTTGAATGAAGGAATAGAAGAGATAACATTAATTTAAAAACTTTTAAGTATCGTTAAGAATTCAAAGCTTTGGTTTGGTTTATATTAATACGCTGAAGAAGATGAGAATAAAATAAGTAGATCATATAATGGTAAAGTGATGAAATCTCATATATCTCATCATTTATCATCTCGAGTACTTTTAAAGATGATAATTCCATTACTTATAGTATCATATGGATCATTTCTGACTTTACATATGAATTATGTTGATTATTCAATTAATTTGTCTCCTATTGTGACTGCTGCTCTTAAGACATAATATATTCGACTATTATTTTTAGATACAATCAATAACTGGGATGTATACGTAAATAAGAAATTCTATGAAGCAATGATAGCAATTCAACCCACAGCATCTGGTAGATTTGTCATTATGAGTTAAAATATTAAACATGGATATTAATTACTCAGACTTATAAATGTAGATGAAGAGAATTTAAAAGCCAATCTATAAGAATTGTAAAGTGAACCATTTTCACATATGATTTATTCACAAACTTTAGAAGTTAATTCAGATAGTCTTTTAGGTAAAGATCTTTGTTTGATGCAAATATTTAATTGCAATATGAATGAAACTGTTTATAAAGAAAGAGTTCACTTTTAGTAAATGTATTCAATTTATGAAGTTGGAATTATTAATTTATTTAAATAATCTGTTTCTGTGATGAACTAAAATGATTTTTTTAATTTAAATGACAATTATGAAATTATCAAAGCTTTTGAAAGATTAGAAAAATCTTAAGATTACTATTTTTATTTTCTATGGGGATTCGATGCTTTCTTATATTAAATGAGATTGTTTTCAGAATTCTTTATTAACCTCTCTAAAAATCAGCTGGTAGATCTATCCTTTAATATTTATATCCTGTATTACATATTTTCTATAGCAACCATTTTAGCACTCATATTGATTTTGTTAATTGGAAATATTGCAATTCAAAAAGAATTTATTCTTACCTTAGAAATGCTTTATCAAATTCCTAAACAAACAATTATTAATAAATAATTGGGTAGATAAATTAAACTTTTATGATTGATATATAATTTTTAATTGTAAATCACTTAATATAATTAATGTATTATTCTTAATTTATCCTCCCTACATATAATATTTTTAGTATAAAATTAATTTTATTATTTTCAGTTTCACTAATTCAATTATATAGAATAATTAAATATAAATCATAGTAAAATAAGAACAAAAATTAAAATAATGTTCAATAGATTAAGTTTCTAATTAATAAAATATGATTCTCACCGATTATAAATCTAAGAATTGATCTTTTTATAAGTTTAATTAAGTAATTAATGATAGAAAAAATGATAAGAAATTAAATTAGGATATTTAAGAAAATTTATAAATAACCTAATTATTAAACCTTCATAACCATTCTAAATTCTTGAAGTTTTTTTCGTTTCAAATTAAAATAAAGGGGATACTTAAATCATTATAAAAGAATTATTTTATTTCAATGGAGATATAGAGAAATTATAACTATCATGGCAATATATTATTGGTATTAAATTCCTTACTTGATTAAAATGAAAATTATTATTACTTATCTTATATTGAATAAAATGTTAACTTAAATTTATTAAAAAGGGTTAATATTTGGAAATCACAAATGATTTGGAGAAATACTAAATATATTTATACATAATTTATCATTTATGTAGTAAAAAAAAAAATTTGATCATTCAATATTAGTCTAACCAATAAAAACAGTTAGTAAAAAAATATTATAAATTTAAATTTAGCGTTGTAAATAGTATTGTACAAACTTTGTAGATTACTTAAAAAATAAATCAAGAAATTGAATTTTCATCTTTAAAATTATTCAGTATAATCTCTATAATTATTTTGAGACTTAGATATTTATTCAAAAAGGTTTTAAAAGAATTAAATGTAATTTATTAATATTCTTTCTAAATATGTTTATAATTATTATTTAAACAGAATTTAATTTCTTCTTTTTTAAATTAGTACTAATTCTAAATTATTTTAATTTCCTTGCTGTAATTTTAATTCTTTATAATTAAAAGTAATTATCTTTAAAAAGTTTATTAAAATTAAAAATTTTTTATTTATAAATCATTCTTAATCAGTTTCTTAGGTTATAATCAGGCCATTCTGAGGAGATGTAAGAGCTTTCTCAGTATTACCTTCGATGGGACTAATTGATTAAACTATAATCTTTACATTTATTTGTTTGCTATTTTAGATTGTAAAAGAGTTGTATTTCTTTAGGTTTTTCTTGTTAACATTAATGTTGGTACAGGAACCCCTGGGTCAAGACTTAATTGATGTTTGAGAATGTGATTATCACTTTCTCGAGTTAAGAAGTTAAGACTTGACATTCTTTTGAATTAAGATTTTCTTTCATTTATTTATAGGTTAAGATTTTCATACTATAATTTTTCCATTTTATTTCTTTCCTCTTGTACAATTTTAAAATCATTAAAATCTCTATTAAATTTAATATCTTAAGTTTTAACCACAGAAAACCTTTTTTATACTTTGGTCAAAATGCCTCTCATGGAAGACATTTTTTAAAATTCTTATTTTCTCTTTCTTTCTTCTCTAATATTAATGATTTAATCTAATAATGCCTTTCTTTAAGTCTAATTTTCAAGAAATCTTAATGACTAAGATACCTGATGAGAATCAAATGGATTTTGAAGCATATCAATGGCTTTTAAGACCATTTGTTTGTTTCTTTTTAACTTTTGTAGTTGAAGTTTTTATGAAAAATTTTGATTAGTAGAAGATGTTTGAGTTAAAGAATTTTTGATCATTTTATAAATTAATGATTAATTAAAATTAATTAACTTTATATTTTATCTTGTTTGCTAAATATATAGAAAATATCTAAAAAATAAAAGTTTTTTTTGGAATTTGCCATCTCAATAAAATAATTATAATATTAAGCTTGATTTTTTGTTAATATATATTTATAGATATAATATAATGTAATAATTAGTAATTAATTAAACAACTTTTAACGACATTATTAAAATAATAAAATGTCTCAACAGCAATCTATCCAAAAATCAACCACTTAATCATCTCTTAGAACATTAACAGATTACGGAGGATAGTAAAGATTAGTAAATTACGCAGATTTATAGAGAAATCTTTCTCCTTAAGCTGAATTATGTCTTGCAAAGGATTATAATTCAAAAATCAATAAATATGTGTATATATAATGAATAATTGTAGAAAATAAGAAAAGGCTACTTGTACATTACCATCTGAGTGTGATAGTAAAACAATTGAAATGTGTAAAGAAAATTTAAATAAGATTGCAACTCTTTAAAAAAACAATCCTACACTTAAACCAAGTGATCCTATAACATAAGAGAGCAGACCTATAAATGAAAATAAGAGTCATATAATAAAAACTCCTTTGAGTGATGTTGATAATTTAAGGAATTTTCATAATAATCCAACATCTCCAAAAATAAACCCAAATTCTAAAGTGAATTATTAAACATCATAACCTGATTGGAAACCTAGTTAAAAATCTATTTAACCAGCTCCTGCTAAAACAAAGGATCTTTTTGAAAAAAGAGAACTTAAAGTGGCTGAATTAAAACCGGTGGATAGAAATCCAATTTTAGAAGATAATAAAGGAAAGTAATATGGTAAACATGAATCATATGGAAAAGCTGACCATTTAGAATGTAAGAAATTACTTTCAAATGGTTATGGTTAAGAATTAAAATATAAAGAAGATGTAAATTATTATAATTTATTTAATAATAGAAACATCTAGCTTAGAAACCAAATTCATTTTAATAATCTGAAAGAACATTTAACTATTCAACAGTTAATTAGGGTGATTATAGAAAAAAACCATCAGAATTTGAAAATAGAAATACATTTTTTACTAGAAAATGAATAATAAAATTATGTATAACTATTATAAATAAATATAATTTTAATAATTCATTATTCATCTAAGAGACTAATTATCTTTTTTTATTATTGATCTAATAAATCAATTTTGAAAATATCATTAAGAAGATCTTTGTAACACTTTAAAATCACAATTAAATCAGAATCAATACCTTAAAGAGAGGAAGAAAGTGATTAAATCCTTACAAAATTTTCATTCTGTAATTGTAAGCAATGTTCAATTTTATTTTAAATTTCAATATTTTAAGAATCTTGAGTCTCTTTTAATTTATTCATGGTATTATTGATCTCGCTATATAGTTGGAAGCATTTACGTGATTTCTTTAGATTACTAATGTAAATGTGAAATCAAAGCTTTTTGGCTGTCAGTAATATCATTATACTGTTATTGTATATTGTTAGCACTAAATGACATAAATTTTTCATTAAGAGCTTTAATTGTCTTTTCTAATTTTTAATTATTGGCATTATATTAGTCTTGGATTTCTCTAGTCAATTTAACATAATTATCTTCATTAGTTCTTAATCTTTTTTCTAAAGCTGCAATCTTATTATTATCAGATACAGTTTATTATGACATATTAGGAAGAATGACTTAATAATATTAAAAGTAATACTTTACCTGAATTTTATTTGGATGTTGATCTTCTACCTTATGGACTTTTCATTTTATCTTAGGCACTCATAATACTAACATCATCATTTTATGGTAAAGAGAATTAACTTTAATTACGTAGTAGTCCACTTGTATCATTATTAGAGTCTTCTTTTTTTTCATTAACTTTATTTTTATTTGGGCTACAGGGACTTGCTTAAAGATATTGTAATTTTGAATTGAGTTCAGTTAGATTATCTCGATTATCTAATCTCTCTTAAAATTCTGTTAATTTTGCTTCAATAGATAGGATAATTTATTTAAAGATAAGACCACTAACATTATCATCATCTTATAGAGTATTTGCCAATTCAACTATTTCAATTAAACAATTCTATTTTAGTTTAGATTCTATTAGAACTGGTTTTATAATTTATTGTTTAGTATCATCAATCACATTAGATTCATTTGTAACCTCCTTTTTTTAATTGGATGATTAATTTGTAAGTTTTACTTATGGTTTTGGAACTGACTTTCCTGGTTTCCGAGCTGATTAAATTGATGATTTCATTCACAATTAATGATTATTGAAATAAAATTATTTTATGTTTAATTTATTTTTTAATCAGATCAATTATATATAATAACACAAGCTCTTTTCAAAATTAATCTTCTGTTATTTCATCTACTTCTTTAATATAAAGATCACCAAACATATTTTTGTCAGAACTTGTAGGTTTTTTAAGAACTCCTTATAAATCTTATTATTATGAACTATATTTTGATTATATTAAAGCACCATCATTTGGCATTACATCAATACTACAATCTAAATGAGCACCTAATTAAGCAAGAAATTTATTATTATTATTTAATTAATCATCTTTCATTTCTAGAGTACCTTAAATTTTACATTAATTATCCAATTAATCTAAATTATAATTATATAATACTTGAAGAACCACAAAATTATAATCCACAACTTTTATCAAGTAATTCTTATTTAGATCCTAATTTACTCATAAGTGCTGTGCTACTACTAATTGAATTCATCAATTAAATCAAACCACATTTATCACCATGTTTTTAAAGAATATGTACATTACTAAAACTTTTAACTAAATCATTTATTATTATTTCATCATCTTTATCATCATTTTAACTACTTTATAATTTATGAATAACATTTCCTAACTATTATTCATCAAACCTAAGACTTGTTTGTAATGATCTACATCTACCACAATTATCCTAAACTATATTTAATTTATTCAAAAAAGCAATAACATCTTAAATAGTACTAATTTCAAAAAAAGGATGTTTTAAAGCTGCATCAACAGTTATTCTTTCATTCTTATTTGGATTTAACATCTACATGATTAAATTACATAATGGTTATTCAAGTTTATTTAATTATTCTTAAAATCTCCATTAATTTGGATTTGCTAATAATTCAATAAAATCTTATATATCATTTGAATGTAATGGTAATTTTTGGAATATACATTAATAAGTAATAACTCCTATAGCCCATATATCAACTTCTTTTGAATAACTATTTTTATGATATATTTCTGGTGCACAATAAAAAATATTACCAGTTTTTGTTAACATTTCAATTTCTTATCCTTTTGATAAGAATCTTCTTGAAACTCCAAAATCGACAATTTTAACATGAGGAGGTTAACTATCCTCATCTAAATTGACTAGAATATTATCTGGTTTTAAATCTCTATGACAAATTCCTTTAGAATGTGCATGTTGAATTCCTAAAAGAAGTTGTTTTATCATGACTTTTAATTCTTCAGAAGTGAGAGCTCGTTTTTTAATAATACTTTCTAAACTTGGAAACTTGCAATATTCCATTACCAAATATGAAGTTTCTAATTTCTCATTGATATAAAGTTCTATATCTTAAGCAATGTTAGGATGTTTGAGACATCTTGTATTATTAAATGTTCTTTTAACATTATTTTGAATTTCCTAATCTCCTGATCTAACTATTTTTACAGCATAGATCTCATCAGTGCTTTTTTTCTTTGCTGTCTTAACTATAGCATGAGCTCCTTAACCTATAATAAAATAATCATAAATATCATACCTAAAGTGAGAAGGCATTGATAATGGTCTTCAAAACGTTTACTTTCTTCACAATCATTTATTTAAGGAAGAGGAATATCGTCATTAAATTCAATCTAAAATTTTAATCTATTCGCCATTAAAATAATTAACTAAAATGATTAGACAAATAAGGAGTAATGCCATAAGTGTAAATCCTTTTAACAATCAGAAGTAAAGTACACCAAATCTCAATCAAAAACCAAGAACTTAACAAATTACCTCAAAAAACCTTGTTTCTGATAAAAGTGCAGACACATTAACTTCATCAATCACTACATTCAAACATCGTACAATGCCTGATGTTAAGATCTTTGGTGCTTCTTCAACTACTAAAGGCCTTTATCTTGATAAATATTTTAATTCCTGTCGAAGATTTTCAGAAAAGAGAAATGCTGACAAATCATCTTCACCTTTAAATGATAACTTCATTCTATTTAAAGTTTCTAGTGATTTAGGATCCATTAAAAATTCAGTTTAAGCAATTGATAATGATTAAATCTCTATGTTTTAATCAGGAAAATCAAATAAAGATTCGTTAAATTAGAAAACTAATATGTTTTGTAACTCTCAAATAAAACTAAATTCATAATAAAATAATGAAGAAATGAATGAAAACAACTAAATCTTCAAAATCTAAAATAAATAATTTATTTAACAAATTTAAGAATTAAATAACTTTAAATCTACTTAAAATTAGGACAATTTTATTCATAATAGTAATCAAGAATCATTCAAATTAATCTAATCTTAAAATTATGGAAAAATATTAACTTCCATTAAATAAGATGAAAATGAATAAAAATTAGATTTATGTGATTCAATCATTCAAAAACATGATTCTTTACAATCAATCTAAAATATCAAATAATTTAGAATTAAAATTGAAAAGACTATCTTTTTAAATTAAACTCAAGATTAAAATCCATAAATTATAAAATAAGAAAATTCATTAATTATACAATAATAAAATTCATAGATTTTAGAATAATAAAATTCATAAATCATACAATAATAAAATTCATAAATTCTAGAATAATAAAATTCATAAATTTTTTTAGATTAATAAAAAGATGATTTAGATGAAATATCTTTAAAATAGGCAAAAAGTGAGATACTCAGACATCAAATAGCTTAATAAAAATTCTCCAATTTCAAATACATTTAAAGTAGATTAAAGATTAGAATTTTAATTTTTATTTTGATTGTGATTTTATTAATCAAGATTTATACTCCATTAGTATGATATATTTAATTTTAAATTTATGATTAGGGTAAATCAAATAATATAGATCAAATTCGCTTATTTTTTTTAAATACTCCATTCTTTTTTATAATGTTTTTCATAAAATCTTAATGAATATTCAACTTTTCTTTGAAAGAATTTATATGACTGATTTTTTCATTTCATGTAAATTAAGAAATATACTCTCAGTCTCATTTGCTATCCAATTGTTTGTAAATTTTTAGTAATCTATTATTAAATATTTAAAGTACAATAAATCTATTAATAAATATACTTATTTGAATTGTATGTTTTTTTAAGTCGGATACTTAGTTTTGATTTGATTTTCAAACTTATGCTTAAAGAGTAGGGAATTGAGTTTTTGAAAAAGTCATAAATTAATCATTTAATTAATTATGATATATATTATTTTAGGAATACTCGCTCTAATCTATTTAATAACACAGCCATTACTAATTGTTATCTATTTCAAAATGAAATATGGGAAAAGAGTAATAATTCAATACTATCCAATGTTGGGATTGCTTCGTTCTTTAAGTCAATCAAGAGTAATAAATGGAGATGCATTTGAAGCCTTTTCTGTACTGATAAAAAATAATAGATAAGCAGACATATTAGTTAGTAATTTATTATTTCGACCATTGATAATATTCTTGAAACCAAAATATTATCGAATAATTATGCAATAACATTAAGATTATAGGAAATTCCCCATGATAGTCGATAAGAGATTGGTATCAAAAGGAATGTTAATGGAAGGGGGATCAAAGTGGAAATAGTAAAGAAACCTTTTAGGAGTTCATTTTGAATATAACAAACTAATTAATCTAATACCAATGATAAATGATGTGGCTTAAAAGAAATTAATAAATTTACCAAACTCTATATTTCCAGCTATGAATTTAGCTTCTTCAATAACAGGTGAAGTTGTACTTAGAGCATTTTTTGGTGAGGATATTGCAAAATTAAGCTTAAATGGACAAGACCCATCATAATGTGTTACTTAATTAATAACTAGATTTGGATAATTAATTACTGAATCTCGATTCTTTTAAATTAAAAGAGCATTATTTGAAGAGAAAGTTTTTAGTTTATTTCCAAGACAAATAGAAAAAGATCTTTATGAGATGAATACTATTATGTTGGATCATATGAAAAAGGCAATATAAAGTAGAATGGAAAAATTAAAGAATTGTAAAAATTTTGTTCATCAAGATTATCTTGATGTTTATTTAGATGTTTATCTAAATAAAAATGATTAAATGAATCCTCCAATAACAGAAGATGAAATTTTATAATAATCAATTACATTATATTTTGCAGGAACTGAAACTACAGCAAATTTAGTAACTACAGCTTGTTATTTCTTGGCTGAACATTAATAACTTTAGGAAGAAATATATTAAGAAATAATTGAAGTATTAAATGGAGAATAAACAATTACAGCAAAGCATTTACAAAATCTTTAAAAAGTTACAGGATTTTTGATGGAATGTCTTCGATTAAAACCAGTTGCTCCTATGTTAATATCTAAATAGGCATTAAAAGATTTATATATAGAGGATATATTTATAAAAAAAGGTACAAATGTATATAATATTAATTTTTAGGATGGTATGTCAATTATATGGTTTTATCTAATGCTTAAAATTAAGAATTCTTTTAAAATCCAAAAAATATTGATATTAAAAGATGGAAAGCAGACGGAACTCTTAAAGATTCATCTATAGATCCATTTGCTTTTGTACCTTTTTCTGCTGGAGGTAGAAATTGCATAGGATAATATCTTGCTTTAATTGAAAGCAAAATTGTCATATCAAAAATACTTTTATTATATAGATTGAAATTAAATGAAAAAATCATAAGAACTGAATGGATAGCTAAAATTACTTATGGTTTATCAAATCAGGATTATTTAACATGGGAGAAAAGATGAAAATGTTATTTAATATTTATGTGTACATTTTCATAACAAAAAATTTAAATGATCACATTTAGGCATACATTACGAATGTCTTACTTTTAATTATTAAATTAATTTTATGAATTAATTATATTTTGGCGATTGTCCTTCATCTTAATTATCAAATAAATTAGAAGGATGTTACAATCCAACATATTAACATGCTTTTATAAATTAATTCTATTCTTATGGTAACATTAATTTTTAATAAAGGTATTTCCAATCTTGATTAGGTATTTAATTTTTTGATATTTATAAATCAATTTTCTTACTAAAACTTTCAAAACTTCTCTCAATTCTAGGTAAAGAACTAGATCTAATTTTTTCATTCGAAAATACTATGCTTCTATCATTTTTATCTTAACTTATACTAAATCTTTTATTCCTCTCTTCAATTGTAGGTATTTAAATGAATTTCTTTATTAAAGTATTTACTTATCTTTTATTCTTTAATTTCAATATTTCACTTCCTTAAGCTTCAATCAAACTTATTTTATGATCTAATTCAGACTTCTATGCTTTCATAATTATTTTAGCTTCTTGATACTTAATAATTTCCTCTTTTATTCTTCTTTCATAATTTGTACTTGTTGTATCAATTAATTATTTAAGTTCTTAATTTTGCTCTTACAAAAACAATATATCAAAACTAGTCATATTTGTTTATGCTTCTTAATTAACCTTATTTTTCATTATTATTAATTTTTTAAGTATTTTTTAATTATTTTTCATTTTATCTCTAATTTTTTCTTTTTCCTCTTCCATAATTTACATTCCTTATGGAACTTCTTTAGGACTTGGATGAGAATCAATAATGCTTCTACTATTAATTGATAATTTGCTAATAAAATCTCCAATCTATGACATTTCAAGACTTGCCCTACTCTAATTCACCTTAGCTACTTTATGTTTTTCTTTTATGCTCTATTAAATTAAAAATTCAAATGGAACACTTCTTGGATGTGGAGATAAATGCAATTAGAATTATTGAATCCATAATAATAAATTATTCAGGATTACTAAATGAAATCCATTTAAAATCTTGATTATCACTTTAATATTACTTTTATCAATTCTCCTAAATATCCTAAGTCGTACTCTCCTAAACTTAAGATTAATTATGCTTCACAAACTGTCACTATATTACAGTATTATCTTAAGTCTTCAATATAGCCCTGTTAAATTTCTTATTGTCGATCATTGAATTATGCTTAAGCCTTTTACAAAATCTGCCTTATCTTTGCTGTGAGTTTCTCCAAACTTAATAGCAGCTATTGAAAATTACTCTTTATATTATATTGAACTCATCGTAACTATTATAATAAATAATGAATCATTATTATTATCTTATAATTTATTTTCAATTACTTAATTAATCATTTAACAATACTTCATTCTTTTTTTTACATTTTTATTTTATTTAAAAATAAGTATAAAACATATTATTTATGGATGACTTAAAGAAATTTCTTTAATTTCAGAACCTCTAGTTTCAATCGAAATCGATAATTCATCTGTATATTTTTAATAAATTCAATTACAAATTGTAGCAGTGAAAATAAAATTAATGAAAGATAAAAAAAAATGAATAAGGTGCTCTATTCAAAACTATTTTTTTTTTTTGAAAGAAATTGATTAGAATATCAAAGATTCAAATTAAATTCTTTTTGAAAAAGTTTTTTAGAACAATCAAATGGTAAAAGACTTTAATAAGCAGAAAAAGAGTTTTTAAATTAATGATTACTTTTTAGAAAACTTTTAAATGTTTAAATGAATTATAAGAAGTAAAGGAAAAGATTTCAGTAATTGCTAAAAAAAGAATAGAATTTCAAGAAATTAGAATGTAGATACTAAACAAATTAATTAAAAAGTGATAACTATTTAAAAACTCAAATTATTTTCTAATATATTATTTTTCAAAATTGTATCAAAGAAAATTAAGTCATTTTATATACTTATATATCTATCTTTTTTCGAATTGAATGATGATTTAGATTCTTTTATATTTGAATTTAAATCTATTCTAAGATATATGGATTTTTTTTATTTTTAAAAGTATTATTCAAAAAAGTTAAAATATTTTTTTGAAAATAACAAAAATTTTAAGTCGTATATGAAAAAATGTTGATTATTATATATTTAATACTTTTGTCTTCTTTTTTAATTTGTATATTAATTTATAATATAAATATAGAATCCCTGTCAGTAATTTTATACTTTATTGATAAATAATTATAATAAATTTTAATGGATTTTAAGGTTTAATCTGATAAATGCATTTTATCTAACCTTAACAGGCATTCCTTTGGTCCATCACCTAAAGCTGTTAAGATAAATAATAAAAGATTAAAAAGAGAATGTAAAAGTGTGATGGAAGTCTCTTTTAAAAAGAATGATTAAATTATTATGGTTGAAAATTGGAAAAAATACAATGAAGATGTTAGTAATCTTGAGTCTCAACCACCTGTAAAAAGATTCAAAGAGACAGGATGCACAGGTTGTAAAATATTTTGAAAGAAAGAATGAAAATTAATATATATATATAAATTTCACTTTGTTCTGNTACTTCATTCTTTTTTTTACATTTTTATTTTATTTAAAAATAAGTATAAAACATATTATTTATGGATGACTTAAAGAAATTTCTTTAATTTCAGAACCTCTAGTTTCAATCGAAATCGATAATTCATCTGTATATTTTTAATAAATTCAATTACAAATTGTAGCAGTGAAAATAAAATTAATGAAAGATAAAAAAAAATGAATAAGGTGCTCTATTCAAAACTATTTTTTTTTTTTGAAAGAAATTGATTAGAATATCAAAGATTCAAATTAAATTCTTTTTGAAAAAGTTTTTTAGAACAATCAAATGGTAAAAGACTTTAATAAGCAGAAAAAGAGTTTTTAAATTAATGATTACTTTTTAGAAAACTTTTAAATGTTTAAATGAATTATAAGAAGTAAAGGAAAAGATTTCAGTAATTGCTAAAAAAAGAATAGAATTTCAAGAAATTAGAATGTAGATACTAAACAAATTAATTAAAAAGTGATAACTATTTAAAAACTCAAATTATTTTCTAATATATTATTTTTCAAAATTGTATCAAAGAAAATTAAGTCATTTTATATACTTATATATCTATCTTTTTTCGAATTGAATGATGATTTAGATTCTTTTATATTTGAATTTAAATCTATTCTAAGATATATGGATTTTTTTTATTTTTAAAAGTATTATTCAAAAAAGTTAAAATATTTTTTTGAAAATAACAAAAATTTTAAGTCGTATATGAAAAAATGTTGATTATTATATATTTAATACTTTTGTCTTCTTTTTTAATTTGTATATTAATTTATAATATAAATATAGAATCCCTGTCAGTAATTTTATACTTTATTGATAAATAATTATAATAAATTTTAATGGATTTTAAGGTTTAATCTGATAAATGCATTTTATCTAACCTTAACAGGCATTCCTTTGGTCCATCACCTAAAGCTGTTAAGATAAATAATAAAAGATTAAAAAGAGAATGTAAAAGTGTGATGGAAGTCTCTTTTAAAAAGAATGATTAAATTATTATGGTTGAAAATTGGAAAAAATACAATGAAGATGTTAGTAATCTTGAGTCTCAACCACCTGTAAAAAGATTCAAAGAGACAGGATGCACAGGTTGTAAAATATTTTGAAAGAAAGAATGAAAATTAATATATATATATAAATTTCACTTTGTTCTGGAATTGTGATCATATACTAATTCTTCTAGATTTGGTTTTGATGTCAAGTATATATCATTAAATTATAATTATGATAAGAAATAAAAAAATATTAAAGTAAATCGAATTTTTTTTAATTATACCTTTTCATATACGTAACAACAATTAAATAAGTAAATATTTTTATGAATTCACTTTAAATCAATCGAAATTTGACAATGAAATTCGAAATAAATAGGACTGTAAATTTATTATAAAATGAATATAATAAACTTTACAAATTTTTATTTATAAAGATAAGAGCATAATATCATTATATTTAAAATATATATAAATATGTTCTAGGAATTGAATTTATCTGACTCTGATTCGTTTCGTCAAAGAAAAAGAGGAAGAAGCTTGAATGAACGATAAGGTAAGATTTTTTAGTAATCATAGTATCAAGTTAAGAGAAGTTTGAGTTTTAATAATAATATTAGTTGTTTTAACATTTTTATGAAAGTTGCCAGAACATTCCAATAGACTTTTTGTATCTAAAAGAATATTTTAATGTTGGTTTAAATGATTGTCCAAACGATGTAGAGGTTTTAAAAATTCAAAAGAAATTACACAATCGACGTTTCTCTTAGAATCAAAAAAAAAGTTGGACATTTGATGAAAAAAAAGTTTTAGTTTGGGTTATTGGTAAGTATTGTTCATTGAAATAAAAAAATTGTAGATTTTTGAATAGTGATGATTTTAACGAGATTGCTTAATATTTATTTAGGAGAAATGTTGAAAATATCAAGTAAAAATGGACATCCATGCACAAAACATCTTTAATTACATAACCATTTACATAGGAAGAAGATCAGTATTTATAAATGTTATATGAAAAATACAAAAATGATGAAAATAGATGGAAACATATTGCATAAGAAATGAATAAAATAAATTAAATATATAGAACAAGTAAGTAACTAAGGGAAAGATGGATAAACTACTTAGATCCATCATTGGTTAAAATTAAAGATCCTTGGACAGATAGAGAAGATTTAGAGTTAGTATATTAAATTTAGTAAAAAGGTAAAAAGTGGACAGAAATAGCAAAGCAATTAAAACGAAATGAAAACTAAGTGAAAAATAGGTTTAATGGTTTATTAAAAAGGGATGAAGTAGATGATGATTTAAATAAATTAATTGATAAAATATTATGGAGAATAAGTAAATAACCAATAGATGAATATTAAAATCACAATGAAAAATAGCCTGTTCATCATAATAATCATAATTAAAGTTTGTTATTTGCTATAGGAAATATTGAATTAATAACAAGAGAAGAGACTTATGAATTAACACCTTGTATGGTTAATCTTAAGACCAATTAAATATATTTTACACCTAATTATTTATTATAGGAAATCTTATAATATTAGTAATTAGATGTAAGAGATGATTTTGATAAAATAAAAAGAGAAATGGAGAAATTTGAACCAACTTAATTTAGAGTAGCCTCTCTATCTATTATTAGCGAAGAGTATCAATAACCAATAATATAAAATAATCATCAACATTTCATACACTCATTTTCTGATATGCCTAATTTTGAATCATCAAATTAACCTGCATCTATAGAGATTAAAACATATATTAATCCATTTTATTCTTTAAAGAATTTGTAATCTAAATATTTTAGGCATCGGACTGATTTGACTTTGCCTAAGGCTATGCATTCTATTCCTTGGAAATCTTTACCTTAATTATTAATTTGTTGATTTTTGTATTTTTTTGTTTATCCAAAATTACATTTTCAATAAAATATTATTCTAAAAAATTTTAATCTTATAAATTTATTTTTAAGATCATTAGATATATTAATTTAATATATTTTCTTCATTCAGAGACATTTTAGTTTATTTTCTCTATATAATTTTATTTAAGTTATTTTAAATTCTAAGCTATCTTCTAATAAGCATTTCAATCTTTTAATTTATTATAATTAATATCTAAACCTATTTAATCTCGGCTATAATTATAACAGCTTAGATTGAAATTTTTTAATTATTATTCAGATACTAATAAAATCAAAGCTTATTTTATCAAACTATTTATAAAAGTGAATAACTATTAGCTAGATCTATTTTTTACTTTCTTTTATTGTTTATGATGAAATAAAATTGGTATATTTTCTAACTCTTTAGCAAGTAATTGATAATCTAATGTTTTTAATTTTAGTAATTAGTTAGGTAATATTATTTTTTCTATTTTTATTTATTTTAATTATTCAATATTAGCATCATTAAATATAATTGGTTTTTCTTAATGATCATATAAACCATCTATCTAAATATGATGTAATTACTTTACTCTTTTTAATACGTTTATTATTCTATTTAAAAAGTATATAGCAGTTTATTAAACATTGATATAATTTTTGAATATATTTAAAGTATATTACTANATATTAAAATCACAATGAAAAATAGCCTGTTCATCATAATAATCATAATTAAAGTTTGTTATTTGCTATAGGAAATATTGAATTAATAACAAGAGAAGAGACTTATGAATTAACACCTTGTATGGTTAATCTTAAGACCAATTAAATATATTTTACACCTAATTATTTATTATAGGAAATCTTATAATATTAGTAATTAGATGTAAGAGATGATTTTGATAAAATAAAAAGAGAAATGGAGAAATTTGAACCAACTTAATTTAGAGTAGCCTCTCTATCTATTATTAGCGAAGAGTATCAATAACCAATAATATAAAATAATCATCAACATTTCATACACTCATTTTCTGATATGCCTAATTTTGAATCATCAAATTAACCTGCATCTATAGAGATTAAAACATATATTAATCCATTTTATTCTTTAAAGAATTTGTAATCTAAATATTTTAGGCATCGGACTGATTTGACTTTGCCTAAGGCTATGCATTCTATTCCTTGGAAATCTTTACCTTAATTATTAATTTGTTGATTTTTGTATTTTTTTGTTTATCCAAAATTACATTTTCAATAAAATATTATTCTAAAAAATTTTAATCTTATAAATTTATTTTTAAGATCATTAGATATATTAATTTAATATATTTTCTTCATTCAGAGACATTTTAGTTTATTTTCTCTATATAATTTTATTTAAGTTATTTTAAATTCTAAGCTATCTTCTAATAAGCATTTCAATCTTTTAATTTATTATAATTAATATCTAAACCTATTTAATCTCGGCTATAATTATAACAGCTTAGATTGAAATTTTTTAATTATTATTCAGATACTAATAAAATCAAAGCTTATTTTATCAAACTATTTATAAAAGTGAATAACTATTAGCTAGATCTATTTTTTACTTTCTTTTATTGTTTATGATGAAATAAAATTGGTATATTTTCTAACTCTTTAGCAAGTAATTGATAATCTAATGTTTTTAATTTTAGTAATTAGTTAGGTAATATTATTTTTTCTATTTTTATTTATTTTAATTATTCAATATTAGCATCATTAAATATAATTGGTTTTTCTTAATGATCATATAAACCATCTATCTAAATATGATGTAATTACTTTACTCTTTTTAATACGTTTATTATTCTATTTAAAAAGTATATAGCAGTTTATTAAACATTGATATAATTTTTGAATATATTTAAAGTATATTACTATAGAATGCTGTTTATTCTGCTATAACTACAAAAAATAATAAAAAAATAATAATCATAATATTAATATTCAAGATTAGTTTAATACTCAAATTTTATTAGCATAATTATAGAATATTTTTCTTATTATTAATTAGTTGAAATAATGAATCAATTAAACTTATGAGTGAATAAATATAATTTTAATTTTCAATTGAATGGAATCAATTTTTGGGAATAATGTTTCACACAGAAATTAAATTGCATTATAAGATAACTTTGCATATTCAGTAGGGTAAAAGGTTGTGAATTATTCAATAAAAAATGATGAATAATAAAATTTTTTAATGGGATAAGCTTAAGTAAATTCGATACTTATTTCAAGAGATGGTAATCATATTTTTACAGGTGAACAAAGTTTTAAAAGTCCAGCAATCAATATTTATTAAATAAAAGATTAGAAAATTATATAACCTACTCATCGTTTAATTGGTCACAAATTTGGAATTAAATAAATTTTAGAATCTCCTATTAAACCATTTTTATTATCTCTTGGTACAGAATCAGATAAAACATTGTTTTTATGGGATTTATAATATAATAAAAGCTTATCAATAAATAAACTTGAAAATAAAGTGAATTCAATAAGGTTTTCAAAAAAAGGAACAATTTTAATTAGTGCAGGTTAATCTCATTTATAATATTGGCAATTTCGTTAAGATGGTTATCCAATATTTGAAGGATAAACTCTTTAATCTAATAATTTTTCCCTATTTGAATAGTTTACATCCAAAAATTATATTGATTGTTTTGTTGATGATTAAGTATATGTATGCACATCAGATGCTCTACTATGCATTTTTTCTTTAGCTACTAAATAAATGTTGTCTTATATGTAATTAGATTTAGAACATTTATATTCTCTCACTTTTAATGGAACTTACTTTTTTTTTGGTAGTTCAAATTCTAAAATTTAGATATGTGATTTTGAATTATAAAATATTTGTTTTCTCACTCAAAACCATTAATCTTCGAATCAGAATGAATATGATTGTTTAGGTATTGAAGCAAATGATGTTTATTTGATATCAGCTTATCGTAATAAAAATATTGCTATTTGGAATATTACAAATATAAATAAAATTGAATAAGTAAGAGTTCTTCATAGTCATTCAAACTTAATTAATCATTTAATTGTTCTTAAACCTTAATCAATATATGAAGTATCTTTTGTTGCAACTATTTCTGAATAAGACTTAGTCATCTGGCATACTAATACTAATTCTAAAAAAATTAAAAAATTAAACTTAAAGAATAATGTTACATATACACAATAGTTTTAATCTGACTTCTAATATAATGAATTAAGATGTCTTTCTCAATCAAATGATGGATAGTATTTAGCTATTGGAGACACTTATGGATTAATGAGAATTTTTTCATTAATTAATTTTAAATAGATAGCCTAAGTTCAAGCTCATACTTTAAAAATAACCGTCATCTAATATTGGGTTTTAAATAGTAGTTTTATGACAGGATCAGATGATAAAACTATAGCTATTTATGATAAATTGAATTTTAAGAATTATAATCTCTTATCTCATCACACTGATTCCATCTTAAATATTTTCACTTATTAAAATAAGATAATTACTTATTCAAAGGATAAATTACTTGTCTTTTTAGAATATTCAGAATAGAATTTCTAAATTTATTATAAATCATAATTAAGTAGAATAAGTTCAATTGATTAAGATTAAAACTTTTTATTTATTTTATAAGATGGAATTGTTTCAGTTATTGATATTTTGTAAAGCCATCAAAAGTTTATTTTAAATATTTAAGATTGTTTAAAACTAAGAATTTCTCATTAAGAATCTTATTGTCTTCTAGCAACAGTTTCTTATAATAAAGTTACACTTTATAAATATGTGAATGAAAATAACTATAAAAAATAAGAAGAATTAGATTTAGATAATATTGTCATGATTGAATTTGCTAATAATAATTCTCATTTAATTGTTATTACTAAAGATGCCAATACAATTATAATTTGGTAGATCAAATCAGTGACTTCTTCAAAAATGTAATAAATTCAATCTTCTTATTAACTTTAATAAAAAGATAATAAGATTTTAAATCAGTTTTGGTAAATTAATTCTTCAACTTCAGAATATTAATAAAAAAATGAAGAAGAATTAGGGGTAATCAAATTTGATTCAGAAAGTGAAGATGGTTAAAATGAACCAATTAAAATTATATCTGAAACTCCAAGATTAGATTTATTGGCTATAACATTAGGAACTAAACATGCAACTGAAATAAAAAAATAATTAAATGAAGCTACTTAATAAATTTAAGAGTAAGTTTAAAAAAAATAAAAAGAAAAAAAATAAGAAGAATAAGATCTTTTACATAATTCATTTTATGAAGAATAAAAAAGTATGTAAGAATTTCATAAATAACAAAATTCTAAAATAATCAAAAGGTAGTTAATGAAAAAAACATCAAATTTAGAACTTGAATAAAATTAATTTTAGAATGTACAAAAGATAGATTAAAGTTATATCATTAAAAATAGTATAGCTGTACCTAATTAAAGTTAATTCATGCAACATAATCAAATTTAAAAAGTATAATATGACAAGATGCCAATTTTAGATATGGATATAAAAAGAGTAGAGAGTAATTATGTTATGAAAAATATTTAATAGAGTTTTCGTAATTAATCTAAATTCTAAATTTCATTTAGCCCTGAGAATTCTATCATGCTAAATTGTTCCTACAATTTTACTGAGAGAAAACAGGATGATTAGAATAATAATGACGAAAATCTATTATATGTATTTGATATCAAAGATTAAATAGTAAAATCAATAGATTAGCATAGCCAAATGTCATTTAAAATTGATAATGATTGCCTTGAGTGAATTAATTGAAAATTTGAATTTAATAAATAAACCAATTAAGGATTAGGTTTTGAAAAATGTAGATAAAGATTTAGAAACAATTTGCTCGGATATATAAGATATCAGACAAGTTGATTGTGAATCAGTCAATGAAAACTTAGAAAATCCAGAAGATTACATTTGTATTATATATATAATTTGATTTTTTAGAAAATGTTGTAAATTAATGTAGCAAAGAGTTGTTTGAGAATTATGTTTAAAATTTATTAAATTAAATGCGTAATTAATAATGAACTATGATATAAAATGTATTAATTATTTCATGTTAGATAATAATATTCCTGTAATATTTTGCTCTAGTCTCTCTTTGATAGGATAAGTGCTTATAGTATTATTGTTTGTTTACTCTAAAAAATTGCGAGAAGGATTGATTCCTAGAATAATCCTATATCTGACAATCAGCGGAATAATTTAAGTATTTAATTTATCAATTAGACTATTGGTATATTATGCTCAAGCTTTGAGAATCCAAAATGTACTATATTTGCCACTTTTAGATTGTATGGAGGATTAAGTTCTCTAGTATGGAGTTCAATTCTTATTTATTCAATAAAGTATTAAAAGAAATATTTTGAATTAGATAATTATTTATGGTACTAAGTTAGGATAGTATACTAAAAGATACAAGATAGATATTTGATTAATTGTGTTCTTAAGAAAATAAATTTTTGATATGTGCATATGGAATTCCAATGATGTTAATGATATATCCCATTACAACAGCCATCATTTTAAGTGAAAGTAATACAAAATACTGTTTATATTATCATAAAAAAAAGGATTCTTCTAATTTAAAAGCTTAGTTAGATATCCAAAAATTATTATTTTGGATTATTCCTATTTGCCTTTATTTGTGTTACAGTTTTACTCTAATAAAAAATATAAAGTAACTTTTAGCTGAAGATGATGATAAAAAGGAATTGTATTGGGAGGTAAAGAAACTAATAAAACAAATATTTCTTTTTCCAACAATTACATTGATTTGTACATTAAGTTTTACGGTTGAAGATATTTAATCAATATTTTCAGAATAAGTAAAATTTTCAATTGAATAAAGATAGGATCAATATAGACAACAATTTCATTTATTTTCTTAAGTTTTTGGGGTTTTTTAAATTGCATCGCTTATTTAAGTTAAGAACCTGTAAAATAATAAATAACAGAATGGTTTAAAATTAATTAATAGACTCAATAATGTATACTTAAATCATATATTTAGAGAATTTTAGATAGCAGAGTAGCTTTTAGTAGATGATGAATAAGGAAATACAAGACTGAGTATTGGAAGCTAATGTTATTATTATAATGAGTCTAGAGAAAAAAGTTATGATAAATCAGTATAAATGACAGAGCCTCTTTGAGAAATTGTATATTATGTAATAATATAGATTTATATTTGAATATACCAAAACTAATAAAATTTATTATAACTTATAATTTATGCAAAGTCAAAAATCTGAAAGATCTTATCAAGATCTTCTTTCTGCAAATGAATCAGAATTTTTAAATACATATTTTTTGCATTTGATAGGAGATACAATTCCTCAATTTGTTTGCTAATCAGAATTAGTTATGAGACATAAATTTGGAGCAAAAATAGACATCCAAAAACTATATTAATAGAAGCGAAGTTTACATATAAAGCCTAATAAATATATGTTTTGTAAATGCGACTTCAAACTTGAAAGTGTTGTGCAATAATTGCGAAATTAAATTTAAAAATATGATTTTGAAGAAAATGAAGAGTATTTAATGTAAATTGATTTAGAAAGAAATCACCTTCAACAAGAAGGAAACTTTATCAATCTGTCTTACTGACATCATCATTTTCAGATGATATTCCAATTTGTTAAATAAATTCTTGGATTATTTTAAATGATATAAAATTGGAATTGAAAAAAGGAGATATATTATTATTTATTGTAAAAATTAAGGCTAATTCTTACAATCTTAATGGATTATAGACTTTAATACAGAATGAAATTTAATAAACAAAAGTACTAATTAAATAAATAAGAGATATAAACAAGTGATTACTTTGCACAATATAAGCCAAATATATATCCAATACTAATAATAAATGCAGACATAAATTATCCTTATTAAAAACTGGACTGTCAAGCCTATTATGTAGGTAAACAGAATCTAATGTACCATTTCTTTTAAGAGTTAAGGATATAAGATGTTGAGGCTATAACAGAAGATGTAATCAATTTGATGTAATAATAATATAGTTGATTTCAAAATATAATATAAATAGAATGAGTTAGGCAAGAATTTTGGCTTAGAGAGAAGTATTAGAACATTAGAGGCTTGAGAAGAAAGTTGATAGATTTAAAATAACTACTTTTGGAGTAGCATTAGCTTTAGGGTTAATGTACTTATTAAAGAAAAAAATTATTAAATGAGTTTATTTATAAAATGAATGAAAAAGACACTCTAAGTTTATTACTTACTAAAAGAGAAAGAATGGCTCAGATGCATTCTTAATAAAGTAAGTTTTCATATTCTTAACAAAGTACGGAATAAGATTTTTGAAGTCAAAAGAAAACAGTTCGTAAGATAAAGAAGTGTATAAGAAATATCAAAAATGTTATAAGACTCTTAATTTTTGAATGAAGGATTTATATCTTTATTGAATTTATTGGAAGAAGATCAGGATGACATTAATTTTGCATATTTATTGTATTATTGGGGTATTTTGGATGATTTGGTTGAAGTGTTACATAATTATATGTAATTAACAGAATAGCAATTGGTATCTGTTTTAAATAATAAGAATAGATAGATTTGACTAAAATGATTGCTTTTATAGTAGTGAGTAAAGATGCAAGTCATTATTTCATAAATACAAAGGCACCATAAATATTAGAAATATTATTAGCAAATCATAACAATTTATTAATAATTGAACATGTAATTAATATCAATATTAAAGAGTATTTTAATAATTGGTAATCTTGAGAAATATGAATTAAATAATTATTTCTTAAATACTGTTATTCCAAGACTTAAAAATTATTTAATTAATTTGAATCCTCTTCCAGTATAATGTTTAGTAAATTTCAGTTGGATGATCAAGAATCGTAGATTACCATAATAGGAAGAGATTTAGAAAGAGTTAATTTTGTTATAAAATGAAGAAATATTACATGAAGCAATTTAATATTTAGAAGTTTTAAATATTGATGCAAATTTGATGGGTTATTTAATAATGAATGTTGATCTAATAAATGATGTATAATAAGTCTAACCTTAATTATTACTCGATTTGATTTATTAAAATTTAAATAAAGAAAATGCTATAAAAGAAATTACAATTTTACTTAATAAATGTATGTAAATGGGTAAACTTATGATACTTTAAAGTGCTTTTAAATTAGCTCAAAATTATATGATTTAATCTGGTCTACCATATTTTAATGAAATAGTGGAAAAAAAGGTTATATAATTATTAATAATATTTGATCAAGATAACAAAAAACATCCAGGATTATTAAGATCTATGATGTAATATTTAGAAACATTCCACATCATGTATCCAGAAAGTAGATTCTCAGTAGAATTTTACACGAGATTATTAGACACAATATAATTAAGCCATTTAAGATTATTATCTATTGTAATGACTAGAAATTCAGAGTTCATTCAAAATATTGCCAATATTGGAGTTCATAAAAAGAAATTATAAGATCTTGCCAATAAGAACCATGAAGCAAAAGAAATATTAAAAATAATATATTTGTGATAATTAACTAATGATTTTAAAAATTAGATAACTCTTTTCAACGACAGCAGATAATTTGTCTAGTACTAGACAATGGATGAAATTCTTTAATAATCCTACTGGAATACAAATAAATATTGAAAGGAGTTTAAAAAATGAAGCTGTATTCATCTATAATATTATAGACTGAAAATCTTAATTATTATGTTCGACAAAATTATAAGACTTTTAATTAAGAATAGTTATTTTAAGCATATGTTAAAAAGGATCTATAATTTGAAATATAAAAATAAGTATAAATGGAAGTCTTAGAAAGATTTGTTGCTGATTAAATGACTTTTAGTGAAAATATGCTTATTTCTTATTTAAGTAAAGAAGCTTAAATGTTACCAGCTTTTTATTCAGTTATAGCATAAAATCTCCTGATTAGTGGACTTAATATTTTTGATAAACTTAACATTATCCAATAAATTGAGTATATGAGGTTATCTTTATAAACAGGGTTTTTAAATCCAGATATATTTTAAAAATTCATCAAGAACTTAAAAATAGATGATCAATTTATAGAAACTCTAACTTTACTTTAATTTAGATGTATAATGGTTGTATTTGATCATTGTGCCACTTCTCCATATGATTTGGGATTATAACCAGGTTTTATTGATTATTTATTTAATAAATACATACAAAGATTGAGTAATTTTGAACTTGTGGCTTCAGAGATATCTAAATAAGAGTTCTCTTAGCTGATTATTAATAATCACTTTAGTTTTTTGAGTGAAGAATAGTTCAATGAAATTAAGATTGTTTATGCTAAAATGTATAGAATTTATAATTAATTAGTCTTGAGAAAATGTATAATAAAAATTATAATTTTATTGTACATAAAAATTTAAGCAGTAAAGATATTGCTAGAAGATTATTATGGCTTTATTCACCAGAAGATTTTAAATTAATCTAAAGAACTCTCACTCATTTAATATCTAATATTATCTATCAAAGTGAATTTAAAGTTGATTATACTATATATGCATTACCATGTAATTAATTATCAAATAAATCATAGTGTATTTTAAGTATTTCTCCCCATAATTATACTATTTATCATTAAAATAATGTTAGAAATAACAAAGCAATAAACCTACAAGGAATGATATTAAGCAAATTCTTTATTTATTGAACAGCAATTCTATCAAAGGATTTAGATCTATTCTAAATGATAAATTCATGCTTGAAGATGCAGAAAGTGTTATAAAAAGTATGCTCATTTCTTACCTGAATAATGTTAAAGACGATGAATTATTAATTTTTGAAGATGCTTTTGATCCTAATATGGAATAAGATGGAGAAATTGAATTTAATGATGCTGAATATTCAGAAATCTTACCATATTATTAAAATAATCAAAGAAGTTCAGAGATGTAAAATCATCACAATTAAAAATAATTTATTGTTAATTTAACACATAAATTCTATTTTTTATAAAATAGTTTGATTAAAAATGGATTCTAAAGAATTTAAACTTCAAAAATAAATAAGAGAGTTGTTATCTTAGATCCCGTTCTTAGCTATATAGAAGCTTTGTATTTTGCATCTATTTTAACTCCTGACTAATAACCTTCAACAAAATTATTTAAAACTACATAAATGTTAAAATTCATCAATAATCTTATTTATATGCCTAATCTTATAGAACATTTAATTTAATTGAATTAAACTTGGCCTAATTTATTTAGCGAAGAAATAAAATCTATAATAATTACTAATAAATATAAATTAGATTAAATATACAATACTTGTAAAAGTCCTTAAGAATTTATTAATAAAGTAGAAGGACAAATAAAAAAATCTCATTTAGAAAGATCTAGAAAATAATTATACAGAAATAGAACATATTAAGGAGTTTTATCAATTTTCAATTTTGTCCGTCCTAAACCACATAATACATTATCACCAATATTAAAAAACCCATTCGAAGAATACACAATAGAAGAAGCATATTCTAACTCAGATATGAATGCTTATTGGAAAGTAAGTTAAAGAAGTGAGAATGTGATTTAACATACTCATTTTAAAGAATTAATATTGTAAGCACTTAAACTTGATAAAAATGAATGGGTAATGAATTATAGTGACTTTCCACATTTAGTTGATTTTGTTTGTATAAAATAGAAAATAGCAGTCTTTTTGGAAGAATATCCTCGTTTAATAAAAGGATTGGAGAAAGTACATACATTTGAAACTGAAAGAGCAGCTGAGTATTTCTAAAGACTTGGTTATTAAATTATATTTATAGATTATAAAGTGTATCATCCAGATAGCGAGTAGTTATTGAATATTTTGAAATAAAAATTTGTGTTTCGTTATAATTGATTTAGAAAATATTATGAACGAAATTACCATTCTATGTTCAAATTGTAGATAATAAATTGCAGAATCAAAACATATGCTTCATGAAATTTATTGTTTACGCAACAATATAAAATGTTAGAAATGTGGATAATTTTATGATAAAAATGATCCAGAAAGTCATGAGGATGAGTATCACAAAAAAGAAAAATGTTAATATTGTTTAATAGAATTTGAAGGTTTCTTATACATTCTATAAATAGATTTGAAAAAACATAAATGCTTAAAGAAACAAAAGTAATGTTTACATTGCGACCTTTCTTTTCCATCTGATTAATTATTTTAGCATGAAAATTAATGTGGTAGTAGAACATAAAAATGCGATATATGCAATAATTATGTTATGATCAAAGAATACTAAACTCATATAATGACTTGTATACCTAAACCAAAAGTTGAATAATCTTAGATTTAAAAAAAATCAACTAGTTAAGAAATTTTTGATAAACCCTATTATGATAAACCTAAAATAGATGATAGAATAGATCAATAAAAATTTAATAGCAAAAAAGAGATGCCATAATAAAATTCTCAATTCCAAGCCTAAGAAAAATAATAAGTTTAACAATAATAATAGATTAAACCTTAAGGTTCTGGATATAAATATAGTTATGCAGCTAGAGAAGGCAAAACTTAATACTAACTTAAAGATGAAGATAAAAATAATAAATAACAGGATGCATTTATTAGACCTCCTTCCTCTTAAAATAATTAAACTGCTTCTAAAAATTAGAATTAGACCTCAACATATGGATCTTAAACAAAATAATAAACTAGTTAAACATTTAATTAAAGAAATCAGAATAACACTTAAAAGGAAGAGAAAACTTAATTCGATAATTAATACGATAAATAATAGTACATCAATAAGTAATAACAATAAATTTAACCACAAACTTAGTAATAGTAAAAATAAACTCCTTCTGGATAGAAAAGTTTAGAGAGCTACTCTTAAACTTAAAGAAATCAGTAATAATCTTCTAATTATAATAAAAAACCTGACTTAAAAAGACCAGATACAGCTATAGCAAGAGAGATTCAAAAATAAATGGAATTAGAAGAATAATATGGAATAAGTTCAGAAGAGTACCTTCAATAATAATTATTTAATTAATTGTCTTTTGAGGAAAAACAATAATAAGCTCCACCAATTAAGAAAGCGCCTCCTCCCTAACCTGTTATACCATCAAGAAATCCTTAAAATATTGACAATTAAGAATTTGATTTTGAAAATATTTCTGAAGAAGAAAAACTAATATAATAATAGATTATGGAAAGCTTAAAATAAAATTAAAAGAAACGTTGAATTATATATAAGATTTATATAAATGCAAAAATAATATTAAGAATACCTTTATGCATTTTAAATTTATAACTATTTAAACATTCTTAAAATTAAAGCTATATGTAATTCTATGATCAAAATATTTTTATAATTAATTAAATTTAATTGTTGTTAAAAATTAGAGAACAGAGAATGAACATAATCATTAAATAAATAAATTTTGTTCATTTTGTTTAATATTTTTAGTTTATCAGTATAAATAATCATTTAATATATTCACAGATTCTATATGAATTGCTTCTAAATACTGCCTTAAATAATATAATTTATTTCCTGATAAATAATTCTCTATATTAAAATGATTGAATTATATCTATACTCTTTGATATTATTCCACTTATTATATTTGTTTCTCTATCTCATATTAGAGTAAGTGAATAGTTTTACAGTAATAAGATTTTGAAAATTAATAGTGTGTAAGGAGGCTTTCAATTTAGATTATGATTTTTTTAAGAGAATTTAACTATTTCGAAAATATAAAACAATCTATTTGATATAGATTCTAATAATAAGATAGCTAAATATGGCATTATCTAATTATTCTTGAATAAACATGCACGATTTTAAGTAAGAATGAAAGGCTAAAATTAGAATCACATTTGGGATAAACAAAAAGTGAAAGAGAGTACAAAATTAGAATAAGTAGTTTTAGAAGAATTAGCCTTACATTTTTAAGATAAGTATTGATGTTTGGGTTTTATATGATTTTATCAATAATAATTATCCTCTACTTTTAAATCATAAAAATATATTATTGATTCACAAATTGTTAAAAACGAATAAAATATTAGCATAAACTCAAAAACAAAAGATGAAAAGCCAAAAATAAAGTAAATATCATATGTGAATAATGATGAATTTAACATTGATTAAGCACAATTAAGTGAAATTCAATAATAATATGTTGAAATTTATAAAGTTCATAGTTTTAATATTACTTTCCCATCTAATATATTGGCTCTTTCTATTTTAACTAAATGAAGTAGTTGTTTTACTTCATTGTATCAATATTTCATTAAACCATAAGATATATTTTACACTTCAGCTTCGACATTAGACTGTACCTAAATTATCAAAATCATAGTATTAATATTCATTAATAAATATAAATGGGAAATGGATAGTGTTGCAAAAAAGTAGAAAGAGTTGAAACTTTAGAAGTTGATAATACTCCTCCTTAAAACATTAAACATGCCACGCATTAAGAAGAGCAATAATAAATGTTTTCATTATCTGATTCAGATGAAGAATATTAACCTAAAAAACAACAATAGTTTGGAGTTTTCAAAGAAAGACAAAAAACATCTTAGCTATCAACTGGCTAATAGTATTCTTTTTAAACTCTTCCATCTGAATAACAATTCTCCAATTTCATTACTTTTCAAGCTATCCCATCTCAATAAGGAATTTCTAATAATGTATTCTCCAAATTTCATAAAGAGATGAATGAATTTGCTAGTAAATAAAACAAAAATTAAAAGAACTTGTTAAAATAATGAATCTATTCCATTTTTTATACTTATATATCAACATTTAAACCAAAATTAATAATCTTGATATTTTAAGAAATTTCATACTTAAATTCCCATCTATTAATCATTATAAGAAGCATTTTCTCTTTTAATCACCCAAAATAATCATAAATATTTTATATAATATCTCAAAGCTTTCATTTTTTCTACTGAATTGGATTGCTACATGAAATAATCTTTTATGTCTAACTTTGGTTAATACTTCAATGTTTTCAACAATTTTAAAGCTTCCATGATATGATTAATTTGTAACAGAATCAATTCCTTTTATCCTAATCTATAGTTCAGTGCAAAATATTCTTCAGAAGTCAAAGTATTTTAATTCAAATTTAAATCTTCTTGATATGGTGATTTAAATCTAATTTAATTGATTAAATTACTTTTAAGCAAGATAAGAAAGCAACTTCAAAGTAAAATCAAAGACTTAGATTTCAAAATCAATTGAAATTGGTATGGTTAATAAAATAGAATTTGCATCCTATCCGACATAATAAGCCATTAAAAAGAGTCGTACATAAATAATAAGATCTAAATAATGATTAAAAATACCTTCTTATAATTTAGAACCTTTTAATTTGATTTATTTACTTAATTAATTAATAGGAACTCCATTGATTTAACCAAATTTGAGATGATTATTACTTACAATATCGGTAACAATGATTTTTGAGTAAATTTAATCATTCATAGGCATAGGATCTGGATTGAGCCATAACTTAAAATAATATACTTTATTTACTCTAAGATTGAACGAATTATATTTATTATAATTCATAGTAAATCCATACCAAAGTAATAAGAATCTATTATTTCTTCTACCATAGAATGTAAATATTTATTCTCCTTATTGAATTTAACCTGCAGTAGTTATGCAAAAATAAACTTAATCATCATCATCATGATACCAATCAAAATCTTTTTCAGAATCATCACTACTTTATGAACTATCTTAATTATCTTAATTATTTTAATTATCTTTATCTAAATCTTCTTCGAATGTTCTCTTACCTTTAATTTGAATATTAGATTAAGTTTGTTTATATTATGAATTTTTTGGAATGATACTAGCTATAATATCTTAACATTTTTGAGTATATTTCTAATCTAATTTTAAATTCTTTTCTTATAAAATTTTAAGTTCTTTATTTCTAATTTAAGCAAGTTTATCAATATTATCCTCATCATCTGAATCTGTATCATTATCCTCTGATTATGAAGATGATTCAAAATCTAATTCCCATGCTTGTTTTTCTTTCCATAACTTTAAAACATTATAATTAATTTAATTAATTTTATCTCTGTTCGTTTATCCTTCAAACTGATGAATTAACAATTATTTATTTGTTTAGATATATGCTTCTTATGCATTTCTAATTTAATATTTTGGATCAATATTAAAATCTAATCCTAATAATTAAAGATCAATTCTTTCTTTTTTAAGAGTATATCTGTTTTTAGGTTCACCAGTCTTTTCAATTGATTTATTAATTAAATGGTAAGTGGATGGATTGATATTTGAATGATTCAACATATCAGCCATTGGTACTAAACTTGTAGATGGAAGTGTCCAACCAAAACAACGAGTCATTACAAATTCATTACTCCAATAAAACATATCTTTATGTTGTTCTGTTATACTACCAAAATATTATGGATACTTATTCATTAACCCTTTAAACTTATACCAAGATTTATCCATCTCTGATTATATATACATAAATTCATCTATTAGAGATTAATCTTATAAATTGAATAGGTCTCTATTCCTCCATTCAAACATAGTATGTTACTCTACTACATTCAAATAAGGATACCAAAATGATTACTCTCCTTATAATTTATGATAAAATATATAAAGTGCTACAGGGTACAACTTATTTCATACCCAAACAATTGAATTCAGCATCTGCAGTTATCTAATCATCAAAAAAATGTTTATGAGCCTTAAACATATCATTCAATTCACTTTTCTATACTTTATCATGACTTATGATCAATTTATTAGGAATTGCAATTATCACCTTATTACCGCCAATATTCATTTTTGCACTCACTCCTGTATAACCTTAACTACCAAATGCAGATGGATATTAAACTTCATCTGATATTAATGCTCCATTCTCTTTGCACCAACTTATAAATTTTTTGTATTTCTCCTAGTTGCATAACTCTTCAGTTTTTTATTGATTAAACATTAATTANTTCCATAACTTTAAAACATTATAATTAATTTAATTAATTTTATCTCTGTTCGTTTATCCTTCAAACTGATGAATTAACAATTATTTATTTGTTTAGATATATGCTTCTTATGCATTTCTAATTTAATATTTTGGATCAATATTAAAATCTAATCCTAATAATTAAAGATCAATTCTTTCTTTTTTAAGAGTATATCTGTTTTTAGGTTCACCAGTCTTTTCAATTGATTTATTAATTAAATGGTAAGTGGATGGATTGATATTTGAATGATTCAACATATCAGCCATTGGTACTAAACTTGTAGATGGAAGTGTCCAACCAAAACAACGAGTCATTACAAATTCATTACTCCAATAAAACATATCTTTATGTTGTTCTGTTATACTACCAAAATATTATGGATACTTATTCATTAACCCTTTAAACTTATACCAAGATTTATCCATCTCTGATTATATATACATAAATTCATCTATTAGAGATTAATCTTATAAATTGAATAGGTCTCTATTCCTCCATTCAAACATAGTATGTTACTCTACTACATTCAAATAAGGATACCAAAATGATTACTCTCCTTATAATTTATGATAAAATATATAAAGTGCTACAGGGTACAACTTATTTCATACCCAAACAATTGAATTCAGCATCTGCAGTTATCTAATCATCAAAAAAATGTTTATGAGCCTTAAACATATCATTCAATTCACTTTTCTATACTTTATCATGACTTATGATCAATTTATTAGGAATTGCAATTATCACCTTATTACCGCCAATATTCATTTTTGCACTCACTCCTGTATAACCTTAACTACCAAATGCAGATGGATATTAAACTTCATCTGATATTAATGCTCCATTCTCTTTGCACCAACTTATAAATTTTTTGTATTTCTCCTAGTTGCATAACTCTTCAGTTTTTTATTGATTAAACATTAATTATTATTTTTATAAAATTAATTTATTTATATATCCACATTCTTTATTTACTATCTCAGTTTATATTTATTTATATTCATTCAATATATCTATACATTCTAATTAAATAAATTATATTCTTAAAAAATAGAACCAAAATTAACAATTAACTTTTAAACTATATTTAAAATCATTTTAATCTATTATTCTAATGATTTAAATTCTTTAAAATAAACATTTTCAAACAAATAACACTGTTATTTTATAATTTATATAAGTTATAAATTAAAAAGTACAATTCAATTAACAAAATATAAATTTCTTAATCATCTAAAATTTTCAGGGATTTTTTATGGAAACCCAAAAAAAACATACTTTTTTTTAAATTATATATATATTAATAAAAATATGAATTCTTCTTAAAAATTAACAATACAAGATAATTAGATAAAAGAGGATTAGGATGGAAAGAAGACTAAATGTGTAACATTTTGTTTTGAAAAAAACATAATTCATTCTATTTATAAATGTCCATCAGAATATTTGAGTAAAAAAAAGAAAAAACAATTAAGTAGAAGAATATCTAGTTAAATTAAAGGGAGATGGTTTGATGATTTAACATCTTCTGATGAAGAAACTAGGAACTATTCTGATCTTGAAGATTATGAACACTTCTATAGCATAATTGAATGGAAAAACTTACAAGAAGTATCTTAATAAAAAATGACTCCTAATAATTAGAAGGAAGATCAAAATTCAAAAAATTCCAATGATTTTTAAAATGGAAGTTTGAATAATCCAAAATCATGTCTCAAAAAGATTAAAAAATTAAGTATTCTTCCATAAATAGATGAATTAAAGAAATAGGATTAAAATGATGATCAATAAACTGAAGTTTCTTCTGAAAAAATTAATAATAAAGAAAATTTATAAAATAATCAATATATTATAGTGAGTAAATTTAAAGATTAAGATGAAGAGGATGAAGTAAGATAATAAGTTATATTATAGATATCTATAAATCTTGATGATTTAGATGAATTCGAATGTAATTTTAAAGAATAGAGATCTCACGAAAGATAAGATATTTCTATGTTCGATCAGTTAAGGAAAAAAATAGATTTCAAGTCATCTTTTCAGATTATTGATATAGTAAAATTATATGAAAATATATGAAATTTAAAAGTTAATTAATTTTGCTTTTTGATTAATTTTATTACTATTCTAATAAAAGCAATTGTAAATAGAGATTGTAATTAATTGATAAAATCACTCAAGTAGATTTGGCTAAAACTTCATATTTATTCATCTCCTATTTAAGAGGTTTCATAGTTTCATCTAAAATTTTCATTTACTCTTAAATATTATATATTTTAACAGTAATGGTCTTGCTTCTGTCAACAATAGATTAAAGTCCTTTATTAACTTCATCTAACTAAAATAAAAAAAGTTGAGAAATACATTATTTTAAAGCATAGCTTATTTTGAGATGATCTTTTCTCTCTCTGTTTATAGAGACCCTACTTTTTTTTCAAGTTCTACTAATTCACTTTATAATTCTTTTGTTTAATTTTAGAGTTGTTATTTTTCTTATTCAAGAATATCACATCTTAATTTAAACATTTTGTATTGATTAGTAAATGCACTGTCTTTCGGCATATTTACATTATCTTGAACTGAAATCTATTATGTTTGTTTAGGATTTTATTATTTTTATTCTGCAAAGGTACATATTAAATTTTAGAGACTCAAATTAATTGCATGAGCACTGATTTTTGATCTGCATAGACTGCATTTATTAATTCTTAATTTTGTACCATCTAATACACAATTTTTACAAAATGAATGACCACATGGAAATAATAATATAGGTGAATATTAGGGAGGTACCATTAATTCAAAGCAAATTGCACATGTTTATTATTCAACCATTTCACAAACTTTGCTTTCAAGATTATTTTTGCTTTAACTTCCAAAAGCTCTTTCAGCTATTTTATATGTCAATTAAGCTAAATAATCTTAATTTTGATGATCAATTCTAATAAGATAATAAATTTAATCAATACCCTTAATTATTAAGTATTTTCTTTAATTCTAAGGAGGCTTTCCAATTTTGTAAAGATTAGAGTCTTTCTTCATTAGACATGATAATAATTATTATATTTTTAATATAATTATTATTATAAAGTGGCATTATAGGGATTGAATTTAATTATAAAATAAGAATTATAATAAATAAGTTAAAGATTACGATGATTAAATATAAATTTATGATTTGAATTGATAATATCATAAATAGATTGATAAGTTAAATAGAGGAGTTGAATGTTAAGAATAAAAAGTTAGTTTAGAATATAATAGTTAGTTTGGAAAAATTAGAATGATAATTTTAATAAATATTGAGGTTAGATTTTATTTTTAATATTGTTAATTAATGAAATTAACAGTTCGAAATAATAATTATTTTGAATTTTAATATGACTACAAATATTCAAGTGATTTGTCGATTTAGGCCTGCGATACCTGGATAGGTTGAAAGCTAGATCTACTTTGCAGATGATAAGAGTGTTCTTATAGAAAATTAACAATTCAATTTTGATCATATATTCCATCCAGGAAAATAAATAGATGTATTTAAGGTGGCTGCTGAACCAGTAATAAAAGGAGTTTTAGAAGGATTTAATGGTACTGTAGTAGCTTATGGTTAAACTGGATCTGGGAAGACTCATACGATGGAAGGAACAACTGGAGATGATTAAGGTATAATAAAGAGAATGGTGAATACAGTTTTTGATTATATAGAAGAGAGTCCAGAGTATGTAGAGTATCGAATTAAAATATCTGTTGCGGAATTGTATATGGAAAAGGTGAGAGACTTATAAAATATAAAAAAAACAGATCTAAAAATTAGGGAGGATAAAAATCATTCCACATATATTGAAGGAGTAACTGAAACATCAATAGCAGATTAATCAGAAATATATGATATATTGAAAATGTGCAATGCTAATAGAATGATAGCTAGTACAAATATGAATGAGTAATCATCAAGATCTCATATGATATTTTTGATGACAGTCTAATCTATAGATTTAAGAGATTAATCAGCTAAAACTGGTAAATTATTTTTAGTTGATTTGGCTGGTAGTGAAAAAGTATCAAAGACAGGAGCAGAAGGTAAAATATTGGATGAAGCCAAAGGAATAAATAAATCATTATCAGCTTTAGGTTAAGTGATTAATGCTTTAACTGATGGAAGTTAACATGTTCCATATAGAGATTCAAAATTAACCAGAATATTATAATGTTCATTTGGTGGTAATAGTAGAACAACACTTATTATTACATGTTCACCTGCTTAATTTAATTTATAAGAGACACTTTCAACTTTAAGATTTGGTGTTAGAGCTAAAGCAATTAAAAATAAACCTAAAATTAATAAAGAACATACAGTTGAAGAATTAAAAATTATTGTTTAAGAAAAAGAGAGAGAAATATTACTTTTATAAGAACAATTATCTTAATTCAAAAAAGGCATTGTTATTAGTGATGAAGATAAAGAAATTTTAAAAGATATTTAAGAAGATATTAATTCTGAAGTTCCAAATAATAATAATGACGAATAGATATTATAAATGTAATAGATCTTAGCTAAATATGAATAAGAAATTGAAATGTTAAAACAATCGTAGTTCTTAACTTAATAAAAGGAGATAGAATTAAAAAATCAATTAAGAATAAAGGAAGAAGAAATGCTAGAAAGTATTTATATATCTATATCATTAATAGAAGTGTAAGATTATGAACATTAATATATGAGAATGGATACTGATTATTAAAAAAAGATATCTCATATTCATAGAACTTTGACTTAAAAACTTGGGTCAAATGGAGATAGAGATTTATTTGATGATGATTAAGTTTTGATTCTAATTGATAATTATGTCAAAGAGAGACTTACATCTAAAATGAAATAAATAACATATCTCTATAAGAAACATCATAAAGATTAATTGAATGAATAATTGATGGCATTTTTGACAGATGATAAAAAAGAATTTAACATTTAAAGTATAGATATTATATCCACACTAGATGATTAATTGGCTGAATTACATACTTAAGTAGCTCAATTAAAAAAATAAAACTTAGAATTATAGAGTGATAATAGTACCTAATAGTAACTGTTGGAAACTTTAGAAAAGACCTAGTAATTATTGGATGTTGAAAAAGCTAAGACTTAAAAATTAGAGAATACATTAGCTAAAAGTATTAATGATAAATATCATAATAATAGATAACAGGATATATGATGAGAAATGTAAAGAATTAAATAAGAATATTGAGAAAATGTTAGAAGGAGTGCATTCAGTGATTAGTGATAAATAAAGATTTTAAAGAGATTGTTAGAAATATAAAAAACTAATTGAAGATAGACAACTTAAAATATATGTATTTTTAATTAATAATTTTACAAATAGAAATTATAAGAGGAAGTAAATAGACTTAGTGTAGAAAATTAGAAATTGTTTGTTAAATATGATTAAATTAAGGAATTATAAAGACTAGAAAAGAATTCTTTATTAGATACTTCTGAAGTCAATTCTTCCTTTAGATAAAATAAGAAGATCTATAAATGTTTAAAAGGAGGAACCAAAAATTCTTTGGTTTAACAAATTGTGGGTAAAGAAAATGTATCAGATGAGGAATAATGAATTAATTTACTTATAAATATAAATTTAATTAATTAAATTATATAAATAACGAATGTCAAATGCTATAATAGGTAGAAAAGTCGATAAAGAAATTCTATTCAATATAGATGGTTAACCTATTAATGATAGTAATATTTTAAATTATTATATTTAGATGTTAAAGTTTTAAAGGTTGCTGCTATTCCTTAACCATAATTAGTTAAATAAAATAGAGAACCTAAAAAGAAAGAATAAGAACCTAAAAAGAAAGAATAAGAAAAATCTAAAGGAAATAAATAGTTTAATAATTCATCATAAAAAAATACCATACCAAAAAAGTCAACTTAAATATAAAATTCAAAAAAACAATCAGAATCAAAATAATAATAACAATCAGGATAATCTCATACCATATTTAAAAATATAACAAATCAACAAAAATCTTCATAACCATCCTCTCCTGCTTCTCATAATTCCCCAAAATCTAGATCTCCTATTCGATCTCAAAATGCAACATATAGAGAACCTAGATAATTTAAACCTTTGAGTGAATAATTTCCAAATTTAGTAGGAGCATTATTTGAATAAAAAAAATTCACAGAAGATGTAGATGATGATTCATAAACAAGTGGAACAGAATCTTATATTTCAGACAGAGAATAAGGTGATGATGAAGTTAGATAACCTCCACAACCAGAATCTAATCCTTAAGTATAAAGAAATGTTAATAAAATTGTGGCTGATAATAATAAAAAATATGTTTATTCAAAAAAAGAAGAAGCAGAAAGATAAGAAAGAATGAGATTAGATAAATTATAATAAAGAGAAAGAATGAAAAAATATGGCAAATAATAAATTGTTAGAGCTCATACTTAAAAAGATAATTTTGAATAAAAATTTGCTTGGGGTGTTAATTAAAAAAAATTACAAGAAGATAAAATTAAATATAATAAATTATAAGAAGAAAAAGAATAAGAAAGATTACTCAAAATTGAATTATAGGATTAAGAATAAAAACCTAATTAAATTAATTTAGCTAAATTATTCCCTGAAAGCTAAGATAGAGAATCTCGTTTTAAAAAAATGTGGGATGATGAAGCTAAAAAAGCAGTTGATAAAAAATAATTTTCATTATCTTAAAGAGAATAAACTAAATCTCCTATTAGATGTAAATCATAACATTCTACAAAATCAAAATTAAATTAAAATTTTTTTGAATAAAATGCTAAAAACATAATGGATCAAATGAAAAAATAAAAAAAAGAAAAATAAAAAGAATCCATAATTAAAAAACATAAGATTGATTATATTAATAGATAAGTTAAAGCAATTTTTTCATCAATGAAAAAACGTAAATGGACTCCTAATAAAGAATTTGATAATAAAGTTGGACCATCAGTAAGTTTAAGTAGAATTAAATAACCTAAAGATGATTTAGGAGTTAAAGAAATGTTTGAAGAAGCTGAAAATGAAGCAGAAGATTTAAATGAATAAGGAATTATTAAACATTATTAATAAAAAGTTAAAAATGGTAAAGTAATGTCTTCAAGAGAAGTTAGAGAGTTTAAAGAAGATTAAGAAAAAAAATAAAAAAAAATTGAAAAATTAAAAACAGATCTTAAAGATAGAAAAAACATTACTTTGAAAAATCCTGAACCTTTAACAGAAAAAGAACTTAAAATAAAAAGAGAGATCGATTAATAAATTGATATTAAAGGAGACGTAGAGAAATAGATAAAGAAAGCTTAAATTAAAGAACCAAGAAATCCTCAGAAAGTTTAAAAAACTTCTATTTAAGAGCCAGATTTAGGGGAATTCATATTTGCAGAAGCTGAATTACCATAATATAAAGGAGAATATGAAGAGGAATAAAGAATGGGATTTAGAGAATAAGTTGAATAAGAAATAAAGGAATAGATTCTAATGTAAAAAAAGAAAAGACCAGCTGTTAGAGAGGTTTAATAAGAAAAACCCAGATATGAATAAGCTCGTAAACCATAAGAAAGGGAGAAAGGTCCAAAGTATAGGAAGGAATAAAAATTTGTAAGTTAGCCTAGATATCCTGTATTTCATGATTTAGGAGAAGTGTAATTATTGGAAGATGATATGTACAATGCTTAAAATTCAAAATGGACTCCATATGCTGGTAAATTAATTGACAATAGCAGTGATGAAGAAGATGATAAAGATTTCTTAGAGAAAACAACAATTTAATTGAGATCAAACCTTAAAAAAGGAAAAGAAAATATTGGGTCATAAAAAACATATTCAAAATCTGTATAAGGAAAAAAAAGCGTTTATTTTAGAGAACCTGAAAGTGAAAAAAAAGATATTGGAAATCAATACTTAACAGAATAGAAGGAATAATTAATGAGAATAGTTTAAAAGTAATTTTAAAATTAATTTATAGTTAAAAAGCTAGAGGACAAATGACAAGTGATGATGATTCAGATACTGATTTTTGTAAAGCTTATTCATCATAGATTTGGTTGGCAACAGATCCAATGAAGCGTGATGTATTCATTATGTCATCCAAAGAATTAATGGATTTACCACATATTTAATTATGAATACAATGTTATATTTTACTATTATTATTAATGAAATTTATTTAGATAATTTGTTTATATTTTTTAAAAGCTTCACAGCTACTATGAAAACACATAAAAAATTGTAATAGAATCAAACTCTTAATATTATCGAATTTTATTTTTAAATGCAGTTAATGTTAGAATTATCAATTAATAAAATATTTAGCTATATTAGAAGAAATAACCTTTAGTTTTATTTTCATTAATAAATATATTGAAAATCATTAATTAAATTCTTTAATTGGAAAAATAAATTGCAAGATAATGGTACTCTATATGGTGAATATGTTTTTAAAATTTTTAATATTATACTTTTTCTAAAAAATAAATTAAAGGAATGCAAAATATAGGAATTCTATTTTAAAAATTTATTTTCATAATAGAAATATTGTCAAAGTATTTTATCAGGTAAAATATTATTTTTTTTAAGAATTTAGCCTAAACGTTAATTTGGAAAATAAGAAAGAATAACATTTTTATCTTTTGTTACTTCATATTCTTCTTGTTTTTTTGAAGATTTGTGTCTTTTATCAGAAGTCTTAAAATTTCTTTCAAGATATTTTAAATGAGATTGTTTAAGCAAATTATATAATTTTTCTTTAGATGACTATGATTTCTTCATAAAATTGGTTTGAGGAGTCAATTCTCTTTATTTAACAGAATTTAAATTATTATTTTATTCATTTGATTTGTTAAGATTATTGAAATCACTAACTTGTTATGTTGAATATTTTTATTTAGTATCTTTAATATCTGTTACAAACCCATATAATCGATAGGAATCATTTAAAAATTTATTTCTTTCAATATCACATTTTTTATTTTAATAGTATTTTTTAGTTTAAACTCTCTCTTAAATAGCTGAGAAACTATCTTAAAAATTTTGATTGCTAGATGTGTTGATGAAATCACTATTTTATCTGTCTAATTCTTTAGATTCTGCTTTTATTTAATTTTTCTTTAAAGAAGGGAATTTAGGTTATATAGAACTTACAGAATTGAGTCTTTTGAAATTAATTTCATATGACTTAGGTGATTAAAAGATTTATTATCGTTAGTCTTCAATATTGGAGATAAAATTCATATTTTAAGGTGTATTTTATGGATTTTTCTGAAAATATTTTTTCAATTTTTCATTCCTTTCAAAATTATTATAGAATAAGTTATGATATTTTTTCTATTTTTTTGATGGTGATGTTGAGCAAGCTCTTTATTTAAATTTTTCTAATTCAATAATCATATCTTTTCTAGACATATAAATCGGTAGTTTATTTTTTTTTTAATGAAGTGCCAAAGATCCTTAAGGTTTTATGATCCGATTACTTGAAATACTAAGTGGAGTATAAATCCAAATGTTATGTGGTAGAGAATGGGAACCTATTTTATCACCTAATTCAGTTTTATATTTTTATCTGATCTCTTTCACATTTGCAAAATTTTTTTTTTTCACAAGAAAGTTGATAGGAGTTTGTAAATCGAAAAATTGTTTTGGTGCAAGAATATTTAACTTGTACATAGAAAAAAAATTATTAATGTAGTAAATACATAATAATCATTTTTTGTAATATATATTGTAATAAATTAATAATAAAAAAAGTTAGTTAAATTTATGTAGCTGAAGTCAGTTCATCAATACTACATAAAAGCGAAAAATCAATCTAAAGATTAGAAAGGGACTAAAATTAAAGAATAACCATAAACTACAGCATCTTAAATATCTTTAATTTTGAGTAGAATGAACAACAAAACCATTTAAGATACGAAAGCTACATCTGATAGGGTTAAAAATAATATACAAATATCACCTAAATTATAAAATTGTTTATCAGCATCAAATTTAATGAGCAAGACATCATAATCACCAAAATTGAGTGAATATACTTTAATTGATAAGAAATTTGCAAAAGAATGTCCAAGTAGAATCACTAATGGAAATGAAATTTAATTACCATATGATGTAAACAGTTTTTTAGAGATGGAGGAGAGAAAAAGAAATTTAAATAATTTTAAAGAATAACTTTCATCAAACATAATGAAAATTTAGCATCTAGATTAACTTTAAACTTAAGTAAAATTAATTGAATAATAGTTACATTCTATTGTATAGACAATAATTTAATTGAAAGTAAGTATATATTTTGATTTAAGGATTCTTTATGTTTGTAATTGTAATAGGAATAATTATCTTATACATAAATTACTTAAAATATTTCTGATTCATTGTATAAGATGAAGGATGATATACTTCATAATGAAGTGAATATAATAGAATCTATGTAAATGAAACCATTTAACAATATAATGACAATATATAAAAAGAGATTGGATGAACATCAAAGTTGTGTATAATAAATGATTTAAAAGAGATAATTTGTTATACAATTGAATTAATGGTGTTAATAATTGATGTTAAAATTATAAGTTGATAATAAATCAAAATTTGATTGTGAGGAGAAGGAGAATTGTAATTATGAGAGCAATAAGATAGCAGAATCTCCAAAATTTCGTAGCAATTGATAAAATTTAATATTCAAGATATATTTTTATATGCTATTAAAGAATTTTTATTCTATGGAAATAAATAAATCATTTATTTAAAAAGAATATTAATGAGTAAATTTTTTTGTGAATCGAATTCTGAAGACGATGATGATGCTCCAAGAGGAGGAATAGAACCCGAAACAGGAAAAATAGAATAATCGACAAGAGATAGAATTATTTAAGGTTTAATAGATTCAGATGATGATGGAGAATAAAGAGTAATAGTAACAGAGAAGGAGAAACGATATATAAAACTTAGAGAGATCATAAAGGAAATGAAAATAAAAATAAAAAACTAAGATTTTGTTATATTATTAGATAAATTTGAAGAGCTAAATAAGGAAGTAGAAAAGAGTGCAAAAGTATTTGAAAAAGAAGGTGGATTACCTAGATTTTATATAAGAATTATGTGTCAAATTGAAGTGTTAATTCTTTAATTTACTGCTGAATAAAAAAAGAAATTAGGAGTGAATAATAGTAAGGCATATAATACTTTAAAATAAAGAATTAAAAAGCATAATTTAAGTATTTATTATTTATATATATTATTTAGCAATTAAAGAGAAGATTGATGAATTTATCAATAATCCGGTAACAACAGATTAAAGTGAGGATGAGAGAAAGAAAAAAGTGAAAGATTCAAACAATAAAAAAGGATCTGATTCTGAACCTGAATAAAAAGAAGAATCATCTGAATCAGAAGATGATGATAAATATTTACTTTAATCTAATGATCCTATGGTTAGAAGAAGATATTGGTTAAAAAAGAAATTACCAGGTAAAAAAGAATTGAAACCTGATGAAACTTAACCAGATAAAGATAAAGTTGGTGCTAGAAAAATCATTCCAGATATAGATTATGATGTCAAATTTGATATTGCATAAAATAAAGTCATTCCTATTGATTATGAACCTGAAGCTGTTAAGAGAAAATTAGAATAAATTGTTTCATCAAGAGGAGTTCTAAAAAATTAAGTTGAGAATCTTTATATTTGTGAAAAATACATTTAACATTTTGTCAAAGAGAATCTCTAAAGAGCTATAGAAGTAAATTTATATTTAATTTTTATAGATTTTACTTATTACAATTTCTTTATAGATTGATCAAGCAAAATAAGAAGCTCCCTTTTATTTTAATAGATAATCATGGTTGTAAATCTATTAAAATACTTTCTTACTATATACACTTCATTAAGATAAAGGAGTGAAAGTAGAGAAATTAAATACTTATAGTAAATATGATTAAGAAAATTCATTCTCTGAATTTAGATTTATTAGTACCTTATTAGTCAATTTCTAAACTTTGGAAGTTGAATTAAATAAAGCATTTTAAAATGTTGACTATTATACATAGGAATATGCTGAAAGACTCAGTGATCTTTATTAATTAACACATTTATCCTAAAAACTCTTAGAATTACTTAAACTTAAAAATGATACTGCTAATATTGCTTTAATGAGTTTTAAATAATTAGAAGCAATATATTATATTGGACCAGCTGTGATTCAAAAGTTGTTAGAATTATAAACTAATAAATAAGCTGCAACTCCCCTCTAAATCTTTGGAAATGGTGACATATCATCCAAAATCTAATCTCTTGTTGAAAATATTCTTAAATATGGAGATAAAGAAACCATTGTTAAAGCTACTCTATATTGGGTATATAATTTAGCATTAAATGGAAAATATGAATAAGCACATGAAATATTTATATCCAATATTTCATATGATTAAATCTCATAAATGAAAACCTTAATTTAATTATATTATAATAGAGCTTTAGTCTAATTGGGATTTGGTGCTTTTAGATAAGGATTAATAAATGAAACTCATCTTCATTTAGCTGATTTGTTAAGTAGAGATAAAGTATTAAAAGATTTACTCTCATAAAATTATATGAAATAAGTTGAAGGAGAATACAGATATGCTGTACCTTATCATATGTCAATTAATGTTGAAACTATTGAATTTGTCTATTTATTGGCTGCTATGTTATTGGAAATTCCTAATATCAATCAAGATCCATTTGAAGATTCTCATAAAATTATTAGTAGAAAATTCAGGTAACTTTGTCAATATTATGATTCTTAAACTTTCAATCCATAACCTGAAAATATGAGAGATTTAATTTATGCTGCATCCAAAGAATTAGCCAAAGGAAATTGGACAAAATGTTGGGATCTTCTAAAATAAATCTAACTTTGGACAAGAATACCATCTTATGAATAAGTCTAATAATAAATTAAAGAAAGAGTTTAAGAATAAGCTTTAAAGTGCTACTTATTCACTTTTAAGAATGCATTTTCAAACATTTCTATTGAATATCTTAAGGAAAGATTCTAATTGTCAGAATAAGTCACAAAAACTATCATCTATAAAGTAAATTATTATAATAAATATTATAGATGATTTATTATGGAGAAATTAAGGCTATTATTGATAATCAAGATTAATCATTCTTGATATTTGTAAATGACGATATTTCTAATTAGACTAAAAGATTGGCCAGTGTTCTCATTGAAAAATTAAATTTATAATGTAAAAACAATGAAAAATTAATGGTAAAATAATAAATTATAATAATTTTTAGGATTCTAAAATTGGAAGCTTTGGTATTGCAGTAGACAAAGAAAGTGTTGATTAAGTAAATAAACAAAAGAAAAAAAATGTAACTAAAAACAAAAAACCACCAAATGCCACAACAAAAAGAAAATGAAAATAATATTACATTACATTAAATAAATAAAATAAAGTTTAAACTAAAATAAAATATAAATTTAAATAAGAAAATATTTATCATATACTTTGAAAGATATTAGTTTTGGAAAACTTAGAGTTGAGTCTTAATAATTTATATTCTTGCATTAATTAAGATGTATTTTTAGTGGGTAAAGGCATAAAGGTTTTAAGATTTAATGAACTCATTCTTAAAGTATCATAAAGTTTATTTGATTAATTTAATTCTAAATCAGCATTTTCTTATTAAAGTTCAGTTTTAAAAACTTTTAAATTGGCATTAGTAAGTAAATCTGAGTTGGTTATTGTCATTTAATGATTAATTTTATTTTCTTTAATCATTTTTTAAACTTTATGTTGATCTAATTCAATTAATTGAATATCAGCATTGGCATACACATTTTATGTATAGCCTCCAAAAATTAAGATTTTGGAATCAATAGAAACAGAACAATGACTACATTTACCATATTTTAATGCTCCAATTTATTAGACAAGTATCCAATTCATCTACATTAATTACAAAACATATAAATCATTAAGAATGTTGCCTTCTCTAGAATCATTACGTCCACCATAAACAATAAGAGCATTAAGATGATAAAAGTAATTAAGACTATGAGAATATCTAGCGATTGGTATTTACCCCTAAAATGATTGAAAAGAAGTACTTTAGTTTTTAATTTATTGATTCTAATAGGTTTAAATCCAAATTAAATAATTCTCAAATCATTAGAGGCATCTCCATTTTGAATTCTACCTCCAAAGACATAAATTCCTTCATAATTAACATTTGGAAATAATCCTTTTTTCTTATTACAATCATAGGTGAAATAAGGATTTTCCATTTTAACTTCTCCATTGAATAGAGATACAGAAGCAGCATCAGAGACTCCTTCTAGAAATTAATTTTCTATATGTAGAATAGACCTAAAACAAATAATAATATAAAATACCATTTATTTGTTTCTAAATTTAAAGCACAAACATCATTTAAAACTTTACCATAAGAATTGATTCCACCAAAAATAATAAAATATTTACCAATGCATTAAGCTATATGATTTCTTCTTCCTTCTATAATATCACCACTAGTTTTTACTAAAGCCCATGATTTTTCTGATGGATTAAACATTCTAACTTCACTATAACATTCTCTGATCTTCATAAGTTAATTAAACTTCTTTTCTCCTCCATATATAATAATATTTTGTTTATATTAAGTTCCTGTATGTCCAAATCTCCCTTCATTTGGTGCTTCTCCTTTTCCAATTCCTATATCTTTCCATACCCATGTCTACGTATTCAATGCTATTACATTCTTAAATAAATCATTGCCTATTCCACCATACATATATGCTTTATTTAAAGAAGGTATATAAGTTACAGAACATCCTTCTCTTATTGGAGGTTTCCATTCATCAATTTAAATGTTAAACCAAAATACTTTTACAAAATTTGATTATGCATCTAATTATTTATTATTTTCATTATTATTATTTTATTCATCTTCTTCTACTTATGGTATAGGTTTAGGTTTTAATTTTATTTTTTTTATTTTTTATAATTATTACATTTCTTACTATTTATTAATTAAATCAGTAATTTCATTTATTGTGCTTGTCCATTTTCTATTTATTTCATTTTTAAATTAATGTGCTTATGTTTAATTGAATTGTAATCTATATCTTAAATTTGATTCATTAGGATTAAGTTAATCAACTTTTCCCCACCAACTTGAATTAGTTTTCATCATATCTGTAAATGTTTTGAATCCTATATCTTCATTTTATTATTATAAAAAAATAAGTTTGCAATCTCCTTTTGAAATATATTCATCTATTGCCATAGTTTATTAATGTTTTAACATTTATGGTTATTTCAATTAAATAATCTTTTCAGTTTTACTCAATCTAAAATTATCATTCCTTAAATTGTGATTTGGAGTCACTTTTCTTAATCTAATGTCTTCCAATTTTTACTATTAAGTTTTAATCCATCGTATTCTTCTTTCTTAATCCATAAATTTATTAATTCATTATTAATTTATAATATTATATAAATTTTGTTCACTTTTTTACTTTTGGAAAAAATTCATTAGAATCATCTCTTTCTTATTATTTGTATACAGATCTAACTGTTATTTTTCTCTATCTTGCTGAATCTATACTCATCATAATTGATTATTTTTAAGAAGTATTCCTTTATCTTCCAGATTTCTTTATATATTCTTCTCCATCCACTATTGTTTATGTTGTACATTTTATTGGTTTCTCTTAAGACCTATCTAATGTCTTTGATAAACCTATATGATTTTTATATATGTATTTATTAAAATACCAATGTGGATTATATTCTCTTACTTCTAATAATTCACTTTTATCCCACAAATCTATCAAACTTTAAAATGATTTTTTTAAAAGGTCTTCTACCTAATAATTTGATTATCTATAACTACATATCTCATTTCTGAATTCAAATACCATTCCTAAATCTGATGTAAATTTTATAGGGTCCTTCAATTATCTTAATAAATATGCTACTGTTATTTATATCATTTCTGAACCTCCAGACAACAATTATAAAATTAGTGAAAGCTTTCTATTCATTAATTCCTTCTCTCTAAATAATATCTTTATTTGATTATTCAAGTATTCTGTATCATTAAATACATCAGATTTCAATTTTAATACATGTGAATGATTTCTATCAAAATTCTATATAGCAACTGAAAAGTCAGCTTCAAATACTTTAAACTTTTATTCCATCTCTTCTCTCATTTCAAACAACATCTAAATATCTGTTTTCATATCTTCTAATTATTCATTCAATTATTCATTTTAAACTAATGATCTCTAATTATCGACCAAACTAACCTAAATTAAATTAAATCCTCCTTTTGTATTTTAACCAATACTATTTCTCCTTGTCATCTTTTACCCTTTAAATGAACTATTCGTAATTTTCAAATCTATTTATTCTATTATATAATTTTATAATTATTCTTGTTGACTTAATGAATTATCAGACAATATAACCTAAACTTCAACATCTTTCTAATATTACTTATTTTATAAATCCTTAATTTATTAATCAAAAGCTGCTAATTTAATGCTTTACTACTTTAAGGATTCATTTAACAATTATTAACGAATATCTTCCAATTTATAATTAAATTCCTAAGCCATATCTTTTACTATAGTGGTTTTCAAAGTATTAAATTGATCTATCATTTTCTTTAATTAGCTACCAACATTTGTTTAAAACACTGCTATCTAACTATTCACAATCAATTATATCTTTTCTTATATATTCTTCTAAAATTCTTCAATCATATTTAATGCATAGTTCTAATGTTAAAATTATTATGTTGTTTCTTTATAGAATTTCTAATAATTTTCAGTCTAACTATTTAATTATTATTAAAAAGAATTCAACTACTAACGATATTAAATCTCAAACATTTCCAAACCTTTAACTCTTTCATCAAATGACATATTATATACTTGCACTTAACTCTACAATTATTACACAGCTCCCTTCAAAAATTGATTATCTTCAATTCTAGACTTTTCTTCCTCTATATATACATCCATTATAATACTTTATCAAATGTAAATTTAAAATAATCTTAATTTACTAAATGATTCATTTCATTTATAATCCATTCAACTCTCTAAGACAAACTCTAACATTACTAATCTGCTATATCTTTAAAAATTCCTAATTATTCCAATTGCTAATTCTAATTTTAAACATCTTTTTAAAGTTACTGCTACTCTTTTGAAATCTTGCTCACCTGATTTCTACTATCCACGAAAATTGTATAATAATCTTTAAAAAATTCATCTATTTTTTTATTAAATGTTTCTGTGTTTTCTGCTTATTTCTTAGCTAATTAATCTAAATCAGATTATGTTTTAATTTATGAATTTATCTAAAATTAAAAATTATTCTTTTATTGTTCCAATTCCTTTTCTAAAGATTCAATTTTTGATTTCAAATGAGTTGATGTTTATTAATTTTATGTCAAATTCTTCATAATATCTAGCTCTAATTTTTTTTCTTATTTTTAAAGAGCTTCAATTTCTGCATATCTTCTATTAGCTTCAATCTAATGATTTTATTGATTATCATTTTATTATCTTATTTATTATTTCAAATAATCTATATTCAGTTACTATTAATCTATTTGTCTTAAACAATCAGATACTATATTCATATAAAATAATTAATTATACATCTCATCATTGTTGGTTATGACAATTCGTAAACAACCTCTCTAATTCTAGTTTCTAATGAAAATGCTTCCATTTATATTTTAATATTATAAATCAATTTTTTTAAAGTTAACTTTAAGAATTTACTTATTAATCTTAAGTAATAATTGTATAAAAAATTATTATGTATCTCAATAATGAGTCATAAAAATAAAAATGATCTGAATTTATCATAGATTTTTTATTTATTGTATAATAATTATGAATGAAGAGAATCTATGAAACTTCCAGTTAAAGGTAGAACACCTAAATCTTTTTTGAGTTATTTTGAGTCTTGTCTGCTTTTCATTCTAACTGTACGAATTTACCTAATAAATTCTGTAAAGTGAGAGAGAAGGAGAAATTTTGTTTAAATTTTGAACTCGGACTTTATAAATGACATTGAAAATAAAGCAGAATAGAGGTAAAATATTTAAACTAGTTGTTGAACAAACCTTAATCAAATATGATTTCATATTTCATAATATATAATTACTAAATAAATATTCAATTATTCCTATATTATTTCATTTTAAAAATTATTCTAAAGAGATATTATTCATAAATATTTTTGTCAAATAAATCAAATCTGTTAATTAGAAAAAACCCTTATTGTTCAATTTTAAATAAAAATTAGGAAAACCTATGTTATTTCAGATATTTATTATTAGAATTAAAATAAGATCTTAATTTCAAATATATTATAAAATATTGATATCAAAATATTATTTAACAAAGGAAAGAAATTTAAGTTGAGAAAAAAAATATTATTATAATTAGTTGTATGATTAATTTTTCATTATAACTATTTTTGAGTTTTTTTCATGGTACTTTCAAAAGGATTCAATTTAGTTGATTTTTTGAAACTCTTTTATTTAATATGATCTGAAATATTTGTAGATTTTTATTTTTCATGTTTTAAAGAACCATTATCTTAACTATGATTTGATTTTGAAGTATCAATATTCTTTTATTAATGTTATTGTTATTTAGACAAGCGAGCATGTTTATTTTATATCAATATTTCTTAATAACTTCTAATGTCCAAAATAATTTTAGAAGTATCAGTCTACTTTTAATTAGCCTCTAAATCATTTCCTTCAGATGTTTAAACTATTTAAGTTTCTTTATTTTAATCCATATTTTTTTGTTCTTCACAATTTGAATTGTTTTAAATGTTTATTTAAGAACAATTGCCAATTAAACAATTCTATTTTTTAATTAATACCTGATTATTGATTTCACCAAGAAAGTTATCAAAATCAGATCTGATTTTTTTATATAGTTCTTTTAACTGTTATCCATTAAACATAACATCAAAAATTTATTTCTTTATGCTGTTATAATATTCAATTATTTCAACCACAGCCAAAATTTTTTATAACAAAGATATCTTTCCTTTTTTTATTAATATTTCAAATTTATTAGGGGCATTTCTAAAGGATTTTGTTGAGATAGTTTTCCATTATAGAGTTTCATGAAATTCATCAATTACAATTTGAATTTTTTGATTAGTTTCTTAAATTTATTTAGCTTAATTAATTTTGGTATAGAGAATCATAAGATAAATTAAACATTTTAATAAATTATATTCTTTTTATGGAAAGAGAAAATATCTTTCATTAATTTCTATTTGATCAAGCAATTACTTTATTTATTATTATTCTTTAGCATTTTAAAGATGTAGATAAGTTATTTAACCAGATAAGATGGCATACAACTCATCTTTTTTAGTTTTATTTAAAATCTTTATAGTTTTTTTTAAAATTTTAAGTGCTTTCTCATACATTTTAAGTCTGAGCAATTATTAAACTTTCAGTAAATATGATCCATATTTTTCTAATAATAATGAAGATTTTTAGACAAACCTTTACTTATAAAATTGTGAAAGAAAAGTTGAAGACATATGTTCATTAAGAGTTTAAAATAATGCTAAATCAGTTGGATCTCTTAATTATTGTTTGCTTTTAATTTTTTAGAAGGCTGATTTTATTTTTTAAATTAAAAATAATTTTTTTGCCTAGAAATGCATTTAAATAATAAAATTGTTGTGTTTAGAATTAGTAAAGGTACGATTAGATCTTTCAACAAATCTAAGAGCACTCAAATATTATCCATTGAATTCAAAAATACAGGCCATAATAAATTATAATTTTGATATAATTTTTCTTTTAAATATTTTACCATCAGCATAATATTTATTCATTTTTTCTGCATATTATAGACTAATTTTAAAGGCTGATCCTATGTCATCCTATAAAACAAATAGTTATAGTTGTTTCAATACAACAATTACAACTTCATCTGAATACAAATCAAATGACCTAAGTAACAATTATTCTGCAACCTTTAAACATTTTAATGAATTTTCTTAATCATGCACATCAAAGTAACTCATACCCAATAACAATTCTAATTTAGCTTTATTACTTGTTGCTAAATTTTAAACTCTAACATTTTAAAATTTTTAAACAGTTTTTTCTTTTACTCCATTTTCTGTTTATTCTTAAGTTTCCTCTTAAGCTATAAATTCTGGAAAATAACTATCATATATAACTTAACTCATCTCTAAATTCAACATTGCCGATACTGCTTAAAGACTTTCTTTTTATATTTCTCCACTTACTAAAAGTGAATATCCATAAAATAAAGATGCTATATGCTGATTTTTTAATTGAAATCCAATTACTCTTTATATTTTATGGACAGCCTAATAATAATTATGATTATTTAAATACGATTGAGCATACATTAATTATATCATAATATGCTTTTTTTATTCAATAATACCTTTAGATGAATTATGACTTCTTAATCTTCTATCCATTGAAATTTTCATTTATAATTATTTGTTAATGCTTCTTTGAAGTTCATTCAATAAAGGCAAAGGTTTTCTTTATGATAAAGTAAGTATTTAAAACATTAATGTAATATGAAAATGATCAATACTTGTTTCATATATTGAATTCATTATTTCAATCGGTTTATCCATCATTTTTGAAACCATAGTTAATTTATATTACCAAGAATCATCATCTAATGATTTCAATGTATAAAATGCATTTAATATTTCAACATATGCTTCTTATAATTTTTATTTCTCACCTTCTTTAAATTTATGATAATAAAATTAAAATTAATCTTAAAATAGTAGTGATGAATAAAGTAATTCTTTATATATTAATTAAGATTATGTATATTTATCTTTGTTTATAGACAATTCTTCATTTTCAGAATTAAAATCAAATTAAAATGTTTTTAAATATATTTAATTTTCTTCATTATCTAAAGAATCATCTAATTTTATCTGTTTTTCTGGAGGTTAGATAGGATTTTCTTAAATTTGAAATCCATTTTAATTTTTAGTATCTTAACTTTCTTATTCCAAATTTGATTCATATTCATTAATTTATTTTTAAAGTGATTCAATAATAAGAATAGTGTCTTCTAAAGTTTTATCAATTGATTTAATTTCATTAGCATATATTGCCATACGTATAAATTCTAAAATATATCGATCTTATTTTGATGATAAAATTTCATCAACATAAATCAAATAATTTCCATCATCATCTTCATTTTCTTCTCCTTTTTTTATATTTTAAAGAAACTTTTTCCTTTTTGTCTAAATTTATTTTAAAGTCATATCATTAACTTTTTTGAAATAAACTAATAGATCACATAAAGCAAAAAGATCTTTTTTAAATGCTTTTTAAAATAATTTTAGTTTTTTTTCATCCAATTATTTTATCCCTTCTTCTATATTCAATCCAAATTAAAGTAAATATTTCAATCTTCCAAAAGTTTATAATTTAAAACACTTTAATTTTGAAACATAAAATACTGTCGACAATGTAAAATTTAATCTGTATAAATGATTTTAATAACATTAATAAAATATATCTATAAGATTTAATGCCAATTTCTAATACAAAAACTTAGATAATTCCATTTTATTTTTAATTAATAGATTTTAAAGATCTTTTAATGAATAATCTAATTTATCATAAAATAAAGCCAATCTATAAACATTAGGTTAATCAAATTAAGGTGGTATTTCAAATAAAAAAGTAGCATTTGTAATAAATACTAAATAGAGTTCAAGTTTCTTAAAATATTTCTAGACAAGTAAATGGAATAGAACAGTTAAAAATCTTGATTATTATTCAACATCAACAACAGATATGATTTCAAGCATTTCTTGATTAGTTGAGTTAACCAAGCAATTTTCAATTTGTTTTTCATGTATAAGAGTACTCTATCTCTTTTGTAATTTTTTTAAATTTGCCTTCATTTCTTATAAGCTTCTTTCAACATATAATAATTTATCAAAAGCATTAAAATTATTAGTACATTCTTTGTCTGCATTAAAATAGTTATCATTTGAGAAAAAAGTAAGAAACCTTGAGTATTTGTTTGCTTCCTCGAATTTCTTGGGTTTTAAAGTAAAATATTTAAAGTCTAATTGTGTTGTTAAGGTACCATACAGATTAACATTATAAAAAAGTTCTTTATAATTGATAAGTACAGAGATCTTGTAATATTTCATATCTCCTTCCTTTTGCAACTCAACTACAATAGATTTTAGAGATAAAATATGATCTAATTTTCTTAAATAGTTTGCATCATCTTTATGATGTTCTGATTTTTTCTTTTTTATTTTTTCTTATTTTGGTTGTTCAACACCAACTGCTACTTCTTCATTTCCAACTTATGTAATTAAGTTGCAAATATCGGTTTGATTTGTAGGATTAAATTGTAAAGTTTATGATTTCCTGCTTGAAGAATAACACTAAAATTAAATATGTTCTTATTCCTCTTCTTCTTTTATTTTTTATTATTCCACTATAGTTTATGCGATTTATTATCTAATTCCATCTTCTTTATCTCGTTATTTTGAACAGCAGATGCCCATTAAATTATATATACAGTTATAATTACTATTCTTATTTCGAAGATTAATTATGATTTATGTAATAAGTATTAAATATGTAAATTTATTGTATCGAGAAATACTAAAGAAGAGTTTTACACGATATCGTTATTTTTATTTTGAAAGATTGGAGACATATTCAAAAAATTTAAATTATGAAACAAATAATCATTTTTTTCTAACAGATTTTTCAAAAGGATTAATTTTTAATTTTACTTATTAGATTGATGCCAAACTTTATTAACTTATAATTCTTCTTCTTTTATTTATTAATCCTTCATCACATAAATTTATATATTAATTCTTTTGTTAATCTTACTCTATTCCAGATTATGATAATGATTTCTTTTGTCTATCACTTATTATTATTGGTTTTAAATTTATTGAAGATTACTTTTATTGTTATGAATTTTTTAATCTAAATTTATTTTTGATTTCCTAATTATTATTATTATTACTAATTTTATAAAATTTACTTCATTTGATGAAATTATGTTATTTAACTTTAATTTGAGATTATAAAAGACCCATTTTAGCTTTATGGACTTGAAATATTGAACTCATTTTATTAATTCAAGTCCTTAGTCTAACTCTATTTCTTTATATTAATAATTCTAATTAATATTATCTCTGCTCTTCTATAATCTTTTCTGCAAATCTTAAGTCTATCAAAATTTTATTATTAGGTAACACAGACCCTTTACATTCATCTATTATCAAAAATTAACTTTTATGTTATTTTACTTTTTGTTTATTCTTCTATCTTCTTTATCTCATTACAATATTATATTTTTGACTCTTTTTTTATGAATAATATAAACTTAAGCTAATTAACCTATTTAACATTTTGCTCTTTTTACTATCCAAAACTGTCTATTTCTGTTACTTAATTAAATTAGCTTTTTTGTTAAATATAATTAAGTTTATTCTTAGAGTTTTTGGGAATCAGTAAAGTTTTCATATAATAGTTTTTTTATACTATAATATAGTTCAATATTATGAATAAGTTCTTAAATCTAATACAAAGTTTTTGAACTAATTTTAGATGACATCACTTTAAATTTATTTTTTCTAGAAGCTATTTAATGAGTAAAATTCCAATGAATATCATCATATATTTGATCAATAAATTTTTCGATTAAATCAAATTAATCCGAAATTTTTTTCTATTTATTTTTTAAAGCCATACTAAAATAATATAAAGGTTTATTTTAATAATACTGCATTATTTAATTGGGAACAATAAATATCTTTCATGAATTTCTAATGCTAATTCCAATTTTTTCTGATATATAGTAAATCTAAAAACTGTAATAAACAAAAATGAATTATAAATAAGCTTTAAATATGTGTATTTTTAAAAAACTATGTTTTATTCTTCATTATTAAAAATTAATATATTAATAATAACATTAATTAAATCTTGTATTCTCTTAATATCAAAATTAGAAGTGCTTATCACTTCTGATTAAACATTGAATTAAATAAAATAAAAATATAAAGCAACATAAATTTAATTAGATAACTGAAGAACTCTTTATTAATATTTTGGTAGAAACTAAATCTGTTTTGCGCCAAAAAATTTGAAAAAAGTGATTGCTGGAAGAAAATAGAGTTACTTAATAGTAAAGTAAATGATGAGTTATGAAAGGTTGATTAAAGATTTGAAATATTTTAAGGATATAATTGTAAGGAAATGAATTGATATTCATATATTATACAATATTAATTATATTCGGTTATGAAGAGTTCTTTTAGAAAGAGGGATTGCCCGTTCTGTTAAAAATTAAAAAGATCAAACAATGTCAAACATTTATACGCATATTTAATAAATAGTGTATCATTCATTAAAGATTGAGAAGGCCTTGTACACTAAATATTCATAATAAAAAGTGAAAAATTTTGAGGATTTCTTTTCAGCAAAACCAGTTAAATGGGTCATAGATTTCAAAGATAAGTTACATATGCAGGAGAATGAGGAGTATTTAAAAAAGTAATTTGATTTAGTGATATGAAAATAGATATTATCCAATTACATAATAATCTAACAAATTTAAGCAATTATTAGAATATTACAAATATCATAAAGATATACCAAGAATGTTTTTTGGTTTCCTAGCTGATATTGCTACTTACTATTATGAGAAAAAAAAGTAATAATCTTCAAAATATAAATAATTAGAAAATATGAATATAGAAGGATCAAAATATAATTAGGAATTCCTTATGAATAATCTAGTTTAAGCACATGTATATTATTTACTCTAATAAAAGAATATGAAAAATAAAATGAAGATATCTAAGTATTAAATAGTATAACAAAACTAAGTGAGAAATCAGCAAAATCATTATTAAGATAAATAATTAAATTGTAAAAAGATGATGATTAGATTGTAATTAGTTTTATTAGTATTATATAGAATATTGATGAAACATGGTTAACGATGCAATAATAAATTTAAACAGAAAAAAATAATTAAAAATAACTAACAAAACAGCCAACTTAAAATTTGAAAATATTAAAATAATTAGTCATAAGAAACAATTAAATAAATAAAGATAAATTAAAATTAAATTTACCATTTAATTTGATGAATGGAAAAGCTTTAGCAAATATTAGAAATTCTTAAAAATAATCTCCTGAACGTATTCAACCAACTTAAAAATCATCTTCATAATAACACATTAATAGTAGTTAAGAAGAGAATGAATTTTAAAAATTCATGAAAGCAAAAATAATAAAATTATCTTAAGATAATAAAATAAAAATTTAAAAAATATTCTCGAATAAAGTTGATTAAAATAACATGAATAATAATTAAGCTAAACATAGTAGTGCTCATTTTATTACTAGTACTAGAAGTGTTTCATCAGAGTAATTAAAAACAGAGTAATTACGTTTAAGTTAAATTATTAATACTTGTGGGAATAATTAAAGTTAGCCTAAATTATTTAACTACATTACACCAGTACATAAGAAATCAGCCTCATAATAATCATTATAAACAGAATGTACACCAGCTAAGAGGGATTCAAAACTTATAAAAGTTTACTCTAATAATTTTAGTAGTAAGATTAAGACATAACCAAAAAAGACTCCTGAAAAATTCAGATAATTATATAAAGCAAGTTCATAAACATCTCAAAATAGTTCTTAAAAGAATCTTATGAAAAATCTCGACAAACTTTCCTCTTTTTAACAATTTAAAATTATGTTGGAAAGTCCTCAACCTAAAAATAAAAAGAAATTATTATTACATAATACTGATACTATCAGGTTATAAACAGAATACAAATAAATAACTAAGAGACAATCTATTACGTTAACTAATAATAAAATCAATGGCAAATTAGTAATGAAGAAATAATGAATTCTTTGTAGAAATTAAATAAATATCCATAATCAAAACACTTTTTTATTTAAATTTCCTTCTTTTATTTCTTATCTTAACTTTATATTCGATGGACTATTCATTTTATTTTTGTAAGATTATAATTCTTTCTCAAAATTATAACTTGACATTGGAATATGTCTACATTATTCTTTCTAAGATTTATAAAACAAATAAAATACAATAAAATTTAGTTACTAATGTTATGAAGCATGATTTTATGGAGTTCCTATATGATCTTTATTTATTTTTTTACTATAAATTTTATTATATTAATTTAGAGGTTTCTAAAATATTGGATCATTTTCAAATTTCTTGATATCAAAATCCTCTATTTTTAATTTCATCATATTTTTCAATTTGTCAATTTAATTTTATTAGGAAATTACTAAAAGATTAGATTATTCTAATTGGACCTATTAACTTTAAAAATTGTCTTTTAGATCCATAATTTCTTATTCCTTGCTTTTTAAAATTTTATTAAACTTAGCATCAGATTCTTTTTGTTGTTCTTTATAAGAATTAAAAGAATTGACAAGTTGATTATATTAATTTTCACTTGTAAATTAATCAGAAATATTCTATTCAAGTAAATTAATAGTTTTTCTAAGTTAAGCTATACATTATTTTTGATTATCAATAGTGGTTTGTTAATCATTTAATGATTTTTCTAAAAGTTTAATTTGAGATAAATTATTAAGTTCTTCAACTTATAGTTTTAATTAGTTTGACTCTTTTTTTTCTTCAAGGAGTTAAATTTGTAAACGAGTAATTTCTTATTTTTAATTATTGAGTTCGACTTTTAATTGTTTAGTTTCATGTTCGTTGTGAATAGTTTATGAATTTTTAAGAGTTTCTTTTAATTTTTGGGATTCTTTATTATATTATTCTATCTGCAGAAATAGATTTTCTAACTCTTATTGTTATTAAATATTTGTCTCTTTAAGCTATTGATTCGTTAGCAACAACTCTTAAATCTTTTATTACTGCTCTTCTATTTATTGTAAATATGAAGTTTTTATATTTTATTATTCTTCTCTCTTTTCTTGGAGATGAGACTCACTTGAATTTAATTTCATGGTAAGCTCATTAATCAAATTCACTTTTTTTTTAAGAACATCATTAAGTTTTTCAATTTCTGAAATAAATGCTTCTATTTGTACTTTTTTGAGCTGTAGATTTATAATATAAACTTACTCCTTTATCATTAGAAGCTTATGCTGGTGTATAAGTTTTAGCAGTACTAAAATTGTCAGCTGTAATTCTACATGGTGAGATAGATCCAGTTTATGTGTGAAATTGTTATCTTTTAAAACCTGAAGACTAGAAAATCAATTAAAATATTTTACACATGTATTTTGAAAGTCATGGGATACTTTAGTTCTTACTATTCTGTTGGAATACATAGGTAGACAAATATTTAATTATTTAACAACTAATTTTTACAAATATTTTCTGTTAAATGCTCAAAGAATCTTTTATTGAATTAAGCATCTGTCTAAAATTACTAATCAAAAAATAGATATATTTATATTCAACTAAATCATTTTTCAATAATTATAAATTCTTTTGATTTTAAAGATACTTTTCGAATTATTAAATAAGGAAAGTCTAATTAAAAAAATATTTAAGAACTTCTCTTTTAAGGATTCCTTTTTCTCTTTACTCTTCTTTCAAATGTTTTTCTAAATATATTTAATATAAATATTTTATTTATGAACTAATAGTCTATAAAATATCTGATTAATCAGATTAGAAGGGTTAATAGTTAAGATGATAAAACAATAGGAGAAGTATGAAATAAATATAAATATATATGAAAGTTTTTATAACTAGTTAGATAAATGTATGATGTCAAATAGAAAGGAGATTGTATGAATTTAATAGCCAGTGGTTTTGCAAGCGTTCTTTTAGAAATCATCTTTAAAGTATTTCGATTAATTTTAAAAGTAGATTAACTTAATTGATGAAAATGATAGAATGGAAGCATTCATATTTTATAGAGATCTTCTGTAATATGAATTTTAAAATGCAGATCGATAATTAAGAAAATCAGATGATTAATTAGAATCATATAGACTTATAAAATTACTGCCTAAATAATTATATGAAGTATTTTTAATTTGAATCATGTTAAGCTTTTTTTGGATGATGGTGATGGAACAGTTATTTTTATTAATTTATGTAGAGAATGGAACACACCAAATTTAGTTTGGACTGAAACTATGATAAAAGAAATGCTGCTTATTTATATTGAGTATCTATTTCTATTATTGTAGATATAACAATCAAATTCTGAAAAAGCCTTCTAATGATTATAGTTAAATCTTACCCATTAATTTACCATTGTAATTTTATTCGCTTAGTAATTAGATTTCCTGAATTAAGAAATGAAACATATGTTGAAAATATGATGTTAAAAGAATTTAATGTCTAACCTAATTGGTAAACTGATGAAGGACTTGTTGATTTTATGAAAGAATTGATTGAATCTATCAATCAATCACTTAAATTATATTTGGAAGGAAACTTTACTAATTCTGAATTCTCAGTCAAATAACTTGAAAGATTAACTTGTAAATTATTAACTCAATTTACATCTTTTGAATTAGCTTTGGAATAGTTTTTTTTTAATTCATCACATCCAGAATTTGAATAGGAATTAAAATTATTAGAAGATTATGATTAATCTCAAATTAATAAATTACTTAAAGATTAATAAGATAATATCCCTCCTATGATTATTGAGAGTATTTGGAAGTGGCTTGAATTAATTAATGTCGATCATATTAATATCAATCCATTAATTAAATCTTGTTTAATATAAATCCATTATATACTTATATAATCAGAAATGGCTTTAATTATTTTAGATTAAATTGACACACTTAGCATATCTTTAAATAATTGTCTAAAAATTTTGAATAGTCAATAACATAAATGTAAAATTTAATTTATATTAATAAAGATGATAAATTTTTGGAGTTGGTAACCCTATGTGATATGATAGCTTTTAAAAACTTTATTACAAAATTAGACTCAAAACATTTTAATTAAATTATGTCAATCTATTAAACTGTTATTTAGGAGGATTAATTAATAATCAATGCTTTTAAGAACTTAATTGCTCTTATATATACAGATTCTTCTATATCTACTGATTTCAATAAATTTCTTTTTTAATAAAAAATACCAATCAAATCAAGTGATCTTTAAATCTTACAAAATAAAGATTATAATTAATTGAAAATTTGGAGAAAATAATTTGATGAGAATTATAAAATTTCTACTTATGAAGAATTATCTTAAATTAATCAAGGATACCCAATTTTTCCTATTATTTCTTAATGTGCAATTTAATAATTACCACATAAATCTGAAATTTTAGAAAACAGATTGAAATTAATTGAAAAATATTATGAAGAATATATATCGAATTTATAATCTGGAAAAATTGTAGATATTAATATGAATTAAAATTTGGAATATGAACCTTAGACAGAGCAAATTTCCTTAAGATAGTCCTCATTAGGAAAGGAATAATCAGATGATATGTTGATTGGTGATGATGAAATATTTTCATGAAAAGGTAAATTCATCATATCTTACAAGTACTAAAATTTTATTTTCTTTAATTTTATTTTTAATAATCCTCTGCAGTAACATTCAACTAAGATAGTAACAACTAACTGCGTTATATTAAAAGTAATTCTTTTTAATTGATATCCTAAATTATCTTTTTAGGATCATTAGTTTCATAATCATCCTATTGGGTTTCTAAAGATAATTAATAATATTTAATTTACTTGATCTGACATTTTTATTAAGTATTTATTATTTTGATTCTGAATGAGATCTTTCTAATTATTATGTATTTTTTTAATTAATCTTTGGTAATCCATCTATATTTTCATTCATTTATTCAATTTTCACTTTGATGTCTTATCTATAATATAAATTAAATTAACTTTGATTATTTGAAATCTTGGATGTTATTCGTCATTGATGCTAATTTAGCAGGTTTCATTTTAGAACCCTTTTAAAGCTAAAAATTCATAGCATAAACATCTTTTGAGATATTTGAAGGTATGCTTTATTTTTATTTTACTTTATTTAATTTATTCTTTATTTTATCTTAAACTTCTGTTGGAAAAAATCCCATACCATTATAAAGAAAATTTTATGGAACATAATCATTTTTAGTTCTGAAAATATTATTGATTTTTTTAAAATTTTCTATTTCTAATGATAAATATTTAACGATTTCGTTTGTTTTTAATAATTCTCTTCTATAACTATCTAATAAATATTCTTTTGATTTTGCTTACTCTAATAAATTTGTTGTTTATTTAATAAATTATTCATGATCAACTTAATGTTCTCTAAGTTTTTTTCTTTCTTAAAGAAGCTGTTCCTGATCTAACAAATGTTAATTATTTAAGTTTTCCATTTCTTACTTATGAGTTTATTTTAAATTTTCAGATAATTCTAATAATCTTTTTTATTCTATTTCATTTTCAGCCTATAATTAACGAATATCCTCTTAAAATTTCTTTAAGAGATCTAATTATTCTTAATCTTTTTATTTTAATCTTAGATTTAGATCTTCAATCAAGATTTCATACAATTATTCTGAATCAATATAGTTTTTTATACTCTAGTCTTTTTCATTGATTATTTATTGTAATTTAGAAATAAGCTAGTCTTTAATTTATAATTCTTATTATAATTATTTTTAGAAATCTCTTTTCATTTATTCAATAATTTACTCATATTTAACCTTTGAGATTTTCATCAAATCTTACATATCATTTATTTCATCTTGATTACATTTAAGCTTAAATTCAAACTCTTCTTTAAGTCGAATAATTTCATTTTTACATCTCGCTAATTATGCTTCTGAACTATGAAAAGAAGATCTATTAGAATCAACTTCAACTAAATCGCATTAAACTCCAAAATCTTCTTAACTAATATTCTAAGCTCTTTGAGTAGTTTATAAGGATTTATTCTATTAAATTTTTTGCAATCCTTCATTATTTCTAAATGTAGATACTGCTTCATTTGATACTATTTTTATAATGGATATTTATTATATCGGCTGATCCTCAACTATTGATTATCTACTAGGTTACTAAATTGATTAGATTATTTCTTATCTATTATTTTCAACATATTATTCTATTGTTGTATCTTAAAATGTGAATTCATCTTTTTATATAGATGTTTTTTTCTAAGAAGATTACACTAATGATTCAGGATTGCTAGTTTACTTTATTGCTTCTCTTTATCTTATTACTTACTTTTACTACTGATTACTCTTTTATTATTATTGTACTTTATCAGGAGATTGGCTCTTATTTGATTAAATCATCAAACTCTATTTTCGAACATTTTCTCTTGTTCCTGGTTGATTTCTATCATGTTTTAATTTCTTTATCTATTCACTACATAATATTTCAACAATACTTTAATTAATCAATTAATATATCTTTTTGAAGTATCTTAGCATCTTTTTCTTTTATTTACTCATCAAAGAGAAATATTTTATATTTTTGATCTTATACATCTTTCTCCAAACTTGTAATATATGTTTAAGATCTATCAATTTAGAATTGCAAGATTTTATTTTTTTCTATATATTACAAAGATTAATTTTTATATTCTAAACAATCTTCTTTTAATTTTTATATTTAATTTTCCATTTTCATTCTTTATGATTATATCTTATATTCGTATTCATTTATTAATTCCATTTTCACTTAATTCAACTTAGAACTAAGAACTTCCAACTATTTTAAATATGCCCTTCTTTCATTCTCAAATTTCTCCATTTGATCTTGCTTTTCGAATTTCACTTATAGAAGTTCTGTATTTAGTTTCTCAGTTTGTATTTCAATTTCTTCTTTATAGTATTTATGAAGTTTTTATTCATTTAATTTTACCTACATAATTTAAGAACTTAGATCTTCTATTTTCATTTGCTAAAAAATATAATTTAAATCAAAATACCAAATGATTTTATCGTTGATCACTCAGCAATTTTTATTACTTATGATAATCATTCATCTTTCGATTCTAATCTATCAATTATTATTTTTCTATGAAATGTCTTTCTGTTTCTTTCTCTAAATTTTCTTTTAATTGTTTAATAGTCAATTAAAATGCAGATTTTGCATTATTGTTATCAATTATTATATTATTCAATCTGATAATCTCCTCTTTCTATAAATACGATAATACCTTCTAACAGATCACATATTTATTTGAAATCTGCCACTGCCTTAATTAATATTCTGTCTTCTCCATTTGGACCAGTATCACTAATAAGGTTGGCCAACTATAATTTGCGTTCCTCTATATAACAGTTAAGACTGATAACATGCTATTTTAATTTAGTATTCTCATTAAATAGCGGCTGTATAACCTTTAGTATTTACCTTCATTTGTGCTTAAAATTATGATGCATTTAGTTCTAAGGCTTTAATCTTATGATTGGTGATTTCATCTTCCTCAGCAAATTTAGTGAAAGTATTCATATTTAATTAATATAATTTATATAATTAATAAAAATATTTCTATAATCGATTAATCAAATACTTTCTTTTTTTCATCTTTTAATTATTTAATGATTGCATAAACGAAACTCCTTTCCAACGATAAGAATAATTTATCCATTCCCTATTTTAATTAAAAACTAATGAGGCTTTTCTTAAAAAATGAAATATTTTTCATAGTTATTCCCTATTTATATATTATTGAAATATTTATATGTTATTGTTAAAATTCTTGAAGATATGATCTTAATTTTTTAAATTGCTCTCTTAATTATTTAAATTAATAAATAATTTTTTAATTAATGCTGACTGTTAATTCATATATTTAATGTAGGATTAATATTATAATTTAAAAATATTATCATTGCATTTTAGTTCTTTGAAATCTCATAAAACCTATAGCATCTAGATCACTTTAAATAACCCTGAACTTTTTGATCTAAATTTTCTTCTTTTTTGAGATATCATTATCGATTCTCTTTAATTATTAAATTTCTTGATCGCAGCATGTTAGAAGAGTGCTCATTGAGTTGTTATTACTATAATTAGTGTGAATGTGTTGGATTTTCTCTTTAATTCTTTTTAAGATATTATTAGTATTGTAAGTTTTGGGATTACTTTTAGATTTAGATTTTTCTTAAGTTTATAAACTACTATGTATTAATTATGATGAATTTTATAATAGTGATTGTTTACGTGAATGAATTCTTTGATCAGGAATGGATGAATCAACTAATCCCATTCGATTTAATTATTTTTAAACATTTTTTTTGATTCTCTGTAGTTTATAATATTCTTAGAGACCATATTCAATTTATTCTTACTCATATAACTGGCATTCAAAATTAGTTTTTTTACGAGCTCCTCTCATTGGTGATGAATCGATTTGATGTTTTAACTTTTTTCTTTCATCCTATTTTATGTTTTCTTACTAGAATGCAAATCTTTCCTTCATTTATTCAAGCATTGCTAAATGGGATTGCTCTTAATAAAATATTGATTTCCTCTTTTCCAATCTCTTTTGATCTTCTATATTGCTTGTTTCAAATAATTCTTTCTCTTTTTAATGTAAATGATCCTACATTTGATCTACTAATTTTTCTATGAGTTCCTTTTTAGATAACTAATCTCTCTATGGTCTGTTTAAAAATAACAGTACTTCACTTTGTTATGCAATTTTTCAGCCTCTTACATTTACTTTTCAAAAACATTGTGAACTTTATTTTCATAATTCTCCAATATACTTGGCTATATTTTGCTTTGAGATGAAGCTCTTCTTTTATGAGATGCTATTTTTGAAACAAAGTCATCAACATACATCCCAGGCTTATCATATTCATAATAAATACTGTTACAACTTCATATTTTAACTTGAACCTTCTTTTGTTTGTAGGAGATATAGACATTAAATTTATTATTAAATTTAAATTTTAATTAGTTCCATTTAGAGATTATCAGTACAATAACATTATCAGTACAATAATTTAATAGAAAAAAATTAAGCATTTGCTTAGATTCTTAATACTGAAAACAGATTTAAAATCTTTGAATTTGTTTTATAATTATTTTAATTAATCAAAATGGGTCAAGAGTAATCAAAATTATTCAAGCGTCATGCTTGTACTTTACATTACAAATACGATGATCATGTAAATTGTAATAGTTATCGATAGGATATTGAATTGAAGTTTGATCCTAAACAAAAAGTGGGATATTAAAAGCCCTTGCGTATTTAAGAACTTATGCAAATAAATCCAGCATTACGTGATTTGGATTAAGGTAAAATTTAATAAATCTATATTAGATATATTAATATAACTGCAATATTTGCATGAGCAAGCTCTCAAATCAATAATTTTTGATTCTTTAAAGAAATGTGATGATATAATATTATTGTACTAAGCTGCAAAATTTATAGTTAATTGCACACCAAGTGAATGTTTAGATCTAATTAATACTTACAACATAATTACGATAATAACTTAAGAATAACAAAAAGACTTAGATAAATAAATATTAATAATAATCATAATTCACAATATTATTGGTAAACTGCCTTCAATATCATTGGAATAATAGCACATATCTTGGTTGTTTAGACATATGAATCCATACAATGCTTTTAATGTCACATTAATTTTATAGATATTAGCTGATATATGTGTTAATTAAGATAAATGTATTGAGAATATAATAGAAATTCTAAAATTACTAAGAGATGAAGCAAAGTGGAGATTTGCCACAGAACCTATATTTAAAATAATGGAGGTGTAATAAAATCTATATCTTATACGAGATGCTTGTACATTTATAAATGCTTTGGCAGAGACACATTCAGATGATGAAATGTGTGAATTAATTAAATAATAGATAGAATAATATGGTTTGACAGTAATATATGATGATGTTAAACTAAAATTAAAAAATTAGGAATATTAAATAGCAAATTGTTCATATGATTACGCAATGCAATTTTTGTATGATTAAAAGTATACTCCACATCATAGTCAGTTAGAGAATTATTATTTTAATAATCTTTATGATTTTGATCCCAAAAAGCCTTTGATATTTAAATATGGATATTTGGATGATAATTTTAATGTTGATCCAGAGTATTTTGAGATTTAAAAGAATTAACTTTAAGTTTAATTAGATGTTTATGATTAATTAATATAGCCAGCTTTTAATCCAAGATAAACAATTTTAGAAAGATAGAATCCATTATTTACATCAACAATAACTAAAAAAAAGAGTGGAGAAGGATTAGTTGGTGCTTTGAAAGGATTATGGTAGAGTAGAGGAAATGAGTCAACAAATTAATAAATGATATTAAATGCTATGAAAAAAGCTAATTCTTTACCTGATATATAGGAATTACTTATTAAATTGAATGATGAGTCTTCTGGAGTAAGTATTTTATCTAGATTAATTGATTTATTAACAAAAAAATTGGATTAGATAATGGCAGATTAAAAGAAAAGAGATTAAATGCGTAAAGAGAGAGAAGATGGATATAAATAATAAATTGTAAAATAATAAAATATAAATTTTAGACTTATTTATAATTGGAAATTAAATAGAGAAGTTCTTAGGAAAGTTAAAGAGATTTTAAAAATTTAAATGAGAAACTAAACCTTTTAATAGAAGACAACAAAAAATTACAAGAATAAAGTTAATAATACTCTTAACTCAAAAATAAATTTTAAGATATGAATAATTAACTTTTAGAAGCTTAAAAAGTGATGGCAAAAGCACAATAAGTAGCTGAATTAGAAGCAAAATTAGAAGAATATACTAATGAAATAAATAGATTAAAAACAACTCATACTCAACCTTAATTATGTAAAATATAACCACCAGATGGAGGATCAGAACCACCACCAAATCCTTCTGAAAATATTACAATAATTAAGTCTGTTCCTTAATAAACAGCTCCACCTCCACCACCTCCTCCTCCTCCTCCTCCATCTAATAAATCTACTAATAATTCAGCTCTTCCACCACCACCTCCACCTCCTCCACCACCACCACCACCAGGTAATAAAACTGGACTACCACCTCCTCCACCACCTCCACCTCCTCCTGGTGGTAAAACTGGAGCACCACCACCTCCCCCTCCACCACCTCCTCCTGGAGCTAAATCTGGTGGACCTCCTCCTCCACCACCTCCTCCAGGTGGAAAAGCTCCTCCTTTACCTAATGCTAAACCTCCTGTTCCGACAAAACCTAAATGTTAACCATCAGTTCCATTAAAAGGATTAAGTTGGAATATTTTAAAACCTGATTAAATTGGAAATTCTGTTTTTCAAGGTATGAATGAAACTGAAATCAAATTCGATGTTAAATCTATTGAAGAAAAATTTGCATCAAAACCAGCTAAACAAATTTAATAAAGTATTGGATAAAGTGATAAAAAAAAAGAAATTTAAAAAATAAGTTTATTAAGTGGAGAAAGAACTAAGAATATTGAGTTAATTTTAGGTAAATTAAGAATGAGTAATGAAAAAATAAAGAATGCTTTATTAGAATGTGATAAATCAATATTAAATCTTAATGTAATAGAATCTCTATTAAATGTTGTTCCAACTGATTAAGAAAGATCTTTATATGCTAATCCAGAAGAATTAGATAAAGAGACCTTATAAATAGCAGATCTATTTTACTTAGAATTATGTTAAGTCCCAGGAAATGGAGATAGAATGTAAGCTATTAAGGCTGAATTTGTAGGAATGGATATGTGTAAAGAATGTAGAGGAAAATTAAAACAATTAAAAAAAGGATTTGAATTCTAAAAAAATGATTAAGCATTTAAATTATTAATAAAATGCACTTTAGCTATTGGTAATTATGTGAATGGAGATTCTGCAAGAGGAGGAGCTTTTGGATTTAAAATAGATGCAATAACTAAAGCTGCAGATATTAAAAGTGCTGATGGAAAAGAAACATTATTAATGAGTATAGTTTTAGAATGTGAATAAATATATGAAAAAGAGGGAAAAGGATCATTCTTTTCAAATGATCGTATGGATCTTCTTGATTTTATGTCTAAATTACCTATCTCTTAGATGAATATTGATATTAATGAAATTAAGAAAATATAAAAGTTTGTCTAAAATGCAATAAAAAGTTAATCTAAGCATCCAAATGATAAAGTTAGTAGATTTGAAGACTTTTCATAATAACTTTTATTAGAAATTACAGATTTATCTTAACAGTTAGCCACATGTGAGTAATTGTATAGTGATCTCTGTATTTTTTACTGTGAGAATCCAAAAACGTTATAGAGTGATGTATTTTTCTAATCTATTCAATAAGTTTGGAATAATTGCATAAGAGTAATTTAATTTTCTTATAATAGTCTAAATAACAAATAGAAAAGATATAATAGATGAAAATCAAAGAAGAATAAAGAAATAAATTAGAAATACAAAAGAAACAGTAATAATCAAATAATAATCAATAAAATATGCATGAATCATTACCGAGAAGAGTTGGTGCTCTACAATAGCTACAACAATCTTTACCAAGTGATGCAGTTAATTAATTAAGAATGATGAAATTAAACAAGAATGAAAATAGCTGATCTTTAACATTTATGTAATGATATCATAATAAATCTTCAAATTTTGGTTCAAATTCATCTTAAATTGCTTTATTGATCAGCATTTAAATGTTTTTACACTTTTAAAATAGAAAATCTTCACATTTCTCCAACAATCATAAAAGTATATGATGTTTTTTTAGTGATTTTAAATCCTGAAACTTCTAATACTCTTGTTCCTATAGTCTCTAAATTCTTTAATGCTTCAGCTAATTTCTACTCTTACAACATCACCTTAAGTGAAAATTCTGAAGAAATTTCCTAGTATCAGTGAAAAAAGGATTCAAGTTGAAATTATTAAGTAACTTTTGGTTTTTATAATCTTAATTGATGTATTCTAGTTTAGTAAGGTTTGGAGCATAAATTTTTACTCTTTCTATGTATAAATTATTAATGATATAATTAGCCATAAAAGTATCGAAAGAACTTAAATTGAGTGTTCAGACTTTGTACTTCTTTTTTGCAATATTTTAAATAAATTATAAGTTAATATTAAAATAAAAATAATTATTAATTTTATGTAATATAAATTTAAAGAATATTTTGTGATTTATTAAGAACATTTGAAGAACAAAGAGTAGTGGAGATTACTTATGGTCCTCGTATCTATCTATTAAATGTGTGATATTATCATTGTGACAGGAGATGCCATAACTTTAGACATTGAAGGAGACAAATACATATTAATATATAGAATCTTGGTAATATAAATTGGCATTATAGACCCAAATATTATTGATTGCGATTTTCGAAGTGCTACTAATAAAATTAATCAAGATAAAAAATGGATTAATAAATCTCATGACATTATTAAAATTCATAAGCTTGATAATTTGTTGGGAAGAGTTAGATTATTATACAACGTAACAATTATTTTCAAGAATACTTGATAAGTTCTTGATTTTAGTGTGTTTTGTTTTTGCAATAGAATCATAGGTTTGTTAGACATTAGCAATAATCTTTAATTTGATTTATACATTATTAAGAAACTTTGAGATGGATTCTAAAATAACTATCATATTTGGAATAAAGATAGTGGTGATTCATGTCTTTTTACAATTCTTGATGATTATTATCAATAAAAAGAATATTAGGAATAATTCAAATTCTTAATTAGTAGCATTAGGTTCTAGTAGCAAAGTGAGTTACACTTATTTAAATTCATAGAGACTTTCTAATCCTAGTAGAACTCTTCATCAATTATAAATAGAGATACCTGAAAATAGGAATATTTCTTAAATACCACATGAATAAAGACAGGATGATCAATAAACTGAATCAGTTTAATAAGATCAAATGAATGAAGCTATACTATCATCAGCAGAATTTGGAATATATTTAATAGAGAGTTTGAATAAAAATGTGTAAGTGATAAATTCTTAGTTATCCAATATTGTTATGAAAGAAGATTAACTAAGTACTCAATTTCTTGAAACAGAGTTGTATGACTTTGGATTGCTTCTTGAAGAATCATCTTTATTATTACCTAAATTCCATAGAAGTTAAGATATTGCACAATTCCTAAAATTTGCATAAACTTTAGAGTATTGTATAAGTTTATATTCTTGAGTTCCAACTAATTTGGATAATCATAATGAAAGCGATCCTTCATAAATCAAGAGATTACAATTATTAACCAAAAAAATGCAATTTAAATCATTCTTCGATAATCTAATTGCATTCAATCATTTGAAATTTTCAAACAATCATTCTTCTATTGATTTCTCCCTCAAAATTTATATAAAATTCGAATCTTGTTATTTACAAGTTGTTTTATCACCTCTTATCTACAAATAGAAACCTTAAATTGTGATATTTGTATCTGACATTACAGAAGATCCATATATTACTACAATATTGAATGCTAATAAAAATAATGATTTTCTGATCAGTGATATATCCCAAAAGATTAAATAACCTCTTAATTGTACTATTTCAATGTTAGAGATTATTATGGTATGTTATATCTAATTATTAAGAATACTACTCCTTCAGATATTAAAGAAAAATACATTAGTCCAGCACTTGCAGGATGTAAATTATTAATTAATACTGCTAATGATATTCTTGATTATGCATAATTGCAAAAGAAAGATAAATTAGATTTAGTTTAATTAGATATATAGATCTAAGAATTTATAACTGATATCATTAATGTAGTCAAATCTTAAGCCATTTTCAGAGGATTAAAAATATCTATTAATATTAAATAGAATGTTCCTTAATTCATTAGAACTGATCCAAATAGATTAAGATAAATCTTACTTAATTTATTAGTAACTTCAATATAAGCAACTGTTAGAGGTTCTATAATATTTAGTGTTTCCAAAAGTCAAATGTTGAATGAACATATAGAATTTGTTGTAAAAGTCAAAGCTCATGAAACTAATTTCTCAATTCTTAAAATTATAGAAAGAACAGTTAGATTCTTTAAATCATAAATATTGAAATAAAAAATATTAGATCTTGGTAGTCTTAGATAATATTCATAATCTATTTTGATTGCTTTTTATTTAACCCAATGTTTGTCCTAAATACCATTTGAATATAATTATGAACGAATTGGTAATAAGGAAGAATTCAGTTTTATCATAAAGATAAAAAACCTTTATCCATAATTTTATTAAAATGTCAATTAAAAAAGATTGTCTGAATTTACAAATTAATAAAGTTTCTATTAATTGTATTAGAATAAAGAAGGATTAAAAAGATATTAATCTTCAATGTCTAGTCTATAACCAGAGAGTTCAAATATAGAACTGAAAGAAGCAAGACAAAAATTAAATATTAACATTATCTAAAGTGAGAATAAAGAATCTAAAGAAAAACAAAAGTAAATTCAAGAATAATCTAATGAATCAGATGATAGTCTTTCTGACTAATAAGATGATGAAGTTTCAATAGAATCTAAGAATGGTATTTCAAATAGAGTGGAATAAATGTTAAAAATACAACCATACTTTTTTGATTATGTGAATGAAACTTAAAAGAAAATAGAAGGTGTAAGTTCTTAACCATCTCAATAATTAACATTTGGTGGATTAGGATAGGGTAGATCATCTATATACTCTTCTTTATGTTTTACTAGTGGTACTATGTAACCTAATGATTTATTGGATTGTTTTGAGAAGATGGAAAAAATTAAATAATAAAAAAACAAATTTAATTGTCGAGTATTTTTATTTTTATATTTAGTGTCCTAAAATATTAATATGTGAAAATGTAGATCTTGATCTTTATGCCTTATCCCATTAATTAACGAATATTGGAATCACATATGAGTATATAACATAGAGATCTCAAATAGTGAGTACTCTTGTTAAACTATTAAATAGCGATTTGTAATTATAGTAAAATAGTAATTAATAAAAGTAGAATATTGATAATCAACAATTAAAGATCAATAATGATAATTATTAAATGAGAAACAATGAAAATTAACTTTGTTGTAAAGGACTATAACTCTTATTTATTAGTATTGAATAATTTGAAGAGGAATTAAATATTTTATTCAATTCAATTAAAGAAGTATATGCAGAATTCAAAGTAGAACCAAGAATTATTGGATTGATTGGTTGTATGGATGAAGAAAATAGAGCCTAAACTAGAAAACTACCTTTTCATGATTATTTGTCAAAACCAATAATGATTGATGCATTACTCTTTATCTTAGCTAAATGGATCAAAATGAATTGATAATATAATTAAATATGTTTAATAAATGGTTTAAACCTACAATTCCTATTTTGAGAATTAATTCAGGAATTGATTATAATAGTGCTAAATTAGTTGAGGAATCCTTAAAGCCACTTTCTAGAATGAAAGCCTTAGCAGTTGTAATTAATTCCACAGGAGGTCTACTTGTTTAAGGAGAATTAATGAAAAAGAAAATAGAATTATTTGCAAAAACTCATAAATTACCACTTTACACTTTTGCAGAAGATTCTGCATTATCAGCTGGCTATTATTTATTATCAATTGGAAATAAGATATTTGTTGATGAAGCATCTTTAGTAGGTTCAATAGGAGTACTATATTTGAATCTGAAAATTTAGAATGTAACTAGGAGATTAGGATTTGAACCTAGAAAGTTTTCTTCAAATAAGTAAATTGATTTAAAATATATTTTAAATAGAATGCTCTTCCAAAATTATACAGGTTTAAATGATGAAAGGGATGAAGGAATGGAAAGTATTATAAAAGATTAATTTGGTATAATGAGATAATAATTTTTTGATCATTGTGATAAATATAGACCACAATTATAAAAATAAGATGCAGATGTTAAAGATTTAATTTATAATGCTAATATATTTACAGGAAAAGATGCTGTTAAATATGGGTAAATGATTAATAAATATAATTTATAGATTGGCTGATGAAATTGGAAATTTTGAAGAAGTTTTGAATCGAATTCATCCAGATTGTTAATTAATAGATATTACTAGAATTCCTCTTGGTTAATATTATATAATGAAATAACAGTAATCTTGATAGAATTCAATAACCATTTCACTGTGGAATATTATATAAATCAATTGTTTGAGATAATTCAAAAAATTTTGCATTCCTTTTTCTCATCTTTTTTTTTCTTACTATTAGGTTATAACATAATTTAACTCTATTTAATAGCTTACTAATTCATTAGTTCAGGTAAATTACTACCTCTAAAGATTTATTCATAATTTGAAAAATCTAATTATGTAATTGCTGATTTTTATTCTGCTTCAAGTTATGGTAAATTAGCTAAAAACTCATCAATTTATTTTTATATGTCTTCTAATTCATCTTTTGCTTTTATTGCTTTATTTGTGGTCTCTTATAATTTTACTTATTTTTAATCTACACTTTGAGTTTTTTCAATATTTGATTATTTAATTTCGATTTTCTTTGCTTCTATCTGTTATAATTGTTATGATAAAGTATTTTTTTAATAAGTTGCTTCAATAATATCTTCATCAAGCTTTTAAATCTTTTGTTCAGAAGAATTAGTATCAGGATTAGTATGAATCATATTCTTAAATGAATAAATTTACTGTCTTTTATTTGCTAATTCAGAATTCGCTAATTCTAAAGTTATAGTCAACTCTTCCTTTTATTTTTTTGCACTTAAAATTAGAATTCTCTCAAGGAATATACGTTCACAAAATTCACAAACTGGATGATAAACTTCATCCTTTAATTTTCTTCTTTTTACGATGCAATTAGAACAAGTGGACTTTCCACAAAAATCACTAATTTAGTATATTTATATAATACCAATGACTTGGACGTTCAAGTTCATCATCACATATATTACAAACTAATTTATTTTCAAATTCAGCTGCTATCTTAGGCTCAGGATTAACTATCTATTCACTTAGCATTATATATATATTATTTACTTATTATTATTTTATAATTAAATGATTAACTCTTCTTTGTTCAATAAACCTAAATAGAGATAAATCTATTTAATTAATACATCACGTAATTATACATAACCAAAATCAACTCCACATACTCATCTTAAATTACCTAATTGTTCTCCTTAACCTAAAGCTAATCATAGCAAATAAAAAAACAAACATAACTTTTTTATACATAAAATTCAAAGTTCATAATAATAAAGCCCTATTGTTAGATAATTAATTCCAAATAGAGATTCAAGTGAAAGCTTTATGAAAGATTTAGAATTATCAGGAAATGAAGATTTGAAAGATATAAATAAAAGTCTTCTGCTGACTTCTTAAGAGATTAATAAAAAAATGCAATTTAGTATTGAAACATATCTCAATAATACTTTAAAATAAAAAAGATTCAATCAAAATCTAAATAAGTTGATTGATTTTGATTTGACTTAAGACAACAGTTCATTTCATTCATTTGAATTCTTTAGAAATCGTAGATAAACAAATCTTCTACCAACCAGAGTTTATCATAAAAAGTGATAATTTTTTGTTTAATATATTACTCATAGCTTCATAAATTATTCATAATCTAAGAATAATGGAGAATTATCATAAGAAAGGCTTTTTGTTTATTTAGATTCAAACTCTATTTTCTGTAATTAAGTGGCATTTTAAATCATCAAATTTGTTAGAGGATCCTCCTTGTAATAATTTAATTATTGAATCAAAGCATTAGATAATTTTTCTAATGCAATTTAAGAATAATAATCTTGTTAATTCTACATTAAAATTCGAATATTTTCTAAATCTTTCAATAATTTATGGATCTACTTATTGATAAATTTATTTTTATTGAATTTGCTGTTATTTTATTGATTTTACAATTCTATTTATTTTATATCATTTCTATCTTATTATATAGATTTATGAATAAATATAGGTCCAGCATTTTCGCAAGACACCTTATTCTCCTTCTTTATGCTTGATCTTTTTGAAGGCTATGATTATTATCTTTTTAAATTAGGTAATATTTAAAAATTATTTAATCCCATCCTATTTGTGCCTTCCTCATCTGATTCAACCAAATCGAAACTATTTTTCTTGCCAAATTCAATATTTTATTCCTTTTATTTCATTTATTATTTTTATTCATTTTTTATAGGTTAATCAGTTGATGAACTATTTGAATTTAAATGTTGTTTAATAATATGATTCTTAATGAAAATAAGTTCTAAAACCGAAATAAGTTTGCTTAATGTGAAATTTTTTTAAATGATATCAAAAGGTCTTTTTTGTTCATCATTGTAAGTGAATAACAAGTAAGGGTTGAGAGAGTAAAGTTATAAAATAATTTTAATGTTTTCACTCTTAGCAGCAAAATGCATAACTATATATATATATATATAAATATTGATACCTGAATTGCTTTTGTGACCCAATAATTTGAAAGAAAAAACATCACGTTGGTATTATTCATTTATTGAAATAGCAAAACGTAATGCAGAATAAGAAGACTTTTTAATGGCTAAATGTAAAGGTGTATTATTATTGATATTTCTTAAATTAGGATCAGCACCTCTTTCAATAAGTAAATGACCTATTCTTGTAGCTTCTTACAAATTCTTTTTAAAAGATGGAATAAGATTATGTAATGGGCCATTTCCTTTTTTATCTTACTTGTTAATTTAGATTTTAGAGTTCAAAATATCTTTGATTAAATAGTATTACATTTTATTAACAGCTTAGTTGAGTACACTATTATATTCTCCACTAAAAATATTGAAAATACTATTATACCCTCCTATATTAAGATTGGTGGAAGCATTAATCAAGATTTTGGCACAGTGATACTTTTCTTCTTTGATTGCTAATGAAAGAGGAGTGTGAGAAGAATCATCAAATTATGAGGATAATTCAAATCTAATATTGAGAAGAGCTCTAACAATTCCTATATCTTCATTTTCAACTGCTATATGCATAAGATTTGATCCATTGTCAGATATATCCATATCAAATCCGAGAGTTTTAGTCTGCATCATTTGAGAACTGCTTGTCAATTCTTAAAGAGTTAATTCAGTATTTCTTTAAGTCGCTCTTGTAATATTTGACTATTTTGGAATTTGAACAGTAATTGAATCTTGAATTTAATCATCGTAATATTTTTGATTAAATATCAAGTAATCATGACAAATAATGAATTCATTATCTTTAAGGAGTTAATGTATTTAATCCCAAAATCTTTAAAGATCATCTGTAATTAACATGTCTTTTTCTAAGATTTATTTTAAACAATTTTTTACTTGAAGCAAAATAATTATTATTTGTATATTTAATCCAATCTAAACCAAGTCCTTTTAATTGTTTCTCTAAATTTAAAATAGATTTAGGTATTTTAGTGAAATCATTACTTCTTAAGTCTATAATTTTAAGTTATTCCAATTAAAATAATTCATCTGGTAATATACGAATATGATTTTTGCCAACATCTAATCTCTCTAATGATGTTTTCCATTTATCTCCTATTCTAAGAGTCTTTAATAAATTATTATTAAGATTGATATGTGAAAAAGAGAGTTCAAATAGACAGCTTGGTACTTCTTGAAAAAGGTTATTTGCTAAATTAATAATCGATAAACGAGCGTATTATCTGATACCTTCGTGCAAAGCAGTCATTTTGGAATTTGAAAGATCTAAAACTCTTACATTATGATCATAACTATTAATTAGATTCAAATTCTGCATCTTAACAATATACTTAGTATAGTTTTTTTTCATCAATGACATTTATCTATCAAAATTGGAATGCTTTTATACGTTTAATTTTCTTTTTAGCTTGTTTCATCAAAATCAAGGAATCCTCTTTGCTTTTCTTTAATGGAATATTCATCTTTAAGGTTCATATCCTTTCTTTTCTTAAATTGCATCTGATCCTATTCATATTAATGACAGGTATTTTCATAAGATTACAATGTATTACTCATAACTGATTGATATATATTTAATAATTGATTATCTGATTATATAATTGGAAATACACATTTGTCAATAAAAATTAATATAAAAGGGAAATCTAGATTAAATTAGAGGTGAATATATTCTCTTATTTAGCAATTAGAAAGGATATTATTATTTTTTTATTAAATTCTATAATGAATTAAACTCTAAAATTAATCTACAGCCCTGAAACATATGAAAAGATAACAAAAAGTAATATTCTAATAATTGGTGTGGGAGGAATAGGATGTGAATTATTGAAAGTCTTAACAAATAGTGGTTATAGAAAGATGACTATACTGGATTTGGATACAATCGAGGCAACTAATTTAAATAGATAATTCTATTTTAGAAAGGAGCATGTTGGAATGAGCAAGGTATTTTAAGATGTAAAAGTAGTCTTTAGTAGGTAAAGAAAGTGTAATGAGAAAACATCCCGATTTGGATATTACAGCAATACATGGATCAATATTTGATGGTATTATTAATATATAAACTAGAATAATATGATGTTGAGTTTTACACATAATTTGACTTTGTGTTGTGTGCATTAGATAATGCTTTAGCTAGAGAACATTTAGGAAGAATGTGTTTAAAAAGTAATAGAATAATGATTGATGCAGGAACAGGTGGGTTCAGTGGATAAGTAAATGTTATTAAACGATGTATATATTTATTATTAGATTAATAGTTTTGCATTAATGCAATAATTGTTAACCTTCTAAAGGAGCACCATAATTTGCTGTTTGTACTATTAGAGCAAGTCCATCTTAACCAATTCATTGTGTTACTTATGCTATGGCTTTATACAATTTATTATTTGGACCATTGGATGAATCAAATGTTTTAGCAGGATTATTAGATTTGGCTTAAATTTAATCATGCGATAAAAGTGATGTTGAATTGTTGAAATCTTTAGGTATTCGAACATTCAATAAATTATTTTATGATGAAATTAAACAAGGTTTAAAAGGATATTCAAAAGAAGAGGATGCTAATGCCATTAATCAAAATAAATATCCAATATCTTATGAAGATGGAATGTAAAATCATGAAGTTTATACAAATATAGATTAATCTAAAATTGATTAAGAAGATGATAAAGGTAGATATTTAACTAATCATTTAGTTTAACCATTTAGCTATTATGTAGATTAGTTTGTATTAAATTTTGTTAAAATTATGTAAACTCCAGGTGTAGGTTCATTTAAATTTGATAAAGATGACTGGGATAGTGTAAGATTTGTAGCAGCCACAACTAATATGAGAACATTTAACTTTACTAAAAAATTTAAAAATCTTGATCCAAGATTAGTTGAAGGAGATAAAATGAAATACTTGAGTGTTAATTAAGTTAGAAGTTTGGGAGGAAAAATTATTCCTGCTATAGCAAGTACAAATGCAATTGCTGCTGCTATATAAATTTCTGAAGCTTAGAAAGTTTTAGAGGAGAGATGGGGTAAATTAAGAATGAATTGGATTCAACCAACATATGAGAAGATTGCTCCAACTTTTCTTCCAGAACCATACAATACTTGTAATCATTGCAGTCATAGAAATGTTTATATGCATATATATTGCAATTTTGATACAACAAAATTTGCAACAGTAGTATAATTGGCCAAAAGCTTTGGTTTGAATGATTATGATATTTGTGGGTTTTCTGGAACAGTTTATGGTTTGAATAATAAGTAAATGAAGAGAGACGGATGCAATGAAAGGAATTACAATAAAATTTTGTCTAAATTTTATTAAAGAGAAAAGCCATATTCAAATTTAATATATTCTATCTATGAACAAACATCAGGAAAAAAATATTATTGGTAATTAGGATGCAAATATGAATTTATACTTATGCATAGACCCGATGTTGAAATACCTCAGATTTCCAAAAAGACCTAATTAGAGGATTCTTTCTAATAGTTGAGAACATTGAGGATACAGAGACATGAAGAACTAAATTAGATGAGATTAAGCAATTTAGAGAGATTTTCATTTTGAGATGAGAATTAATTTAATAGATTATTAGTATTAAAATAATATTAATTGAATTTACACGTGTGTTTGGGGTTAAATAAATGAAAAAAATAACCACGTTATATAACAATAATAAAAATGACAAATAAAACCAAGATACTTAACTATATGAGACCAGCCATGGCAATAATTCCAGATGTAGCTGAGCCTGAAAGAAGAGTAGCTAATTAAATTGATTTTAGATCTTATTTAAATACAGAGCATTATGGACAGCCATAGCAACATTGCTATATTTGATATGTTCTTAAATACCACTTTATGGTATTTACAAATCTTCTGCTGGTGATCCATTCTATTGGATGAGAGTGATATTAGCATCTAATAGAGGAACACTAATGGAATTAGGTATTTCACCAATGGTCACAGCTTCAATGATTATGTAACTTTTAGCAGGTGCTAAATTAATTGATGTTGATTAAAATGTTAAGGAAGATAAATAACTATACTCTGGAGCACAAAAATGTAATTATATTATTTATCTTAGTATTGGGAATCTTAATTGCTTTTGGTGAAGCATTTGCTTATGTTTGGTCAGGAATGTATGGTGATTTAGACAAATTAGGAGCAGGAAATGCTATTCTTATCATAATCCAATTAGTCTTTTCAGCTATTGTAATGATTATGATTGATGAATTACTATCTAAAGGATATGGAATTGGTAATTCAGGAACTTCATTGTTTATTGCTATTAATATATGCGAAAACATAATGTGGAAAGCATTCTCCCCTATCACTCATAAAACTTAACTTGGACTTGAATATGAAGGAGCTGTCATTGCCCTTTTACATGGACTCTTTATTTAAAGTGATAAGATTAGTGCCATCTAATCAGCTATCTTAAGAGATTCTTTACCTAATCTTACTAATTTATTAGCTACTGTACTTGTCTTTTTAATTGTCATCTATTTCTAAGGTTTCAAAGTAGATATTCCAATCAAAAATAATAAAGTTAGAGGTGGATTAACTTCTTATCCCATTAAATTGTTTTATACCTCCAATATTCCTATCATTTTGTAAACTGCTCTTGTTTCAAATCTTTATTTCCTTTCTTAAATCCTTTATAGGAACTTTAAAGGAAACTTCTTAATTCGTTTATTAGGATATTGGCAAGAATTAGAAAATGGACAAACCGTCCCTGTTGGTGGATTAGTTTATTATGTATCACCTCCAAGATCTATTTCAGAAGCAATATTTGATCCAATTCATACTGTTCTTTATACTGCCTTCATACTTGGAACTTGTGCAGTCTTCTCCAAAACTTGGATTGATGTCTCAGGATCATCACCTAAAGATGTATAATTATTAATAATTTTTAGGTTGCTAAATAACTTAAAGAATAAGATATGCAAATCGTTGGATACAGAGACTCATCTATGAAAGAAGTATTAAAGAGATATATTCCAATTGCTGCTTCATTTGGTGGTATGTGCATTGGAGCTCTTACTATTTTGGCTGATTTTCTTGGGGCTATTGGATCAGGTATTTAATTCGATATATATTTCTAGGAACTGGTATTTTGCTTTCAGTCACTATCATATATGGCTATTTTGAAACATTAAAAAAAGAAAAGGAATAAGGTACATTAGAGTTGTTTTGATATTTTATAGTATTATTTTAAGTACATCATAATTATTTTACAAAATTTCTTAAATTTAGAGATTTTTTATCAATTTTTAAAGATTTAGACTTAATTAATTCTCTTTTATAATCAGAACACAAATATTATTTTTTTTCAAAATATATTTAAATTAAGTATCACTAGGCATTGTAGTCTATTTACTGACTTCTGCTATTTTTTAAAGTATTATCAAAACTATCTATTTATTATTCATTTAATGTATTAATTACTTCAATATATATGACTTATAATCTTTTGCTGTGTTCTTTATTAAAAAATATTAATTTTTAATATGATCATTTCTTAAATTATAGTTTATAAGATAGATTATACTTTCTCTTCTACATAAACTCTATTTTTTTGTTCAAAAATTATCAATTTTTCTACAAATCCACCAAATACTCTATCAATTTTATCTAACTTAACAATAGTGTTCATTAATTAATTTTAGGGTATAAATAGCTTTAAATAATCAATCTTATACTTAGTAATATTTTATATTAAGAATTATTTTAATTCAAAAAGTTTTCTCTTTCAAATTATATGTACTTTTTTAATTTAACTAAAAGTTAAACATTCATTAAAATCTTTTTTAATAAATTTTCTTTTATTTATCTATTCTTCATTTAATATTATATAAAACTCTCAATTCAGCAAAACATTTTCTCATCTTCATTATTCATCATCAAATTAATTAACTAACTGAACGCTTTGTTAAATATAATTATTTTTTTAATTAAGTGAAATACTACTTTCTTACTTATTATATGTGAAAGTTCTATAAGAAAATTAACATCTAATGTGAGGTGAGAATAAAAACTTTCTATATTATAAAATATTAAAATGAATTAAAGAAAATATGAAAAGCAAAGCAGGAAGTCATCTCAAAATAAAAACTAAGATTTAGAATAAAACCCTAAAAGGAGATGGTCTAAGTAAGATACTCCAAGGAACTATGATAATATCAATAAATTATAATATAGTTTTGACTATTCCACGATAAATAACAAATATTTATAGTAAATAAGGAACAATACTAAAATTAAATAACTTATTGCTAAATAGAAATTCGAATAGCAGAATACCCATTTCTTTAAAATTCAACAAGATTTCCTTCCCAAACCCAAGTGGCAAAATTATTACGAAAGTTTATAATCAATGATAAATCAATAAAAATATTTTGCTTATCTTGACTATTAAGCATCTTGATATTCATATAATCAATAAATTAACATTAATTTTTTATTATTTTTTACCTTTAAACTTTATTACAACACTTTATAAACTATAACATTTTTAACAATTCAATACAATACTTTTATTTATATACATTAATCAATTTTTTTTATTATTCTTAAAAGAACTGCTAAAACTAATATAACTTTAGTAATTAAATAAAAATTACCTTCACTTTTAACATTACTTTTATTTTAGCTTACTTTAAAGTTTAAAATGAATAAACACATTCAAGATCATCATTATAGTAATATAATTGAAGATTTTAATATTTGAAGAAAATTTGTTAATTTTGATTAAGTTTAATAAAAAATACCATATCTGAATTTAATCTAATAGTTTTATAAATGTTAATAGTTTTTTATCAAATTTAGAATAATAATTTAATAATGGATTTAAAGTTCTGCCTAAAAGAAAGCCATTAAGGTTAACCAGTATCTTTTATTCTAAAATAAAATAATCATTGGACTTTATGTTGTGGAATTTGTTAATATGAATCCGATCTCCCAAAAAAATCATTCAAAGCTATAAAAGATCTAGAAAAAATAAACAAAGAAACAATAACAGTTATTAACTCATCAGAAATCATAAATTAATTATAGAACTCATTAAAGTTAGTAAAAGATTGGCAAACAAAGTTTGAGAACTACTTAGTGGAAGTAAAAAACTTATTTTTACAAAAAATAAACTACTACAATTCCTTAATAGAAACTCTAAATGAAAAAATAGAGTTCTTTATCTTAAATGATGATAAACTACAGGAAGTTCTGAATTGTAGTGAAAAAATAAACTTCCTTATAATAAAATAGGCTGATGAACTAAAAAACTTGGAAATGGATTTGAAGAATGCATATGAAATTTTAAAACAAAGCTCAATATCTGAATTAGTAGGAGATGATATAAAAATAAACTTAGTAGAAGTGAATCAAAAGGATAATAAAGAAAATATTTAATCAAATTCTATCATAAAGGAATAATCAAGATCTAATGATTCCAAAGAAAAAATCATAAAAAATTCTGGGGATAAATTAGAAACCCCACAAGGTAGAAAGTAATTATTTTATTCTATTAACTTAGAAATTCGAATATCTAAGATTAAGTATAATAATTAGAATTTGGAAAATTGTAAATAAATGAAAATGAGTATTATGAAGGTCAGTTATAAAAAGGAATGATGCATGGAGAAGGAAAACTTATAAAAACAAATCTAAATTATGAATTTATGTAATTATTATTATTTGCCTGTAGTTATGAAGGTTAATTTTAAAACAATTAAAAACATGGCAGAGGCAAAGAGACAATAATAGAATTCGATATTTAAGATTTGAGTTAATCCTTTTTTAAGAAGATGACTATATATAAATCAGGCAATTCAAAGAAAACTGAATTAATTGGAGAGTTTAAGAATAATAAGAAAATTGAAATATTTACTAAGATTTTATATAATAATGATGTTAAAAAGTCAGAAAGGTAAATAAATTTTATTAAATTAGTTATTAATTTTATGAAAATGATGTTTTAATAGGAGAGGATTTCTGATCAATATCATAATAAAATTAAATTTTAATATTAACTCACAAATCATCAATTTATATAGATTCTTCTTCATCTTCATAATTTTTCACTCTTTTTGGAAAGATTGACACTTTCTTTCTAAAAATCATTTTAAAGACTATGTATCCCAGAAAAATAATGAAAACTATATATACAATAGCAAATAATAGATTTTTTAGTTAAGGTTCTTACCTTTATAACATTATTTAATTTTTCAGTAATAATTAATATTCATTAGAGCTAAAATTAAAATTATTATTATTCGAATTAATAGATGCAATCAATTAAATTGATTAAATATTCTAGATAGGTTCATATAATTCATTTAAGGTTTCATGATATTAGCTTAAATTATAGTATCCTTTTGTATATTCATTCGTTTTATTTTTATAAACTATTTTTGTTATGATAAGTATTTTGGAAATTTCTAATTCATCACATTTTAATTATTCACAATCAATAATCTAAGTAGAAAGAATAAGGCTTTTGAGTTCTTATTAATATTTAAGGGGGGATAAAAATATATGATTAGAAATAGTTTTAATGATTTCACAACTTTTTTCTTATACCTAAAATGTAATTTAAGAGTTTATGCCTGCTATCATAAAATAAATAAAAAAGCTATCCTTTTATTTATTGATGAATAAGACTTCATAATAATTTGATGCAATTTTCTTAATTTCTGATTCGCCATCTCTATTTAGAATTTCAATTTTTTCTTATATATCTTCTTTGAAATAAAAATAATATATATTATTATTATTATTTTCTAACTTAAATATTTCTACTTTAAAATCAATTGATGAAATATCTTCTTCAATTTTAATATCTAATATTTTTGTATCAGTTATTTTAAGTTCAATATCTTATTAAATTTTACTTCTAGTAATTATAGTGTATAGCAATCCCTCTTCCATTAAAAGAGATAATCTCAGATAATTTTTTGAATGATAAGTTTATGATTAGCGAATGAATTTACCATTCTCAATAAACTTTATTTCAAATAGAGAATGATCTTCTTCATATTTCATTTAATGATAATATATATGGAATTACATTTCTCCATTCGATTTTGATAAATATTTGAACTCCATCTAACATGTTTTACAATAGTTAATTGTTCTTAATTAAAACAAATTTAAATGATAGAATATAGGTTCTCTTATATATAATTAATATTCTATAGTTCTTTATTTAGTTTTGATACCAATATACTATTTATTATTTCCATTCATTTAAATTGTCTTAATATTCGATTCTATTAATTCAAATTGATTTTAATGTTCATTTGGAAATTAAGTTTGATTGGAAAAATAAATTTAGACCAGAAGTTCATAATCATAAACAAATATTTCAAATACGAATTCAGAAAATATTGTGTGAACACAAAAGAATTAATAGGAGTTCTCTTCTTATTCTAATCTAAAATTTGAATTCAAATAGAGAATCTATATTGTATTAATATATTATAAAGTTAAATTTTAGTGTGATGTAGATTAAATATAAAAATTTTAATCCCAATCCTGAAAATTTTATTGTTCTTTTAGCAAAATTATAACATTATTATAAAAGTGTTTTCTAGAGTTTTAGGAGAATTAGATTGCTTTTATCTTTTAATTTAAATAGATAAAATTTAATTCATTTAAATCATCTAATACAAGAGAAGCTTCTTTATTTAGGGTTTCAATTTACGTAATTCTATTAGGTTTTACATATTATACATTAGCAGAACTATAGTGTTTAAAAGTTAAATAATAATATGTGGAATTATAAGTAGTTACTTTAAGTTGATGACTACAAAGATCTTAGAAAGAATCATGGTAAATTTAAATGCATTCTATTTATGAAAAATTAAGTAATAATTTGGTCTCATTATTTTAATTAAAACAAGCTTCATTTTTACAAGTTTAAAGTTCCAAATTTCCAAATCCATAATAATAATTAATTTCAATTAGATAAAAGCCAGAAGTTTCATAAGTCATATTGATAAAATAAAATACTTCTGAAGAGTTTTTAGTAAAACCTAATTCAGGTTGAAATCTTGTGAGAAATCTTGGAAATTTATTAACCTAAACATTATACTTATACCATTAATCTTAATACTATGGGGATGGATCAAGTATGATTTCGGTTTTTAGATTAGATAATTAATAGTCTTTACATATAAAAAGTCCATATTAAGCTTCTTCAATTTTGACTTCAAGTAATTAAAGGAATTAAGTAGTTGTATTTTAGATTTAGATTGATATTGGTGTTGGAAAATCAAATTAAAAATCGAACCATAAAAAGTCTTTATCTAATAGTTGTTTTTCTTCTTTTGTAATGTTTAATTCGATATGTAATGAATTGTTAATTCTTCCTTTTTATTCAAATATCAAATAACAAAGAGTTTATGTAATATAAATAAGAAAAAATAACATAAAATAATTATATAAATTATTTTCTTATGAGTCAAGTTGTTGTGTGGGATAGAACAAGATTGAAAAGAGTATTTATAGAAAAGTGTTAAGAAGTGATGTGAAATTAGAGAATAGAAGAGTTCATGAGTATTTTAATATGAATAAATCGTTGTTTGAGAAATTAATAATTATATAATATTTCTTAATCTTTAACTTCGAGTTGAATGATGGATGCTTAAGATAGAATAGTTGTAGCTATAAGAAAAAGGCCTTTATCTTAGAAGGAAATTATTAAAAAGGAGGAAGACATAATAATAATGTAAAATGATAACAGTGTGATCGTTAAAGAAATAAAGTAAGATTAAAAATATTAAATGAATTTAGATAAAAAGTAGACTTAACAAAATATATTGAAGAACATTAGTTTAATTTTGATCTAGCTTTTAATTAGAATAATTCAAATGAATAGGTTTACATAAATGCTGTTAGACCCATAATACGTGCAGCCTTTTAGAGAGCCAAAGTGACTTGTTTTGCATATGGTTAAACTGGAAGTGGAAAGACATATACAATGATAGGAGATATTGAAAGATAAATACCTGGAATGTATTTATTAGCTGGTTAAGACATATTTTAAATAATTGAAATGGTAAAATAATAAATTTAATTATAATCTTAGGAAGAATATACTCATCTTTAAGTATATGTTTCATTTTTTGAGATTTATTGTGGAAAATTGTATGATTTATTATCTTAAAGGAATTAAATTTAGATAAGAGAAGATGCTAAAGGTAATGTGAATATGATTAATTTAATGGAAAAAAAAATTAATTCAGTGTAATAATTAATGCATTTTATTTAATTAGGTTAGAATGTTAGAATTACAGGTATATATATTGAAATATAATTAGCATCAAATAGTTCAAATTCTGAATCTTCTAGATCACATGCAATATTGTAAGTAATATTAAAATCAGGAAAAACAGTTCATGGGAAAATGTCATTTATTGATTTAGCTGGTAGTGAAAGAGGAGCTGATGTTTAAGATTAGAATAAATAAACTAGAATAGATGGAGCAGAAATTAATAAATCATTGTTAGCATTAAAAGAATGTATTAGAGCATTGGATCTTAATAAAAATCATACACCATTTAGAGGATCTAAATTAACTTTAGTATTAAAAGATAGTTTAACTGGAAATTGTAAAACTGTTATGATTGGAAATATATCTCCAAGTTCATAAAGTAGTGAACATACTCTAAATACATTAAGATATGCTGATAGAGTTAAAGAATTAAAAAAACCTGAAAATAGACTCTATTAAGGTGATTAGATGTAAAGAGAATTAATGTTGGCAAGATAAGCAAGTACAATAATTTTTTATAAATATAGAAAATATTACAAGAAAATAATTTAATGATGAAGAGGATTAAGAAAATTAAAGAAGTTTTAGTCCTATTTCTAATATTAAAAGATAATCTTTATAGTAACCATTACAAACTTCTACATAAATGTTTAATAATTAAAATTTAAATTTTTAAAAAGAAAATAGAAAAAGTGATATTGCATCTGCTATTAATAAATTTAATTTATCATCTATTCCATCTATTAATTTAAATTTTAATAATACTTAATAACTTAATCAATCTTATCATAATAATAATAATTATTTTCCAACTCATCAAAGAATTAATTCAGCAAGTAGCTATTAAAATGATCATGATCATTTCAATAATAGTTAACATAATTTATTCTTAAAAACTTAAAATTACTCCTAATAACATAATCAATTATTTTAATAACATTAATTTAATTAAACTACTAATTATAGTGATTTATTTAATGAATCTCCTTATTAATCATAATAAGAATAAGGATTTCGATAATTAAATTAATAAGCTGTTTAATAGAGTTAAGAATTTGAAGAAGAATTAGATTATTCCCTTCCTTAAAAATCATAAAGATAAGAATAAATGAATCATTCATCTATTGTTTAGGATCATAAAAATTTAATTGATAAAATTATTGAAATTTCTAAATTGGTATCTTAATATTATAATTATTATTAGGAAATGAAAGAAATTACTATTTATGAATAATAGAATGATATTCAATCTTATCTATAAACAATATCATAACAATTACAATAAAAGCTCGACCTTATTTAAGCATTCTAATAGAAAGTTTGTGAAGTTTAATAGCAAAGTCAACATTGGACATTTCAACCAAATGATAGCTAAACTAGAGATGATTTATTTCTATATACTAATTACTGAATCAATAATAATATATAAATAAATCAAAACTGTGTAAAATCATTGTTGACAAATGACCAGCCATTAATATAATTAATTGCACTCGATTTATCTGCAGAAAGTATAAAATCAAAAGGAATATCAAATTTTTAATTAAGTATTTCTTCATTAATTACAGGAATTGGCGGTTTATATTTTCTTTTTTTTAATATAAAGATAATACTTATTTAATAAATCCTTCCAATTAATTAATTTTAGAAATGGATGATCTTTAATTTCATCAGCATCTCTTGATGAAGCACCTAATCTTTACATTGGATTTTTAATTAATAATTATTAAATAATAGATTTGCATTCTTTTGTAATAGATTCTGGAAATTGAATATTATTTTATTCAATATTATTTATCATTTCATCTCTATTAGCTGAAAAATAAGGTGGTCGACCAGTAATCATTTCGTATAATAAGATTCCTAATATTTAGAATTATAATATATACCCATATGATACCAATCAACTGCTCTACCATGACCTACTCTTTTAAGCATTTCTGGAGCTAAATATGCCATAGATCCACAAAAACTTTTAGCTCCATAATTATCATGAATTCCTTCTTTTGATAATCCAAAATCTGTTAACATAGCATGTCCATATTAATCAATAACAACATTCTCAGGTTTTAAATCTCTATATATTATATCATTTTAATGTAAATGTTCTAAAGCAGTTAATATTTCAGCAAAATATAATTTAGCTTACTATTCTGGTAATCTTTATTATCTTTATATTAATTTAGACAAATCTCCACCAGGACAAAAATCCATTAATAAACACAAATGAGTATTAGTTTAAAATGCATATCTTAATTTTACTATAAATGGATGATTTAAATAAGATAATATATTTCTTTCAGTTAAAGCATATCTTAATAGATTTTAACCTAGGAATTTATTCTTAGGTAAAACTTTCATTGCTAATTTTGGTCCTTAATTAGGTCTACTAGTTATTCTCTTTTCAACCAAATAAACATCACCAAATGATCCTTTACCTATTTGTAATATTATTCTAATTGATGATGGTCCAATTACTTCATTATAATCTTATGCAGGATGAATGTATGTTGTTGATTTGTTTGAATGTGAATTCATATTTTCAAACTTTTAAGGAGACTAACAACGACTTAATATTTAATAAGCATTTGTTTATTATTTACTATTAGGTGAAGTTATTACTCTTTCAGATGATTCTTCAAATATTCTAACTCTTTAACATTAGTTAAATGAATCTTATTTCATCTTAATTAAGTTGATTCACTACCTTCAAGTGTTTATCAAATAATATTTTTAGATCATGGCAATGTTAGACTAAATCATAAGGTGTTTTACTATCTAGATTTCTAATATTGATCATTATTGAAGGTCTAGCCAATAATATTTCAGCAACTCTTTTATGTTCTATGTTTCAATCAATAATATACAAAAATAACAAGCATAATGTAATGGAGTATTTTAAAGATTATCTATATGGTTAATATCAGCACCTATAGTTAATAATAATGCTAGTATGTATTCACATCCTTTTTATGCACAAATAATTAATGCAGTTTAACCTTATGAATTTGTTAAGTCACAATCTGCCTCGTTTTTTAAAAGCAATAATGTTAACTCGTAATTCTGATTCATACAACTATAATGTAATGGAATCATTCCTTTGCTAATAATTAATATGAAATACCATTTTCATCTCTTGTATTGATTTCAGGCTTCAAATCTTTTGATGTAATATCTAAAAGTTTCTCTACTTCTTTTATATTATTTGATTTCACATATTTTAATAAACAAAGATTATTCTCTTTTTTCTATTGCCACCAACCTTACCATGCTGATTGATGTCTCTTCTTTAATTTTGACATATATTCTCTATTTGCAGGGATTTTCTCAGTATTTCTAATATCATAAACATTCCCTAAAATTTAAATATTTAACTACCTGTATCTTAATCTTTTATTAAAAAGGCAGCATCATTCTAACTAATATTTTAATACAAATGAACTGGTGCAGTGTTTGTATGATAATGAGAAGATTTCCATTACTATTCATCCATATAACTTGGTTATTAATCAAAACCAATTGAATTTTTTGAACTAGATTTATTACTATTACAATTTGATAAACTTTCTTATGAATTTTAATATATTGGTTATCTTTGATGCTATTTAATAATTTTTATACATGGCTTCTAAATTATAATCCTTTGTCTTTTGTGTTTTCTTACCCTACAAATCAATTCCTTTTATGGATTATTCTCCAACTTTGTAAATTTACTAATTGCTAACCCTTGGTGTCGGTAACATTTATTAGCGTTGCATTGTAAAACAGATTTATATTAAATAAACTTAATATTAAATTATACATTTCATATATATATATTCTTACAAATAATATTTCTATATTTCTCTTAATCTTCTTGGTTTCAATTTTATTTTAGCATTTATTCATTATAATCTAATATTTTTTTTAATGTCAAAATTGCTTTTTTTTTATAATCTTATTCTAATATTAATCATCACTACAGTAAAGTTTAATTGTCAGAAAATGCTATGCATAAACATTTTTTAAGTTAATTTTAAATTATATGATAGGTGATCAAATATTTTTATAATTAAAAAAAATTTTGTTCTTTTTTAAGCATAATTGAATTCTAAATTATATATTTAACTACCAAAAATTCTGTAAAAAATATTTAATTATTTTTCTGAATTATACATAAAAATTATTAAAACCTCAAGAATAATACTGTGTAAAACTTCAAATTATAAAATTAGAAAAGAAAATTAAAAAGTGAAAAGTAATAATAAATTAAATAGTCACAGTTAGGGTGTAGAATTATTAATTCTTAAATATTTTTTAAATAAATAATGTCAACATATTTATTAAATCTTTTTAGAAATAATTCATAATGTTTAAATAATCTATTAATGCAAATTTATCTATTAATTTTCGAATATAATCTTAAAAATTAAATCGTATCTATCATTAGCATTTATTTTAATTAATTCTTTAATAGGATAAAAGTTTTTTAATAATTCTGAAAAGATGAAAACAGTATTTATTTTTTGCAAACATATTAACAAAATTCTTTCTGATATGTTTTTGTTATTTTGGTTATTATTACTCACTTAAGAAATAATATTATCTAGTTAATTCCATTACCTATTTACTATTTAATTGAATATTTAATTATTTAATCCTTTCTTTTTCATCTCAGCTACAATTTAATCTAAAATATCAGGATAATCATTTAAATATTAAAGTTTAAATTCAACTATTTCGTCATTTGTATTAGATACATCCCAATTTTATAAGTTCCCTCTGAATCCTGTTTTAATTTTTCTTTTTCTTAGCAAACTAATTCTAACATTATAATTATAGGGCGTAGTTAATTTTAGTATTAATTTTGTTTCTTAAAATATCTTTTTAAACAAATTTTATTTTTGAAAGAAACTCCATGACCATTAGTCTTCCAGTATTTTATTCATCATTTTTGAATAATTTCTCAATTAAATCGTGTATACTTATATGTTCAAAATTGAAAATCAAAAATTTAATAAAAATTTTTTTTAAATCTATTTTAACCTAAATTAATTTAGGTCTTTTGTTTGGTTCAACTATGCAACTATTATTAAATTTTAAATGTGAGGATCAATAAAATTTATATTGTCTTATAGAATACATGATCGAAATAATAAAATTTCCTAATTTTATTAGTTATCAAACAAATATTTTCCATACAAGAAATATAAATCATGCCACCTAAAGCAAAAAAAGTCATATTTTCATTATATTAAATTTAAGATGCTTAATTATTTAGAATTTAAATTATTATTTAAGGAGGTATATTTAAATTCCTAATCAATTCTAGAGAATTAGGAATTAAGTTTTCAGAACCAAATTTACAAAGTATGTATTTAACAACTTTAGCATTAGGAGCAATTTCAATTTTTTCAGTTTAATCTACTACTTAGAAATATGACTGATTCAACATTGGAATATGAACACTTGATAGAATAAAACTTTTACCCTGATTTTTCGAGTTCGATTAATTGCTCGATTAATTTTTCAATAATTAAGTAACTAATATATTTATTATTTGGTAATTCTTAAATCTATGCATGCATATCTTAAAATTATATTGAACTAGAAATATCAAAATCTGAATAAGTTAAAATAAATTGATCTTGATTTTCTTCAAAAAAATTTTATTTGGGAAACAAAAGTTCTAACTCTTTCTTGGTGTTTCTTAGTCATTTCTTAAAAGATCAATCTATAAATAATAAATAGTTTCTCAACCTAATTATATTGAGTTAAAGTCAATTTGTTCTTCTCCAAAGTGTATGTAAATAAAATTATTAATGAAATAGTCAAAATGAAAAAATTGAAGTATTCTAGAAATTTTCTATTAAGTTCTTTAATTAAATTTTTGTTGTTTAGCCAATGACTATTTAATATTCCCTTTTTTAAAAAAAAGAATATAATTAAATTAACTTAAATTCAAATTAATTTTTATTTTCTACATTCATACATAATAAAGGATTAAATTTAAGATAAGAAATGGTCCTTTTACAATATTAAGCAAATAATATTTCTCTTAACTAGTGAAAAATTGAAAAATATTCATTTTCTAATCTTTATTTTCAGTTATTGATTAAAAACAATTCGTAAAGCTATTCAAATTTTAAAAAACCCTACTTTAGAAATCACCTTTTAGAAATTAAAAAATGCAAAATCAATCGCTTTAGAAACAATGAAGTTATTATCAATTTTAATATTTTAGTAGAATAATTAAGCCACCTTTGATAGAATTAAAAAAAAATAGTTCTAAAATTATTACAATTTAAGAAGTTTAAATAGTAATTTAAAATAAATAGTTGTTTTTACCATTAAAAAATAACTTTTAGCGATAAAAATAACTACTTAGATATAGATTAATGCAGGAAAAATAATCATGGCAAAATAACTAATCATTTTATTGAAGAGATAGTTTAGAAAATAGAGTTTGGAGAAAAATAATAATTAAATAAAATGAATTTATTTACTAATTTAAAAAAATTAATTTTGAATAGGCTTTATTTATATTTATAAATATAAATATATTTATAATAATCAATTGAATGATTAAGTTAGTTCACATAATTGATCATAAATATCTTATAACTAACTATGTGTAGTTGTGAAAGAAAAGTTTTCTAATTGACTGTGTTAAATATCAATCTTATTATCAATAAAAGATATATTGCACTCATTAAGATTGTAAATCATTTAAGCCTTTAAACTTTTCTAATTTTTAAAAATCTAAATTTATCTATTATTAAAAATCAAATATCTAAAATAATATAAATTATTACTTCTCTTAAATTTCTTCATCCTCAAATTGTACATAACAAATACCAATATTTTTAATAAAATAATCAGTTGATTCACTACTAAATTCATTGCTGCTCTTTTTTGATGAAGACAAAGAATTTGATGAGTCTTAAAATGATATCTCATTAATATTTGGTCTTTGTTTAGGATCATGATTTAAACATTCTAATATTGTTTCAGCTATTTTATTATGTCTATCCCTAAGTGTAGATGGTAAAATTCCTTTTCTGGCATCATTAATTACTTTAATCATTTCCATAGATGTAGATATTGGATGAAACAATAACAAAATTATTAATCCTAATGCATAAATATCACTTTTTTAATCATAAAAAGCTTTATTTATATTTTAAGTTATTTATTCTGGAGCAGCATACATTTTTGTACAAATCTCATCATCATTATCTTGATCATCAAAATCATAAAATTGTTTTAATTTTGTAACTAAACCAAAATCACCTATTTTAACATCTTCTGGACTATTCATAAATATATTTCCTGGTTTCAAATCTCGATGAACTAATTTACATTCATTATGTAAATAATCTAATCCTTTTATTATTTATTCTAATATAAGTTTAGCCTCTTTTTCATTATTTTAAAGTTAAAGTTAATATTTTTCAATATTTTTTTTTTTGAGTTTCAGTAATTCATTATTTCTTTATTGTAAATAATTTTCAAGTGTCTATTAACAAAACTCAGTTTAAATGTAAAATATGATTTTATCAAACTCTAATTTTTTCTCATCTTAACTAGTTGATTTTTTATTCTAAGAATTATGATTTTACTTTTTTCTGTTCACTCTAGATTTTGTTTAAACTTCATTTTCTTATTCTGAATAACTTATTTATTCATTTTAAGTATCTTTAAACATAATCAAATTTTCAAGATCATTCTTTGAATTAGATTACGAATCATAAAAACTAAAATTATTTCGTTCAATAACGAAATCATTTTAATCCTATTCTTATTTTCTCATAATCTTATTCTAATCTATTTTGTTCTACATAACTTCAACCCAAGAATTGAAATATCTAATAATTTTGGGATGGGATAGACGGGCTAAATATTTGGCTTCTAAGGAACTTATTGATTAAAATAATATACCTCTTTATGCTCTCTCAATATTTTTTTCAAGGCTATCTTTAATGTCCTTAGCTTTGAGTTCAATCTAAAAAAATATATAAACACAATTTACTTTTTTCAAAGCATAAGTGTTCTTATCTAATAAGTTGCTCACCTTATAAACCTTAGAGAATCCACCCTTTCCTATCCTCCCTAGTACCTTGAAGTCTGATTCTAATCTCTAACATAAATATTAAGTATTTAAGTATAAATATATCGTAGATTATCATAAATAATGTAGTATTAGTGTTAATTTTACCTTAGACTATAAGGTGGCTAGTTTGGCAAGATCGATTGGAAACATTATTTAACAAATTTATCAGAAAAAATATAATTATAATACAACATTATAAAATTTAGTTAAATATCTTAAAAAATAAATAATCATATCTTGATTTCTTGGTATATGCTATCATCACTCATCAAATCCTGGCCTTTTTTATCGATTTCTTCCTAAATTAAAAATATTAAATCATTTATATACTTAGTCATATTATGAATTGAATGTCTCAATTTTTTATAATTATAATTCTTATTTAATTGTATCTAAATTAAATTTCAGCTTTTCGTTTTCCCATTATAGGGAGGATACTTAGTTTTACAAACATGTAACATAATCTTTATTTGAAGATTCTTATTATATGTCTGTTAATTATATATTCCTTTGACTTGAAGATTGTAAACATTATTATTTTAAAGAGGGTTATATTTTAAGTTTCCTAGTAGGATGATATGAATTAAATAACTATATTGGTACTTAACCAAATTCAGCTACTTAGGTTTCTAAAGCCTATTTTTCAATGGATGTTCTGCATTAATTCCAGTTAATATTTTCAGCATAAGTATATGGATAGAATAAATTATCTTATTTAACAGCTTCATCTCCTCTAGTTTTGAAACCAAATATTAAATCGATCCATTTAGGAAGTTAAGTACTTACATAATCACTTTCTAAGGCTATTCTCATTTTCAATAGAAAATCAGTCATAGAAGTAGCCCAAGGTGGTATTATAGCATCATCTATAATTTCACCTTCTTAAGTCATTCCCAATTCTAATTTATCACAATTTATTAAGAAATCTGGATCAAGTGAATAAAATTCAGGTATTAATTCTTTAGAATCAGCATGTAAATTTAAGGTTGTATACCATGTACTATCAATACCTCTAAAAATGCGATCGGTTGGTCCAAATACACCATTTTAAAGTTTAATAACAAATTCTGGTATTTTTCTTATTAAATAATAAACAACTGTACCAGGACTAGAATAATGAGTTGGATATATATAAGGAATCACTTCATTATTATTTTTTTGATTTTTCAATTAATCTTAATATGACTATTTGTATTTTTGTAATCTATGTTTATTTAAAGCACCAACAGGACGAGACAAATCTCTAAAAAATTCTGGAGATGTTAAATCAAAATTCTTATCTGTATATTCTGCAATAATCCATGGAAATACAGGATAAGCAGATAGATCACAATAGCTTCTGCTGGAGAAAGTATTTAAAGACATTAAATAATCAAAATTACTTAATTCTCCATTAACCCATAGTTCAGTCAATTTATCTATAGTGATAGAAGCGATTTAATTTTTTGTAGTTTTTCTTATAAGATATTTATAAACAGTTTCAAGTTATTATGTATCTTCAAAGACAAGTAAAACACTTCGTTTTTTATTAAAGAACCAGATTTCTAAACCGATATATTTAAACATATAACGATACTTTAAAAAGAATTTAATATCAGTCAATTACCACATTAATATTTTACCTTTAGGTGAATTGATTAATGGTATGTATTTAATACCTTCATCTCTTTAAATAGAAAATAATCCATATATATTTCCTTCCGGTTTAATTAATTTACATTTAACAGCAATTTCAATTTTAAGTCCTTATTAAGATGATTATGCTCTATGTTCATTCATAGCTTCATTTAAAGTTGTATTGATGATAGTACCAATAAATGAGTTTTCATCTTCAGCTTGAGTAAGTCCTTAATAAAGTTTAAGAAATCTGATAATATTTTATTTTGAATTTGATTATGAAATTGAAAATACAATATTTTCATCACACTACATTATAATGAAATTAGTTTACAGTTTCAGTGATGTAGGGACTAATAGGATTTCTATTAATAACAAACAGTTTATCAACTCTTAGAAACATAATAGTAAATTGTGTATTGGCAGTTCTAGATTAAACTTTATAAAGCCTATCTAATAATTCATTATTTTTATCTCTTTTAAAATGTTGAAACAATTAGTTAATATCTAAAGCATCAATATCTTCCATTAATAGAGAAGGAGTCCATTTGATTTACATAATTTAATTCATGGTTTTTGTATCAATGTTACGTAAAATCTTCATAATAAGGTTATTTGAGTATTTCATTTTAATCATTGGCAATTTTGGTTAGTTTGGCTAAAAGACTAAAGAACGGGAACAAATGTGTAATTTACCACGAATTCTATTGCTATTTCAAGATTTATACTCATTGTTATTATGAAGTGAAACTTTAAGTGATAGAAAGTAGTATTCTTGAGTTTCTAAATGTAACAAATTGAATTCCTATTTAGGCTTTCGTATGGAAGAGAGTGAGAAAAACATTAATTAATTTATTATATAATGTCTTAAAGGAAAAAAAAGAGAGATCCAACACCAACTAGAGTTGCTTTGGTTTGTCTTAAGACTACACAAAATAATATATAAATCAATAACTAATCATTGCTTAAGATTTTCTCCAAGCATGGTTCAATATCGAAAGTATTATTATAGATGATATTTAATAACATAGATATTAATATTTGAGAGAGGCTAATTGTTAACCAAAGTGTTTATTGAATATGATGAAGTAAATTCTGCTATTGATGCTATTAAGTATACAATTAGGTTAAATATTGTAGATATTTGAACAATACAAAAATATTGAATCAAATTTCATGTAATGTCTATCATTCTCGTTTAAAATAATTGAAATTAGATACAGTGCCTTATACTAAAGGACTTGATTTTACAAATCCACCTTCTAACATTAATGATCAAGTTGAATAAATAGAATAGCAACTTGAAAATAATGATAAAACATTTAATAGTAATGAATGGCAAGACTTTTAATTTGAAAATAGATCAACAGATGAAGTTTCAGATGAAGAGGAACCTCAATTTTCAGAAGAAAAGATGAAAGATATAATTACAAAGCTTAATTAAATTGATGAAGAGATAAATTAAACTATTGAAACAAAAATTGTTACTGCCTTAGATAAGCTTAAGCAAACTAATTAATTAACTAAGTAATAATAAAATCAATTAATTCAAATTAATTAATGAAGGTCCCTAAATGATATATTCAAAATTTATAATTTCTCTCTTTCACAAATTGTAATAATTTAATTATTTGCTATCTAAATATTTTATAATTAATGAGAACCTTTCATGCAAATTAAATTAGACTTACTCTCAAATAAACTTTATTTAAGGGTAAAAAGTATCAATTTTAATCCAATGAGAATATTCAAATAAATGAAATACCTTCTGTTACTTTATACAAAAATTTTGATGAAATTTATTGTTATAAGAATAAGAGTCTTGGTAATGGAATTAAGTATAATAGGTTAGGGAGCACATGGGATTGTCAAAATATGTTATAATAAATAAGATGGTAATAAAATTCAATATGCAGTAAAAATATTTCGCACTGGTGATCCTGAAATAATTAGTACAATAAAGAAAACATTTAAGATCAATAGACAACTTAATGATTTAGAATGTGTGATCAAAGCTATAGATTTATTCATTAATGTTACAAAAGAAGAAATTCATCTTGTAATGGAATTATGTCCTTATCCTTCTTTATATAAATTGCTTTAATCTAAAAAATAACCATCAATAAAATAGCAACAATTACTGATATTAGAATTAGCCAAATCAATCGATAAAATTCATAATAAATGCATTTGTCATAGAGATCTTAAACCAGACAATATCTTAGTGTAATTGACTGATGATGATGCAAAAATCAAAATAATAGATTTTGGAGTATCAAAAAAATTTGTCACAAAAACAAGAAATTCTACATTGAATATTGAAATGTGGACAAGAACAGGTTCATTATTTTATTAAGCACCTGAAATCTTTGCTGGAGGTGGTTATAATTAAAAAGGTAAACATAAATACTAATGTAGTTGATATATGGTCTATAGGAGTTATAGTTTATTAATTGTTTTGTCAATAATTACCATTTTAAAATGATTAAATCATGGATACAATTGAATTAATCTGTGATCCTAATTATAATGTTGAAAATACTGCCCAATTTGAATCTTTGGATTAGTTGCAATAAGATTTATTAAAAAGATTATTAAGAAAAGAACCAGAAAAAAGATTATCTTCATCAGGTTTCAAAATAATAAATTTTAGAATTTATTTTGCATCCTTGGTTACATCCAGAAAAACAAGAACAAAATTAAAATACTTTTTGTTTATCATTGAATTATGATAAAACTTAAAATATATCAACATCAGAATAATTTATAGGTCTTGAATAATTTGATCAATATAAGCTTCTAACAAAAGAACCTTATTGTACTAGTACAATTTTAAAAAGAGAAGAACACTAAGAAAAATTAGAAAAATTGGATGAATTAGGAAATCATATTTACTTTTACTCATCATCAAAATAATTAAATTAAGAACCAGAAATAAAGAATTAAGAAGAAAAATAGACAAGTGTAAGTTAAATAGATGAAATTAAAGATGATGGACCTTAAGAAAATAATAAGATTTTAGATGAAGATGTTGAATTAAATAATTATAAAATTGTTGGTTCCATTATATTGAATTGATGTAATTTATTTAATATTTTCTCAAATTAAATAATAATTGTCTAAAAACTTTTTTTATTAATGATTTAACAATTAATTACTTTTGTATTATTAATCAATCTATATAAACAATAAAAATAATAGTAGATTTATCAATTTCTTATATCCAAAATTTCTAATTCAGTTTTACTCACAGCCATTTATATTATATTAAATGTTGCAGAACAGAGTATAATTAATACTGTACCAAAATGAACTCTATTCACCCATTTAAACATTGTAACTTCTTATTTATCAGTTTCATCAACTTGTAAATAATCAGAAACTGACATAAAATCAAGTCCAGAAATTACTATTAAACTTAGTGTCATACAAATTAAGACTATTTTTTCTATTGAATCACAAAATTGCCAAGTTGAAAAATTGCGCAACTTAAATAACCTTTAGGTTTACTTTATAGCACTCTTTTATTGCAAATAAATATTCATATTTGCAATTAGGACATTTTATTATCTAATTGTTTTGATGGTACTACTTTGTTGCCCATTCATTCAAACATCTTCTGTGAATGTATGACAAAGATCCTTTGCAATTACAAGGTTTAAATTGTTTGTGACTGTTTGTTTAGTAGCAGATCCAACATATATGCTTTTATTTTTTTTTCATTTTAATAATTTCAATAAACAATTATAATATTCCTTTGTAAACTAAGACTCTTTCATGAACAAATAGACTAATTTCTTTCTACATTAATATTTTCCATTTGATTCTAAATTTGGTTATCTTTTCTCTCTCTAAAATAAATAAAGTAATTCATAAAGTTTGTTAGGATCCTTTATATTTTATTCCAAATTAATTAATGCATCTTATCTATGGTGATACAAAATCTATTATAATGATCTTTTTATACTTAGGTACATAATTCAAATTTTAGACTTCTATTTTATTTATGAATTGTAAGACTTCCCAAATAACACTCTCCTAAAAATTCTAAATATTTTGACACCTCTTAAATCTTAATATGTTGAGTTAATTTTATCAAAACTTCAATGAAATCTATGTTGTTTACTAAATAAGTGTTAAAAAATCTTAAAAATTTACTCTAATTACTTTATAAAGATTATGCCCTAATTATTATTTTTAATTACCCTAATCCATTCATCATTAAGAATCTATCTAATGCCATTAACATTAAGGATTTGTATTATTTTAATACACCTTATTCACTTTTCCAATTCAATCTTAAGTAAATCTTTAATCTCTCTAAAATTTGAGTTAATTAATTTAATTTTGAATTCTTTTTTATATCAAAAGTAGTAAAAAAATTAATTGATGCAATTATCATTTGTTAAAATATTGAATCTTCAATTTTCAAATCATCAAACATCACTCCTACTTCTTCTAAAGCAGATAATTAAAATTATGTTAATTCCTATTTTACAACATGAGGCTTCTTCATTATTAATAAGGAGTTTAAAATTGAAAATATAAATGCTTAGAAAGCCTATTTTGAATATGAACTCAATATCATAACTATATTAAGATGAAATACATACTTAAGCCAAAGTATTATTGATAATCAAATGGGAATAAATTATTATTTAAGAATTGCTAGGTTAAATCTTTAAAAAGAACTTTTATATATGAGGAAAATTTTGAAATAAAAGGAAATTAGAAATGATAATTGATATTAAGCATTTATTTAATATCCGAATAAATAGATTTTATTTAACTTTAAGCAATTGGGTATTTCAATTACTTAAGTTATTTATTGATTTAAAAGGTAAAGTATTAATTAGTCCCTTGTCTTGGTTTCTATAATTTTGTAATTTCTTAATATTTATAGCTAAAAATCAATAATTAATTTACTACATTTTATCTTCTAATTTCAATAAGAATAATCTCTTGAAAAATCTTGAATCACAAGAAATTTAAGTTTTATTGAAATAATTGCTTGTTAGATCATAAGAATTTAAATATACTAATAAATGCAATTAACAATAAATATATGTATTGTAATCTCCAACATCTTATTGTTATTAGATTGATTCAATTAATAATTAATCAATTTATGAAATATTTTATTTTTTCCTAAAATTTTTGATTTAAAAATATACAGTTTAATTGATTAAAAGATGCAACCTGGATCTACAATTTTAGATTACCTTTAAGCTAAATTGGCAATAGTGAAATTTAAATATTTATCATCAATTTGAATGTGATTTTGTATGAAATTTTAAACACTCATCCAATTACCTGGATTTCTATTAATCAATCCTAATAAAAAGTTAGTTGGTAGATAATCTATAAAGAATCTAGGTTTTTCGAATAGATACGGCTTATGTTACTTATGAAATTATTACCAAATCTTTAAGGTCGGAGAAGAATTTAAAGTTGAATTCTTAAATGATGTTAAAAATACTTTTTAGAGGAGCTTGACTTAATGGACTACAAAGAAATGCTTAAAAGTAGACAGCCATTTTATTTTTGATACAAATTTCACATAATAAAGTGAAGCAACTTTTAAAAATGTAATGATAATATTTATGAGCATCTAAAATAATTAAGCAATAAATACATGTTGTTTTTGAAATGGTAAGAATGTTTTTGAAAACTAAATGAATGCTTTATTCATCAATTAAATAATATAAGACTTTCATATCAGATTTTTATATCGTTAATTCTTTTTTGAAAGTTAATACAATCTTAAGTATGAGTATACAAATCAAGCTTTATAGTTATAATTATTAACTTAAGATATCTTAAATAGAGGTCATAAATAAAAATATTTTTTTAGTTTCTTCTTTTGTTTTAGTGGAAATAATTTTTAAGAGTCTTTCCATAAAGACTAATACTTTGGTTAGATTGAATTAAGATTCTGAATGTTAGATTTCTAATTTTTAAAAGCAAAAAAGTTTGATTTCTTCATTATCTTAATTTTCTTTTGATTTTTTATCAATTTAACATGAACCTTTTATTGCTTCAGCCAAAACAAAATTAATATTGATGTCTTTTGTTTATAAAAGTAAGAGGGCATCAACAATAGTATTGAAATAGAGAGTTTTAGAATTGGATGCCAATTTAAACAGATTAAGCAATTCATTTACGACATTTTTTTTTTCATTAAGTTTTTCTTTTTTAATGAGGGATGTAAATTTTTTTAAGAAATCTTTATCTTATTTATGTCTATTGCTAGTGACTTCAAAAAGAGACCGCAAATCACTAATAAATTATTCATTAGTTTTATTATCAGTTTACTTCTATTTACTCATTATATATTTAATAAAAATAATAATCTAAAAAAAATAATAAGTGTTATTATGATTTGTAATTATTCATATCTTATTTATTTGATGTGTTAAATACATAATTGATTAAATAAAAATCAATAATAAATTAGATATGTAAGCAAAAAGAGAATATCTTTGTCCTATTTCTGAAGGGAATGCAAATGAAACTGCAATTTTCAGACATCCATTAGCAAAAGTAAATAAAAGTTTTTTTATATAGGATGGATTTTTACCACCTTTGGATAATAGAAAGGTGAACATGTAAAAGTAACTGTTGATATAGTTTGAAAAGTTTCCTGATAAGAAGACTTTAGGAACTTACAATGAAGAGATGCAACGATACGATCATATATCATATAAGGTAGAAAATTTATATAGATTTACATTTTAGGAAGTTTTAGAGATTGCAACTGCTTTAGGTTCATCGCTGTGTGAATAGGAATCAATAAAAGAAGTATAAGATTAATAAAAGAATGTTATTCGTCCAGTTGGAATTTATCTATCAAATAGAAGAGAATGGACATTAATAGATATTGCATGTATTTTATATGGTTTTACATCTTGTCCATTTTATGATACACTTGGTGTTGAGAGTATAACCTATTCAATGAATGTAACTTAAGTGAGGTAAAAATAATAAATTAAATTAAAGTGTGTGTTTTGTATAGGCTAGTACAATAGGATTTTTAGCTAAATCTAATCAACCCTATTTAAAAACTGTAGTAACAATAGGACCAATAGATCCAAATATTATAAATACATTAGTAGAATAAAAGAAAGAAGTTATAAGTTGGGATGACTTTATAAAAAGAGCAAATGGAATTTCAAAACCTTATCCAGAATTGGAAGCATAACATCCGTTAACTTTAGTTTTTACTAGTGGAACAACAGGAGAACCAAAGGCAGCTATTTAGAGTCATCTTAATTTCACTTCTACAATTGCACTTTTTGAACATTAAGATCATTTTGCTTTTACTTAAGATGATGTTTATTTATCTTATTTACCATTACCACATACTTTTGAGAGAATTGTTCATTTAGCTGCATTATCAGGAGGATCAGAAATAAATTATTATAGTGGAAATATATAAAATATAGCTAGAGATATTCAAAGATGTAAACCTACTTATTTTTGTGGGGTACCTAGAATATTTAATAGATTTTATGAAGGAATTTAAACTTAAATAAATTCTTTACCACCTGAAATCTAATAGAAATTTGAATATGCTCTTGCTACTAAAATTAATTATTATAGAGCTACAGGAAAAACAACACATGATTAATTAGATGAAGCATTTATTAAGACAAAAGCTATTCTAGGTGGTAGATAAAGAATTATAATTACTGGAGCTGCTCCTATCTCTCCTAAAATTTTAGAATATTTAAAAGTTACATTCTGTTGTTAAATTATTGAAGGTTATGGTTAAACAGAAACTTCTGCTGCTTCATTCCTAACAGATTATAATGAT